ATTATAGTCATTTATATTTCTCATGTAAAAAAAAATGCTCGTAGAAAATCTTGGGGCTGAAACATATCTCAACTTTTCACATGTCAGTCAACGGGAAAACTTTTGATCGTTTAATGAGTGTTCACTCACTGAGCAATTTTCACCGAACGTATCTCGCTTGTTAAGCGAGACACACCTGTATCATATTAGAGTTACAGCTTTACATCCTTTGAAAAAATAAGGTTCGCTTTTCCAATGACAGCATTTGTTTTTGCCCTCTAATGTCAGCGAGGGCAATTCTTGTTAAACACACTTGGTGTAAAGCCCCAGTGTTTTACACGTACGTTTTCTTTCAAGATTGCATTGTGTCTCGATTGGGCACTCTGCCTGGTTTTTTGTAAAATAATGTTTCATCGATCGTTGGACGTTAACGCTTTCCTCAGCGTTACGGTTACTACCTCTTGAATCTACAGTGAGCGGGCATCAGCAGCAGTAGCAAAGAACTAAATCCAGACTGTAACAGTGTCCACACGTTAAAATTAGAAATCAATTAATAATACAGCCGGCTGACTGAAATAATTACTCAAATATACCACTGTATCTTTAGCCATGCGTATATCTCATTTGGCTTGCATCGCAGAGGGGAACGATTTTGCTATTGCCTTCATTGACATGGTGATAAAAGGCTTCTGTCCATTGCTCACGAAATCAGCACTCATTGAGGTGAGAGTGATTGGTCACAAATATCTAAACTAAACTATTAAACTAAACTAAAAACTAAACAATTTTTTTATTTTGCCAGCAAGGCCACTGAGCTATATAGCTGTTTTTCAGAAGTGACCTGGCTCCAAAATTATAGCTCAACGAAGTGACGTTTGTGGACATTTATAGCATCCAAATACTCTAAATGCATGTTTGTAAATGTGGAGGGGAAAACCGGAGGACCAGAAGAAAAGTCTACGCAACCACGGGGAGAACATGCAAACTCCAAATACACAGGCGTCAGGGTTGGGATCGAACCCATTACCTTTTACCATTACCAAACCCATACCAGACGAGGGAGTTTACATCTCTCCACAATGGCGCCCCATACACGTACAGCCGTTTTGCCGCACCGTGTGGATTGTGTGGGTTGTTTGACTATACTCCACGCTGATCACTGCAGGTGTTGGTGAAGACAGCGAGCACAGACATTTAAAGTTCGAGGTACAGAAAAACTGGATTTTGCCCACCACGTAGCAGTGCAGCTACAGTGAGGGGAAAAAAAGTATCTGATCCCCTGCTGATTTTGTACGTTTGCCCACTGACAAACAAATGATCAGTCTATTATTTTAATGGTAGGTTTATTTGAACAATGAGAGACAGAATAACAACAAAAAAATCCAGAAAAACGCATGTCAAAAATGTTATACATTTTTTTTGCATTTTAATGAGGGAAATAAGTATTTTACCCCTCTGCAAAACATGACTTAGTACTTGGTGGCAAAACCCTTGTTGGCAATCACAGAGGTCAGTCGTTTCTTGTAGTTGGCCACCAGGTTTGCACACATCTCAGGAGGGATTTTGTCCCACTCCTCTTTGCAGATCTTCTCCAAGTCATTCAGGTTTCGAGGCTGACGTTTGGCAACTCGAACCTTCAGCTCCCTCCACAGATTTTCTATGGGATTAAGGTCTGGAGACTTGCATTGTTAAGTAGCTGATAAAAAATATATACATTTCACATTTAATGTCGTCCCAGACCAAAACCAGTCTATCGCTGTTGGCGAAATCACACTAGTTGTGTTTCAGAATTGTTTCGAGGAAGGTAATTGGTCATCTTATTTTTTTGTTTACAGCACTTCATAAAATGTGCCTGTCTACAAGGAATGTGCAAAACGTGTCTGGCACATTCCAAATGTAATTATAATAATCGTAAATAATTAATAAGACCTTTCTCAATCCACTGCTGTATGAAGGCATTCCCACACCGTGTCAGTTATTGCCAGCGTTGTTTGACCATACTTCACCATGTAAGTCAGAGTGGCTTCGTGAAGTATCCAGCACCAGCTCGGATTTCGCTTGCCACTGATGTTATCTCCGGACACATTTTGGACTTGGATTGCCAAGTTTAGAGTGCAGGGCACTAACCACTGCACCACTGCTCCTGCTGCCACTCTATAATTACAATTTTGGGTCCAAAATCTTCTTATTTGGTCTAATGTAAGTATATTAGAGAATTATATTACATCCACACTTAATCACTATCTACCACTGCAATCAATATGTTTCATGTGACCGATTGAATCGCTGATTGCATTGTCAGTGATTCATTAATATAAACTTTTTAGAATCACTTATAATTCTGGCAACTGTAGCGTGATTATTGCACTTTATTTTAAATAACATATTTCCCCCTATAATTAAAATACTATTTCGTCTTATCTTTTGTATATGTTGCTTTGCAGTAGATTTAAATTGTGTTGCTTCTATCGTCTATATATGTTTAGATTTACACTGGGCCGGGCTTGCATGGGCGGACACTGAGCATTGAACAAGTGCTGTAGGCTGCTGCGAGGCAACATTGTCAACAGGATGCAGCACTATACAGCAACAATCCATTGTTGTAGTGTACTCTGCGCCAACATATGTGTGCTCCCGCCATCGCCGACCTGCACTAGCCAGCATGGTGAATTATGGACAAACAACAGCCTCTATGGAATAGGGGAGGGCCTCATCCAGCAGTTGATTGACTAAAGTGCTGTCCATGTACATATACTATTAAACAAAAAACACCTTTACAGTAAAGGCTCTTGCCTCAGTGGTCCCGCATCTGCTGACTAAATTAAGGTTACAGTTATTGTGATCTGCATTTTAAGCTCACTTTGAATTCATTTGGAGACGATGATATGTGTTTAAATTTGCTGTACATCATTGTTACAAGATTGTCCAAACCTCCTGAAGGTTAAGAATGTATATTTGGACTGAATTGTACGGGGAGACATTTTCTCGGTGATAGATTTTGTTCACCTCTTGTTGATTTCTATACGTGACACCAAGGTCAATTTCATTGCCCTTTCTCAAAGAGCAATGCTAGATTTCTGGTATGTTCACACACTGTCTTTCCATTAATCATGAGAATGCACTTATTTGAATCAAAATGCAATCATTTCAGGTAAGTAACTTTGACCTTTTTTCAAAATGGAATTGTTTCTGTTTAATGGCCAATACTGGTACCATGTGCTGTGATTTACAGATTTTTTTTTACATTACCATCCTGATTATAACTGAATGTATAGAATATGTTATGTGCAGCTTATTACCGATGAAAAGGCATTCCCTGCATGCAAAAGCTTTTTATAAAGCATATATAAAGGAAAGATACAATTTTATCCTGTTCATGAGGAATTTAGATTTTTTTTTAATACATTAAAATATTGTACTATCAGCAGCGTTGCTGTGAGCTTTTTTATATATATGCTTTGGCCTTTACCATATTTTAATTGGCTTCGGTATGACAGGCAATTCCGGTTTGGCCTCAGAATTTTACGGACTCCTTAATCCCTACACTAATTTCCACTCTTGCAATGTTGCACGGCACCAGTATGCAACACTATAGTGTGATACCGTTCTGATAAAGTCAAGCATTAAGCCGGCCGCATGTCGTGTGTGTGTATATGTGCATCACAAGCAGAGTGTGATTAGCGTCACGTAAGGTGGCCAGAAGGGAGCAAACTCCCTGGGAAACGTTATGAAAATAGCGCGGTAATCTCCACGGGGTTTCTCTTCAGCAATGGTGGGAGATTGTGCAACACGAGGTAAATCTGAGCAGTACGGACAGTATTCCTGCATTGTGAAGATTGTGTTGTTCCAGTGCAGGAAAACTGGCTCTCTGATGTGTTGTCCGGCATCTAAATTATTACCTCTGGCCCCGTACGGGGATTGAACCCATAACCTTGACCGTAGTATTTTCACCTCTGAGATCCAATAAAACCAGGACTTGTTATGGAAAGAAGAATATGTTTACAATAGCAGAAGAAGCCAGAACTACATTGCCTTGAGTGGTGTATTTTCACTGCTGACACTAACGGCGACTTCTAATGTCCTGGGAAGACTTGATTTCCCAGGACAGCAGCTACCTGGAAAAGAGGGCTATCCTGGGAAAACCAGGCAAGGTGGCAACCCTATAAGGTGGCACAAAAAACACCATTGGGCTATACAGCACACTCGTGAAAAGCTATGCAAGAAGGATCCTGTGTTTTTAAACAAGTGTCTTCTGCTGCTGTAGTTGATCACATTAAACAGCCTTGATAGGAGTGCATTGATCAGGCTATTTATTTCACAATAGTGGCATTGCCATGCTATTGATAAACCGTCACCAGAGGAGAAACGATGTGCTTATATGTTGTCCTCGTAGCATGATCCTGGAACAGTCTGGCATTTCATCTCCAGTTAATGTCTGCTCTTCCTAAGCTGATTAGTTTTTTTTTTAAGATAAACTGAATTCTTTGTAAGGGTTGAATGCAATGTGTGTCTGAGATCGTCTTGTTGCTGTTATCCCTGCTGCTGTGCTAACTACATCTCTGAAATTATCTCCATACCTCACAGAGCTCTTGACTGGAAGTCAAAACATCACGTCATGCTGTAACATGCTGTTAATCCTCCTGATGACCTAATCGTAATTAAATAATTTAAGGCTTTTGTCAACTACTGAATGATGGTTGCTCTATTCAGTGTTGATTTTTACCATATTATACCATGCTAGTGGGGGTAGGTTTGTAAAGGGGGGGCAGGGAGCACCTGTGACCGGTTCAGATATCACTCAATGCTGATGTTAGCTATGGTCAGGAATCAAACTCTGATCGCTGGGCACATGACATACCGCGTGAACCACCATGTGCAGTGTGTAGCAGCTTGAGCAGCATGTGGTAATTACAGAAAGCTGCGCTGTGGCAGGGGAAGGGGGGTAGTGAGCACTGGGGTTTGAGAAACACTGCCCTAGGTGGTGATGGGATCGCTGTGATTTGTCTGGCTTGGGCGGACAGGTGTGCGCGATGCCAGAGAGCCACGTGGAGGAGCCCATGGACTGCTGTGAAGCGTGGGATCATGGGAGCCGAGGGTGCCTCCTCTGTGCTGCAGGTTTGTCCGAAACTGTGGAAACCTGCATAAGTTACTGGATTGGGATTACACATGGCTTTCCTCGCCCCCTACTGGCACGCTAATGCCCATTTGCTGGCCTGGTGCGGAGTCACTGTGTGGCACACAGATGTGATGTGATCTAAAGCGCTCTTAGTCGTCCCACCGTAAAGGAAGTGATATCAAACGCGTATCATAACGTTAAATCATCCTTGCCTCCCCGGCTCAAAGATGGCAAAATTTATCAGTGCAATAAAACATCGCATGTCCAACCATCACGTATCCACCCTGACCAATTAATCGCCCACACCCAGTGCAGTATTACCGCTTGGTGCAACTCATTTTCTATCAATGTTAACATATCCAACCTTGCTTTTTGGTTCTTTCGGTAAAGTCACGTAGAAAGAAAATAAATGTAACAATAGAATACGACGTTTCGATTGCAACACAAGCAATCATCATCTGGTACGAATGCATGAGAAAAACAAACCTAGTAAACTCAGAAATATAATGCAAGGCAACACAGAGAGTCGGCTAACATAACAGTCAACACCCTACCTGGTTGATTACGTTCTTCCAAAGAGTGCTAAATTTGAGAGAGACAAAACACAGACACGGAGACACATAGACAGACACATAAGCAGAGAGACAACACAGAGACACACAGAGAGAAAACAAACTCAATAAAACAAACTTAGTAAAATTTGGAAATGTAATGCAATGCAACACAGTTGGTCAACACACAATTGACGCTTGGCCTGGTTGATTACATTCTTCCAAAGATTGCTAAATTAGAAGTTAAGTGTTAAATTTGAGAGAGAGAGACAAGACACAGACACGGAGACACAAAGACAGACACACAAGCAGAGAGAGAGACAACACAGACACAGAGAGAGAGAGCGATAGTGTAGCGGTTAGCACGCTGCGCTATGAACCTGGCGACTCGGGTTCGATTCCCGCTCACGGACAACACCAGTGACGATTATCTGAACCGGTCCCGGGCCTCCCCTAGGTCGACTCAGCCTCAAATGAGTACCTGGTGCGGTGTGTAAACATTGCCACTAGGGAGACAAAGGCGGTCGGGCGTGGTGCTGGCCACCCACCCCCTCGTGTACCGTTCCGGCCTTCATAGGTGCTCGCTAACAGCACTTGCCCCAACAGTCTGTTAAGGCTATATGGGGGATCTTTGTGTACGGAGCGGTAGTGTAGTGGTTGGCGCACAGCGCTACAAAAGTGGCGAGCCGAGTTTTATTCTTGCTCACGGCCAACACCAGTACCTGGTGTGTAAACATCATCACTGGGGAGACAAAAGTGTTGGCCACCCACCCTCTCGCGTGCCGCCGCACTGGCCTTCATAAGTGCTACTCGCTAACAGCACTTGCTCCTACAGTCTGTTAAGACTATACGGGGGTCTTTATGTGCGCGTATGTGTGGGGGGAGCGGTCAGCGCGCTGTGCTACCAACCTGGTGATCAAGGTTCAATTCCCGTTCACGATCAACACCAGTGACAATTATTTGAATGGGACTTGGGCCTCCCTTTGGTCGACTCAGCCTCAAATTAGTACCTGGTGCAGAGTGTAAATCGCCACTGGGGAGACGAAGGCAGCTGGGCATGGCAGGGGCCACTCACCCGCTCGTGTGCTGTGCCGGCCGCTGCTTGCTAACAGCACTTGCCCCAATAACCTGTTGAGGCTACACCGGGGATCGTTGTCGTTGGGGTGTGTGTGTGTCTTTGTGTGTGCACGTGCCCCGTGGGTGTGTGTGTGTGTGTGCAATTGCGATGACTCATTTCCCCCCTTCTGGCTACAAGCTAGCATCAGTACTCAAGGTATGTGAAAATAAAACTGTTATTTTGCCTATTTATGTTACTTTATTTTACGTTTTATTTACTGTTCAGTATTTTTAGTGTTACATGTAGATTTACACTATTCTTAATTACAAGTTTAACAGTGCCTCCCTTTTTGATTAACCTTAACACATTTCATAACACTGACCGTATGGACATTTAAATACAGTGCATCATTGTGTTCCGACTTACGAACCATTCGACTTGCAAACGGCTCTCAGGAACGAATTAGGTTCGTAACCCGAGGACTGCCAGTATACCTTAACTATGACTAGAAACTGGTGTTTTTTTACCCAGTGTTATTCCGACTGTGTCATTCGCATCATGTCTTGGGACAAAGAATACTTTTGGAGCTCATCGCCTTTACCAAGCCACAATGATTAAACGTGGTAAAGTATGGTCAAATAAATCCCATGACCCATCGGACGTGGAGAAGCCCATGTCAGGCAGTCGATTGACCAGTAGACTGCACAGGCATGTTAAGGCTGCAATAGCAACACTGTGTAGCCTGCTAGGAACGTGGTCGTAGGTGAAAGCCGAAGTGCTGAATGAGGAACGTTATGTTTTGTTACAAGCTAGGCATGTACAGATATTAACTTGGTACGTATGGCGTTTCCCCCATTCCTATTGCACAGTGCTGTTACATTGGTGCTCTGATCCATGTGGATGGAATATGTCAGTAGGAGGAGGATGTTGCCCTGCAGTTTTAACCCAGTTCATTAACTTGCAGGTAATTCTTCCAATTTTGGCACATTTGTAACGTGACGCCTGCACGCACGGCCCACTTTTTATCGAACACCGTTGTGGGATGTTTAATGTCTACTTTGAAGTATGTGGCGCATATTTACGACGGTGCTACTCTATGCATTTGGGAAAGTGAAGTTTAGGTTTGTGAGATCTCTCCCTCTGAATTTGTTACCATGACTCTGTTTATTGACTGATGCACGTTTCGGCTCTATATTCGTGTCTGGTAAATATTGACGGATTGTCTCTAAACTCGCAGTGGCTTCAGGCTAATGGCAAACGATAAAACCAGGAGGTGTGACCTTGGAAATAATGAATGTGACTTTTGGATGGCACCCCTAATATTTATGGTTATTATACCAGTAGTATTAATTAGGTTGGCCGCTAGGCTCGAACCACGAACCTCTGCAACAAGCGACTAAAGTGCTACTGCTCGTCCGTGTTTCTGCCCAATGTCAACTCCCAGCTTTTCTCGTCGCTTCAGTCATTGATTCATCGTCTTGTTCTTACCGTCTCCTTTAAATTGTTTCGTGGTTCTTTCCATCTTGTTTTGTGCAGTTTGGTGATGTTATATGTAACATGGGCATGGCTTTTGCACAGAATGAGCAGAGATAAACTGCTTTAATCAATAAATTGTTAATCGTTACATGCCCGACTAGTCCGCTGAACTTGCAATCGTAAGAGCAATGTTTCAAAACCCTGCCGGGAGTCCGACACCCAAGCCTGCCATGGGATACTGGCGCCTGCCATGGGAATGCAGAATTTCTACCTCTGGCTCTAGGCTGCCAGCACAGCTGAATGCCAATGTAAAATGATTAACTCTTGACGAAATTCCCACCAGGCGACAATTGGCATGCAGATGGGGCAGTGATGAATTTTCTTATTTTAAACCAGCACAGTTCTGTGTAAATGCTTTGGGCATTGGTTGCCAGCTAGTAACAGGATAAATTTAGACTTGGAGCCCACCGGGCATGAGGCTGAAGGTGACTTGTCATGTATTTATGGATGGAGAGAAAGTGAGCTCCAGTCGTTGAGGAGCCAGCGACTGTTTAAAAAGCCTTCTCCTGTTTCTTGAGTCTGTAACTACTTGCAACATTTGATGTTTGTGCGTGAAATTAACGTAGCCGCCCGAGTTCTCAAGTAATTGCGCGACTACCAGCGGATGGCGAGGTGCGTGTGGCAGTTGCATTTTCGTGACTGTGTTCCCTTGATACACTGATGGCCAATGCAATATTTTGTAAATGTGCCTCAAGAAATACAAAGTCGCCTCCTAAGTGGGACGCGTCTGCCACGCGGCAGTAGTTTTGTACACTACACTTGCAATCCAGAGGTCGCCGGTTCAACCCACGGCAGGTTGAACGATGTTCAAGTTTCTTAACTCTTCCTCTGCCTCTGTCCACTCAGCAGTATAAGTGGGTTAAGCCACAGTTGGTCGATCAGCAGCTCGCATGTGGTGGGGTAAAGTGTGGGTACTCCCACATTCCAAGATGTCCGGCCGGGGGGGCCGATGGGGCTGGGGGGAGGGGCGACTGAACCGGGGGGGGGGGGTCGATGGAGCCGGAGGGGGTCGACGGAGCCGGGGGGGGGGGGATGACAGAGCCGGGGGGGTGGGCGACAGAGCTAGGAGGGGCCGATGGAGCCGGGGGGGGGGGCCGACGGAGCCGGGGGGGGGGGGGGAGGGGCCAAGGGCGCGAGCAGTGGGAGCCGACACTGGCTTTCTCATACATCATACACTGACTCACTCGCACATCATGCACTGACTCGCTCATCATGCGCTTACTTACATCATGCACTGACTCGCTCATCATGCGCTTACTCACTCACACATCATACACTCGCACAACCACTGACCCATTCACTCATCATACACAGGTTCACTTATCGTGTGCTGGCTCACTCGCACATCATACACTCACTCACACTGCCGCTGACTCGCTCACACATCATACACTGACTCACTCATCATGCGCTGACTAACACATTGTGCGCTGACTCACACATCATACACTCACTCAACCTAATACTGACTAAATCTTCATACGCTGACTCGCACATCATACGCTGACTCGCACATCATACACTCACGCTGCTGCTGACTCGCTCACACATCATACACTGGGAGTGTCGTGCTGCCAGCTATGGCTGCAGGTTTTTGTCGTACGTGTTATGTATATCGTTTATTGTTAAATTTAAAATCACAGTTCCTATGATTACTGTTACATTGTTTTGTAGCTTTATTTTGGTCTGGTTGTGGTGTAATAGTTTTCTGCAATGTAGATTCATATTTTGTTTGTTGCGGTTGCACCCGACTTAAGAGCCGCATAGCTCACAGGGCTGTACCTAATAAATGAAACCTGAAACTTGATGTGAAAGTCTAAGTAAACAACCCTATAGGAGAGGCTCTCTAGACCTCCATCTAGCGGGGAGGCCCTTCTGCCAACCTTTGGCATAAGAAAGCAAATTGCATGGCTGCACTGTTACCTACAAGACAGGACACTTGTGATTCAAGGTTTGAAGTTTTCACGACTACAAGGAATCATACTCTTTGTTTTTTTCGGTACAGTCACATAGGTAATAAATAAATGAAAACTAAATTAAATCACGACGTTTCGGGCGCAACACAAGCGTCCGTCTTCAGGTGGGGACAACGCAGCGAAAGCACAACCGCTTAAGTGTGTGATACAACATACATTAATTGAAAATAATTAATTCTCACGTGTACAATCCGGCTTGTATGTATGCATATTGAACTTCTTTCGCACCGTACGTAGCCAGCCGTCCTAATTGGAGGTGCGGGGGGTTATGTATAGTAAGCATATTAATCGATTTCATATGACAAGTTACTACACACATGCTACGGGATTAGTAAATGTCCCTATGAAATTCTCATGACCAGCAGAGCATGACGTCGTGGCATGCGCAGAACTGGAAGATAACTTATGAAGTCACTTCAGTAGACATCCCACACCCAACGCCAGATGTGCTCCCTAAATCGTGTTGGTATCTAGCATTGCATATATTTTAGACCCCAAAAAAATCTGTATTAATAATGAGTGCCATATATGAATCCCAGGAAGCCTCACTGAGTCTCAGGACCTTTTTAGGAGGAATCCTGCATTGGGATTTTTGCCCAAATGTTATTCACGAGTAGATTAATGTAGCAATGAGAAGGCTGCACAATAAAGTTTTGACTGAAATCATCTGCCTCATCTGTATCGGAGTGTTTCCCCCTCGCACGCGTGGAGTTTTTTCTGGGTTTCCGGATTCACCCTCGACATTTAGAAACGTGCGTTTAGAGTATTTGGCCGCTTTAAATTTCCACGTCAAAAGCCACTTGGTTGACCTATCAATTGTGGCCAGGTTGCGTCTGAAAAAGAGATATAGCTCAGTGGGCCTTACCTGGTAATATAAAAAAATAGTTTATAGTTTAGTTTATCTGCGGTTCCTCAGCGATTGTGAGATGCAATTTATATGAATGATGACACGATATCTTATTGATATTTATACGGCGCCTTTGCCAAGGCCTTTACCAAGGTGCTTTACAGCATTTGTAAAATTGTATGTAGCATGATAATGATTTGAAATGAATAAATGGTTTATTGTAAGTGGTAGTGGCATTTTAATGACAGTAGTACAAGAGGGACTGATAAAGAGAGGTTGGAATAGGCCTGGTCATAGCTGGAGGGCAACAGAAAGCTGGGGGGCTGAAAAAGAATGGGGCATCATTGCATTGGGCAGGAGCAAGGAAGGGGAAGGGGGCCACTGCGAGCGAGTCCCTTGCACCGGCGCCGACGACGACATCCACGTCGCCCGTACATTGCAGCAGTGGAGTCCCGGCCAGGCCCGCAACGAGGAGGAAGACACAGCGCTGACAGGGCTCGCTTATTATAATGTGGGAGGACACCAGAGTACTTGGAGAAAACCCACCACATACAATGGATGACATTGATCGGAGATGGAGCAACGAAGTTAGCTCATTTGCAGGCATGAGTGAATGATTGAGAGATGCCAGCAGCTTCGAAAGTCCTTCACCTGGCAGTGGATTGGTCAGAGCTGGTGGTGGTGATATTATGGTAGCTATTTTATCTTGAACTTGATAATGAAAAGTAACACACGCATGTGCCTTAAGAATAACGTCGTTTGTTGCTAGTGCATACCGCTTGATATGAAATTGTTACAAAACATGGTTATGAATGCAACAGTTTGGAACAAAAAACTTTAAAGTGCGTGATGAAGCATGGACAGATTGAGAGACGGAATGCATAGATTTGATAACACGCTGTTTAATGACATAATTTAAACTGGTAAGAAAGTGGGCTTCGGCAGGATATTCCGCTAGAAGTGACGATGGCCGATGGTCATTAATAGAGATGGAGTGGTAGCCAAAGTACGGGACGTGTCTGAGAAGTCGTCCATCCAGGAGACGGAGCGATGAAATTTGCTCGTGTGCAGCAGTTGCTGGTTTATTATTACATCGCAAGATCATGAGATGGTGGTGGCTTAGGGAATCCTTCATCTAGCAGTGGATTGACCGTAGCTCCTGATGATGTTGCTGTGACATGGGTGGGAATGTGGCGATGCAATAAAAACAACGGTATTGCGTTTTCCTTCCCGAGATGATTTACGGCACAATTTATCGTGGATTGAACCCGCGTGCTGTGCATGTGGAAAATGAGCTGTGCATCATATTGAGTTTTTAGCTCAAACAGAGAGCCGAACAAATGCGTGGCTTTGTTGTGAAACGAGGTTAATGGGAAAATGCACTCTCCTCTTGTCACATGTTTGGTTGACTTGGCAGCTTTTACTATGGCCATAACTGTGGAAGGTGACCCCCAGTTCTGGCCAGCCATGTACGAGTCTCTGTTAAACACGTCTGGCATGCGGCGCATCCAGACAGATACATTATACTGCCTATGGGAGTAGTCAGTAGGGTTATAGTTTTTCATCGCATGGGTTTGGGAATCCATTATATCCACATTGCCCCACACCGTATTGTAGAGGAACAGAAACAAAATGGTTCTCCCGCTGCATAGAGTTTCGTGGTTGTGCCACGTGTTGAGGAAACGTCGGACATTGTACGGAACAAGACACGCGACATTGTTTCAGCTTGTACAGTCTGTTTTCCTATAACGCGGTAGTTGCATTCCTGAATAAGCCTGCGTTATGGAAAAATCGCGTTATAATATACAATATAGGGTAAAGCACAGTCCGCGATAACACATGAGATGCGTATGCAGGCTGAACACAGACTGAGGCGTGTGGGTAGCATCTGGAAGCATCCAGCAACATCCCGCCATGTGATGCTACACCGAGGCAGCCGTACAACACCTTTTTCCTACTCGCGGGATGCAGTTCGGTTCACTCGATTGCGTTATATCCAATTCGCATCCGCGTTGTAAAAAAGGTGTTCCCTAATACATTCATCACGTTATATCCAATTCGGGTTATGAAAACAACACTGCGTCCTAGGAAAACAGATGGTACGGGATGATCTCAATGAAACACATGCAAACGTGTTTATTCTGTCCCATGTCTCCTTTGGTAAAGAGACCTAATGTTACATTTTAATAATTAATGTACACAATGTTGGCAGTCCACTGCTGAAGGCCTCCTGATTCCGTGCTGGACATGGAGGTTGTTTGACCATATTTCACCACTATAGTCAGTGCGGGTCGGTGAAGCTGGAGGGAGTACAAAACAAGTGGAATTTGCTGCACTAGTCTCGCTTTATACATGGTGATCACACATCCAAGATTTCGAGTGCTCCATCTAGTGAAAGCCCATCCAGCAGTGGTGGCGTAAAGAATTACAGGGTTACGCCTTTGCCTTGTACCTTATTGCTCTGCAGGCTGCTACAGCCAGGGCACCGACGCTGGCGACGCGGTGAGCTGTGCGCCCTGTGAACCGGGCTCCTTCACAAGCTTCCCTAACCTGCTCCTGCACTGTCTGCCCTGCACACACTGCCATGCTGGTGAGTGGGAATAGGTGAGCAATATTGTGGTACTGCGTAGGTTTTCGTGATTGTGCTGTACGGCTCTTGGATATATTTTGTGGTTGTGCTGTGCATCATTTGACACGATGTCCGATGTTTTGCTCCACTTGCTGGGAGCTTTTTCAGGAGCTCAATGCAATTCATTTCAAGAGAGCCTCACTGAATTTTACAACTGTATTTAATGAAGGGCCTAGGTGCATACACTACAAAACATGGATTTCTTCTTTGGTGCTTTCGGTAAAGTCACGTAGAATGAGAATAAAATAATAAATTAATAAAAAATAACAATCAAATTCTCACGACATTTAGGCCACAACACAAGTGGCCTTCTTCAGGTGATAGGAACAGACCTGTCGGGACGACAGAGCTTCAATGAACGTTGTTAAGATTTGTAGCATCTTTTAAGCTGGTTTAGAGAAGTGAGGCACCTTGACAAAGGGGTTTACATATCAAACAGGAGAATTTAGCATTGAAATAGCTGAGTGATTAGCTTGTGACTGGTCATAGAAATAGCTATGTTAAAGTCAAAGCCTACACATCCACAGAGGCACCTAGTACAAATCAAACAGGAGAATTTAGCATTGAAATAACTGAGTGATTAGCTTGTGACTGGTCATAGAAACAGCTATGTTAAAGTCAAAGCCTACACATCCACAGAGGCACCTAGTACAAATCAAACAGGATAATTTAGCATTGAAATAGCTGAGTGATTAGCTTGTGACTGGTCACAGAAATGGCTATGTTAAAGTCAAAGCCTACACATCCACAGAGTCACCTAGTACAAATCAAACAGGAGAATTTAGCATTGAAATAACTGAGTGATTAGCTTGTGACTGGTCATAGAAACAGCTATGTTAAAGTCAAAACCTACACATCCACAGAGGCACCTAGTACAAATCAAACAGGAGAATTTAGCATTGAAATAGCTGAGTGATTAGCTTGTGACTGGTCATAGAAATGGCTATGTTAAAATCAAAGCCTACACATCCACAGAGGCACCTAGTACAAATCAAACAGGAGAATTTAGCATTGAAATAACTGAGTGATTAGCTTGTGACTGGTCATAGAAATGGCTATGTTAAAGTCAAAGCCTACACATCCACAGAGGCACCTAGTACAAATCAAACAGGAGAATTTAGCATTGAAATAGCTGAGTGATTAGCTTGTGACTGGTCACAGAAATGGCTATGTTAAAATCAAAGCCTACACATCCACAGAGGCACCTAGTACAAATCAAACAGGAGAATTTAGCATTGAAATAGCTGAGTGATTAGCTTGTGACTGGTCATAGAAATGGCTATGTTAAAGTCAAAGCCTACACATCCACAGAGGCACCTAGTACAAATCAAACAGGAGAATTTAGCATTGAAATAGCTGAGTGATTAGCTTGTGACTTTTCATAGAAATGGCTATGTTAAAGTCAAAGCCTACACATCCACAGAGGCACCTAGTACAAATCAAACAAGAGAATTTAGCATTGAAATAACTGAGGGATTAGCTTGTGACTGGTCATAGAAACAGCTATGTTAAAGTCAAAGCCTACACATCCACAGAGGCACCTAGTACAAATCAAACAGGAGAATTTAGCATTGAAATAGCTGAGTGATTAGCTTGTGACTGGTCACAGAAATGGCTATGTTAAGATCAAAGCCTACACATCCACAGAGGCACCTAGTATAAATCAAACAGGAGAATTTAGCATTGAAATAGCTGAGTGATTAGCTTGTGACTGGTCACAGAAATGGCTATGTTAAAGTCAAAGCCTACACATCCACAGAGGCACCTAGTACAAATCAAACAAGATAATTTAGCATTGAAATAACTGAGGGATTAGCTTGTGACTGGTCGTAGAAACAGCTATGTTAAAGTCAAAGCCTACACATCCACAGAGGCACCTAGTACAAATCAAACAGGAGAATTTAGCATTGAAATAGCTGAGTGATTAGCTTGTGACTGGTCACAGAAATGGCTATGTTAAAATCAAAGCCTACACATCCACAGAGGCACCTAGTATAAATCAAACAGGAGAATTTAGCATTGAAATAGCTGAGTGATTAGCTTGTGACTGGTCACAGAAATGGCTATGTTAAAGTCAAAGCCTACACATCCACAGAGGCACCTAGTACAAATCAAACAAGATAATTTAGCATTGAAATAACTGAGGGATTAGCTTGTGACTGGTCATAGAAAAAGCTATGTTAAAGTCAAAGCCTACACATCTACAGAGGCACCTAGTACATGGACGCCAAAGGGGCTGCAACAACTCGACTATCATATAGTAAACCGATGTGAAAAAACCTAAGTATAAATTACATCAATATAATAAATGTACTCAATATATTCTTCAATAAGCTGAGCTATTAACAGTAACTGGGTATACACTACACTATATAATGAATACCATATAGTAAACCAATAAAAATAAAATATAAACTACCCCAATGTTATCAATAAAGTCTATATTCTCCAATCAGCTAAGCTACCAACAATAAGTCGCTATATATCACAATGCTATATGGCGAAAAAATGGGTGGATTCTTACCCTCAACTTCAGCACCACGGATAGCTACGAATTTTATTGTGGTATTTTATTTTATTAATGTATTATTTTATTCTCATTCTACGTGACTTTACCGACAGAACCAAAGAAGATGAATCCTTGCAGTCACGAAAGCTTTAAATCGAAAAACATGGACTGTATAACTTTGCATTACCCTAAATATTCATTATAGGTGGTGAGTGGGTGAATGGCTGAGTCGATGAGTGATTTGATGAGTGAATGTATCTGCAATTCATCAACCCTCAGACAAAGCAATTGAATGGTTAAATCACTTAGAACTGAATTTCAAACCATTAATCTTCATTGGCCATGCAAAATCATCATCAGGGGGGTCCTGCATTGACAATGCACCCGCTCTTGCAAGATCTCCGGGCCTATGCAAGGTCGAGCCTAGATGGTGCTTGTATGGATCACCACCATGCATAAACTGGTGTTATAGGCTGCTGTGGAGCAACGCTATGGGCAGCAGAAGGCTGTGCATCATCTTTCATTGCTGTACTGTGGTCCAAAGTGTCTGGTTCCTGCCTTCACCAAAGCATACTGACCAGCATGGAGAAGTGTGCTTTATTAACCCTCACGAATCACGCAGCACACGCAGCATGGAGAGGCTTTTGTCCAGCAGCGGGTTCCGGGTGAGGGCCTCTCTGCACAGTGCGGGTCGCGGTGGTCATTATTCAACACAACTCTTGAAGTCCGACGGGTTCCGGCGCATTATAGGTAATTTGGTCACGGCCGTGCGTGTTCACATGCTTGCTTGAACGTGCCCACTGAACGCCCACCTGCATGCGTGTGTGCCGCAGAGCGCGGCCTGGTGCTCGCACAGAACTGCACGCGCCGCGTGGACACGGTATGCGCGTGCGAACCCCGCTCCTACTGCGCCGTCTTCACCGGTCACCACTGCGAACTGTGCCTCAAGAACTGGACCTGCACGCGTGGCCAGGAGATGAAGCAAGGTGAGCTTTGTGTCCACCAAGCGGAGTGCCGGTGGCACGTCCATCGTGTCGCGTTCTTCCTGTCTCATTTAAACCATCTCCCATGTTTGTTGTGGCTTGTGAAGTTGTGAAGTTTTTAAGTTGTGACTGTAATGATGTCTTCTATTTTTTATTTTCGGTTGTTAGTGAAGGACACGTTACATAAATGTTAAGATCCGGTGCGACAATAATGAACTAAAAAATAAAGATATTTTTCCAGGTAAGGCACATTGAACTACATAGCTCTTTTTCAGAAGCGACCTGGCCACAAATGATATTCAACGAAGTGGATTATCATGTGGAAATGTATAGCAGCTGGTAAAATACTCTAAACCCATGTTTCTAAATGTGGAGGGAAAAACCCAAAGAAGAATCCACGTGATCACAGGAAGAATGTGCAAACTCCAAATATACAGGCATCAGGATTGGAATGGAACCCCCACGACCTGTATACCAGGCGAGGTAGTCAAGATTTTGCCGCCGCAGCGCCAGTGGCGCCAATTATGGGAGAATTAATTGTGAATAGTAGATGTTGACGATCATTAAAATGATGCGAGAATGGATGGTGATTATCGAACACTGATGATGATGAGAGCATGGGTGGTGGTGATGATCACGATAACGACGTCCTCTCCCTCTTGTTTATTGTTCTGCAGGCAGCACCCAGACGGAAGCAGTGACCCAGATTCTAATCGGGATCTCCGTGTTCGCTCTCTGTGTCCTCTGCATCACCGGATTCTTTACGTGCAAGTCGTGCTTACGGGGACTACGCCATGGAGGCCATTAACCAGTGGATGTCTGCTGGAGAAATCCGCTTGTATTCGCCATAACTGTGTTTCAAGACTCCGAATGAAATGGCAGGAGACTGGCAAGGAAACGTCAATGCTGAGAACCTCTTCATCCGTCACAATTTTGGCGAGACTTGGTTGAACGCTCCGTACGATTCGGTGGAATTGCCCAAACTCGGCAGAGTAATGCCAAGGCACGTCATAGTGATTAACAAGTTGTAAAAGATAAAACAACATCGCAGGGAATCAATTTCAGGACTGTATCATGTTGACCATTGTGATTAGTTGACTCAGATTTGAAGTTTTTAGTGTTTTTGTTGAAGTCACAGTTAACGCCTCTGCAATACTGTGTGGTGTGACTTGCTAATGCTTAACTGCCCACCTCACTTTTAATCTTAGCTTCAAGGTCCCGATGAGCAGATGACCAAGATAAGATAATTGTCGCCTTTATTTTTCGGCAGTCGATCTTCATGAGCGTCATTAATCTGTCTGGGATTGGCATGGGTCTGCGATGCCGGGAATAGAAAGCAGCTGCTCTGTGCTTGTGACGGTTGGGAGGAGAACGTTTTATCGGACCCCAGACAGCGAGAATGTTCACTTTGGGAAATGCGTGCACTGTGGCATCATTAGCACTGGAACTTTGGACATGCAGCCTGAGATTGCTCCAGGTTGACGGGTGAAATCTCTCAAGATGGAAGTTAAACGGACAGTTTGAGACCCATCATCTCGGGCGCAAGATCACCAGTACCAAGCGGAGGAGAACAGCTAATGCTTTGAAATATTTTGAAACATAAGATTATATTTATATATAAATTACGTGGTGTATTGCGCTGCACCATGTCTGTCACTACACCAGCTTAGAGCGCGGCTTATTGGACGCGAGAGGAGGGAGGCCAGGCCACGTCGAAACTGACACAACGACAACAACAGTGCATATCGCCGCTGGGGATTCTGGGCAAGTTGTGAAGAGTCCACATGCCTTGCTGAGAGAGCAGAGAGAAAGAAATTGTAAGCCACGAGAGGCAGGCGAATCACCTGGAGGAATCCTGGTGAGTTGATTGTAGCCGCCCGGGTAGCCCCTGGTGGTCCGATGCTGCGTTGGACTCTCTCTGTTAGTGCAGCCATAATAGGGAATGCCAAGTGGGTTCGAAACTTGGACTCTATCCGTTTTCTCTCCTGCTCATTTCAACTTTTTTTTTACCATCCCTGAGACTGGCTGTGCAAAGGGATATAAGGATGCATCTATTGTCGATAACAATAAATTATTTTACTCGTTTAATTGTGAGAATCGCATTTTTTTTAACTCGTTGAGCAAATTATATTCCATATAATATGTGAACATTGCATTTAGTTTCACAGTAGGTGTAATTTTGATTTAAAGCTTTCGTGACTGCAGGGATTCATATTCTTGGTTCTTTGCGGTAAAGTCACGTAGAAGGGAAACAATAAAATAATAAAAATGTAAAACAATAAAATTATCACGACGTTTCGACTGCAACACAAGCAATCATCATCAGGTGTGAAAACCACAGCAAGAAAATTTGAAAAAAGTGGCAGTTACTTTTTATCGTCTACAGGAAAGCTACCCATACGGATACTTACCTGAAACCGGATTCCCACCACCATCCATCCCAGAAGAATTCCCTCATCAAGACTCTGCACTATAGAGCCCAATGCATATCCGACCAGGAACACATAGCCAGTGAACTCAAGCACGTACACCATGCTCTTAAGGCTAATGGTTACTCCGACTACACAATCCGCAAAACTATCACTCCAACCATGAAGAAGGACCCTCTTGAGGAGCCTTTCAAAACCATCACTTTACCCTAGATTGCGGGGATCACAAAAAAGATATCCAAAATCTTGAATAAACACAAGATCCAAGTTAGATTCAACACATTACATAAAATCCGTGATCTGGTTCCGTCTGTAAAAGATGTGATTCCGGACATACAGTACCCTGGCGTCTACAAACTAAGTTGCCTCTGTGGTAGTAGTTACATTGGAGAAACCAAACGACATGTCTCGGACCGCATTCGAGAACACAGCAGACCTAAAACACGGTAGGACCAACACCTCGGCCGTGGCAGATCACTTATAATTCAGTAGGCTCACATGACATTGACTTCTCCAAGATAGAGGTTCTTTGCAAGCCATCTGGCTACCATGAGAGATTCGTTCATGAGGCTATCCACATGTACAAACACAGACAATTTCAACCGAAAAGATGGATATTCTGGCTTAGCAATCATTGGAAGGATTAGATCAACCATTTCGGGTCTTAATTGATTGTTCACGCTTACGGTGGCTTTCAGACCGCATCCATTATTTTTGTCTCCCCCCTCTTTTCTGAACATAGATGGACTCGTCCATCTGAACGAACTGTCAAATCACTCTCCGTGGTGCTAACGTAAAAATAACCGCCACTTTTTTCAAATTTTCTTGCTGTGGTTTTCACACCTGATGATGATTGCTTGTGTTGCAGTCGAAACGTCGTGAGAATTGTATTTTATATTTTTATTATTTTATTGTTTCCCTTCTACGTGACTTTACCGAAAGAACCAAGAATATAGTAAGTGTAATCTTACAAATAATATGAGTATTGAACAAATATCGGTTATTGAATAACATCGAGACACGGAATGGTGACAATTAACAGAATCTCTGTCGTGTTCGGTGGTGCAGATGATTCAATTATCCAGACCTTGAAGTCCACACAAATACAAGCCAAGTTACTCTCATCCGTGTGACGCTTGTATTGCTGGTGGACTGGTGCTTTGCAGTACACTGGAGCCATTTTTTGGGGAGGTTTTCTGGTGTCGTGTGTGTGGAATCAATAGTAATGGATGAAATGGTGCATCATTATATAGCCCTGGACGTGCCCTACCCAGGTGCACGTTGGAGTTAAAAATGCAACAATGTAAGTTACGAAAGAGTGACGATGTGAGAGCGAGTGCCCGCGTACGGCCTGCGCGTGTCCTGAAAACTGCTGTACTGCTGCCATTTCGAATCGAGGTGTGTTTCGAGTATTTGGCCTCTACGATAAATTTACGCGGGATAAGCCACTGCGTTGAGACATAATTTGTGGCCAGGTGACTTCTGAAAAATAGCAATATAGCCCAGTGGGCTTGACCTGGTAAAATAAAAAATAAAAATGTGTTTTTTAGTTGCACCAACGATGCAACAGCGCCTACGAAGAACAGGAATACCCAGATAACACAGCACTGGAGCGAAACGTCTCTAAGTCATTGGTGAGGATGAGGTTTATTGGTCATAACTTGATAAACAAAAATGCATCATTGCGTATAAATAGTAATAGCTGGGTAAATGTGACAGTTGTCTTGTGGTGGAGGGTTAATGACGAGACTTTTTGCTTGGAACTGCGGTCTGCGTCAACCCGAAAACCTACGTTTGGAGTGAAAGTTGAATTAAAGTGTAGGGTTGCCGTGATATGGCGATAGTACGCACGATATCAAACTATGATGGTTGTGTCATCCATTTTGCAAAATAATGTATCGCAATGATCGTTCATTAAATAGTTATAATATTTAATTTCCCATCAAAATGTAAAATAGAAATGAAGTTCACAATGATGAATACAATTCTAAATATTCTTGGTTCTTTCGGTAAAGTCGCGTAGAAAGAAAATAATAAAAATAAAGCAATACAACATGTATTTTATTATTTCGCTTCTACGTGACTTTACTGAAAGAACCACAAATATGATTCACTGCAGTCACTAAAGCTTTAAATCGATCATTCTAAATAGCGGTTTCCCAATAAATCAGTAATTTGTAAACGTTTTGCAAAATTATAATGGTGGTTGTATGACAATTTATTTCTGACGGTATGTGCATAATAAGCAATATTGATTTTACAGTCTCAATGATCAGAAGACTTACGGCAGGCTTATGTTTAGTGTGCTGCAGTTGAATAACTTAGGAAATTTGTATTCATAGTTCATGTATATCAAAGCAAAAACACGACGCGATACTAATTTTAAATACAATTGCAAAGTTATGGGGAACTGACATCACGAAAATCGTCGCATTGCAAAGGTGTATTTATTATGGCATTGTAGCCAATTATATCACGACGATCATATCAATTTACTTTTTAAAAAGTTATAATATAAAATTGCAGGTTTCCCATGATCCCCCGTCACACGCGTGGTGTTTTCTCTGGGCTCCAACCAGAAATACAGTTGTCAGAATTGGCCGATCATCCCGAAATATGACTCGTGATCATGAGTATTGAGATCCACCGAGGTTTCGATTTAAAGCTTTCGTGACTGCAGGGATTCATCTTCTTGGTTCTTTCGGTAAAGTCACGTATTATTTCCCTTCTATGTGACTTTACCGAAAGAACCAAGAAGATGAATCCACCAAGGTGTTTGAGGATAAACATTAATTATGATGTCTGCTGTATATATTGGGAGTTTGCATGTTCTACCCTTGGTAGTGTGGGTTTTTCTCTAGGTCCTCCGGGTTTTCCCCTCCACATTTAGAATCAATATGCGTTCAGAATATTTGGTTGTTATAAATTTCCACACAATCCGCTTCTGTGCACTATCATTTTTGGTCAAGTCACTTCTAAAAAAGCTATATGGCTCAGTGGGCTTTATTTGGTAAATAAAAAATATATATTTTACCATCATAATGTTTTCTGATTACTGCACTGATTAGAGCACAATATCAAGTTGACAATGGATCCCTGCAATTATTCACTCGTGCCACAGCTGGTGGAATGGTTTACTTATCTACGTTGTTCATGCATCCTGGACGAGAGTACCCACACTTTTCCCCATCACTGGTGGTACAGGGAGGCCACATTTTTAAAGATACGTTTTTTTCAAGATATAATTAATGAACAAGGTTTGAGTTAATCTTTTAGAATTTACTGAGAGGTAAGCAATGTTTGAGGACATGTTTTATTTTCACGAAAATGTCGCTCAATGTGCAATAATGCAGTTTTAAAACTTTCATTGAAATTTGGTACGTAAAATCGCGTTGGAAGTTTGAGCAATACATATTAACGTTGACTAGAATATGCAGCTTGTACAAAGAGTTACCAATTCTGTAGAATATTAATTTTGCCAGCAGCTGGAAAGCCAGTTCTTTTTTGCTGCTCTGCTGTTTACGTTGCTCAAAAGCAAAGTTATTGACTTGTGAATGTAGTGTGTGCATTATGTATGTATGTTGAACTCCTTTCGCACCGTACGTAACCAACCGTGGTTAATCGGATGTGAATGAATGCAATTTGGGTGAGATTTCATCAAACATCCAGTGAAAACTTCCTTGGCCGATCTCCAAATCACCAGGAATGCGCTCCATCACATTGAATCTCTGTGAAGTTGAGCCTGGATCGTGCTTGGACGGGTGCCTGCCATGCACAACTGATGCTGTAGGTTGCTGCTGCAAGGGATACCATCAGCAGAGAGCAGTTAAGCAAAAATCATTATTGTACTGCATTTTTCTCCAATGTTCTATGCTTCCTGCCTTCAACTTACACTCATCAGCAGTGGTTTGAAAAAAAGGCTGTAAATAATGATAGCTGCTGTGTGGCGATGTGGTGATCAGCAGAGGGCAGTGCAGCAAAATGCATAGTTCCGTACTTTATTGCTTGCTGCCTTGACCAACCTGCACATGCAAACATGCTGAAGTATGGTCAAATAACGCTTATGAGCGACATGGCATGAGGAGGCCTTCAACAGTGGAGTGACAGATCGCTATACATTTATCAGTGTCATAATGTGATTCTATGCAGACCTAGTCTGGGTTAAATACGATGAACGTGACATTGCGTGCCATTCACCTTTGTCATTCTAATTGAGCGAGGGCATCATTTGCCCACACGTGTCTCTCCAGCAAGTGAAATGAGGTGAGGCAGCATTCAAAACAATTACAAAATGAATATCAATTTATCCTGCTGGATAAGCAGATGCAAAGGAAGAGTAAAAAAACTTTACATTTGTTCCACCAGACGCTGACAGGAGATGGAATCAAACCGGTGACCTCAGGGTTGCGAGTGCAGCGTGCTGACTTAAACCACTGTGGCAGCTGTCTTCTTGGATAGAAATATGAGCGTCGCATGTTCATTGCTCGAGACATACACGTGCGGCAGAACTGTTTCTACCGTGTTTATATTCATTTACCCGAAATGCTTCCAGTGGCTTCCTTACTAATTCGGAAGCCACTGGATCTATGCACTTTTAAATCTAAATTGCAAACGTGTTTCTTTAGAACTGCTTTTTGTGTTTAGTTTGTCTTCCCCCGCACATCTTGATTAACACGGTTGGCTACGTACGGTGCAAAAGACGTTGAGCGCATACAATGCAGAAAATGTTTCGAACCACCGTACTCAAGATCAATAAGTGGTACAAGGCAGAAATAAATTAATACGGAACACACGAGACTTTAAACAACACGGCAGCACAAATAAGACAGAGTAATAATGTTGTTTCACTTGTGAGCAAATAAGAGCGTGTCTGTGTGCCCTCACAATTACACGAGCTTTTGTCTTGTCTGTGTACACAGCATGTTTGACGATTTGACGGACGGGTTAGCATTGTGCGATGGTATCACCACAACTGAACTCAATAGGTGTGTCGCAGGGCCCGGTTACTGAGCCAGGGCCATTGTGAGGTGCTGCTGAGTTTGGCCCTGCACCACCAAATGTCCCGCGGCCCACGGAAGCTCACGCTCCTCTATCGTCGGGTTGTCCGTCTTACGGTACCCCCCCCCCCCCCATTACCAAGGCAACGAGCAGAGAGAAGACATAAAGCTAGTGGCTATAATTCCAGACTTTGGAGGTCAGGTGCCAAGTAGACAACAGCTGTGGGGTCTAAGAGCCGGGTGGTGGTGGCTGTGCTGCAATAACTGAACACTGCAGGCAGCAGCAAGGGTTGGTGGATGACCACACAAAATACTGTTTTGTGTGGGTTCGATCCGACATTACGTTTCTTTACGGTTAAGAAAGCACTACTTCCAATACTAAATATCTAAATAGCTGCGGAAGAGTTACACTAGCATATAGAGCAGCGAATCCATGTATAACAAGAATAGCCTTTCACGACAGATTCTTTTTTTTCCATAAGAAACAATAGGCCTATCCCTTTGAAATATATTATTTTAGATGTATCAGAGCATGGCTCCGACAAACGCTTTCAACAGGAACGCTCGTCTCGAACATTTAACTTTGACATGCCTATGCTTGTTTTGATTAATAAAGATAACTATATGCGAAAAATATTTAATCATTGTTAACTCAACACAAGGATGACTCCTCTCATTAAGTTACAGCTCCATTCTGTCTTTTGCGTTGGCAAACTTGGAGATCCCCTTTCTCCAAATTGACTGCCTCAGCTGTTTCCCTCCCCATATACAACAGTGCGAGATTAGAGAGCCGATCCTCTCGCATTGTTAACCGCAATACGGTTTTTTTTTGTATCAATTCGAGGTGACTTTAAGCTTCTCTCAGCCTTCGTGCTGCTAATATGGATGGTCAGATATATCCGATACGCGATGCTCAGGTTTGGGAAGGCACGGTCCATGCCATGTCATTTGCAATGAGGAACGGGGAGAAACTGAGTGGTGTGAAGTTCACTTGTCAATGAAGAGGTCCTTGTACATTCTTCGAAAACAGATGCATTCATCCACCGCTGACTCGGCCATCAAATAATCAGAGTACTGTTGTGCAAGCATCTTTGCATTCTCCGTTGAATCAGGATGAAAAAAAGAATGCTTTTAATCAAGCACACAATGTCCTCGCCATTACTCTGAAGTCGGCAAGTTGCCCCACAAATACGTCGAGGATGTAGTAAAATATTGACTTAAAGCTTTCGTGACTGCAGGAATTCATATTCTTTGGATCTTTCGGTAAAGCCATCTATCTACGTGGCTTTACCGAAATACCCAAAGAAGATGTAGTTAAAGGTGCGTACTTTGAAGCGGTCTTTATTTGCCCCAACCCAGAAGAAAGATCCTACTTGTGCAGCTGGTTACACAATGACAACACAGAAACAAACAAGCGATGTGCAATAATAGGGTTTTTCCCCTTTTTCTGGCAGCAAAACTGAAACCTTTTTACAAGGATTCATGTCTGCATTAACCACAATACCTGCAGTCAAAATGCAAACAAAAACATACTATGATAATATATGTGGCATTGTCCTTGAAACTGATTGGTCCACACCAAGGGACGGCGTTCTTTCTTTTGTTGCCAGAAACAAAGGGGAAAACCCCTATTATTATATTTTGGTACTGGCAAAGGAGGTCTAATGAAGCGATGTGCAATTTGCGGACTCGAAACGTTAGTGCTCTAATTAAATAAAAGCAAAAGGTTGAACGTAAATGAAAGCATTTTCATAAACATACATGTAAACCGCATTTTAAATAATTGCGTTGTACCTTTACACTGTTGAAAATATATCTCGTGGTGGTTGTCAAGGGGGCCCCAACTCGTAGCTTTTGCCACCCCCTGCCCCCACGCCAGCTACGCTCCTGTGCACACCGATAAGTGTTCATTGCCGGAATTTATCCAAATTAAGTGCAAAACCAAACTGGCCATGTGCCAGCACTGCTGATATCCGTTTGGATCAAGGCAACTACTGGCTTACCAATTGTGGCGAGTTGATGTATCCGCCCGGTCACCATCAACTACACTGGAAATGTAAAACTTAACACCATAGTCCAGTATGTGAAATAAAGATTAATCTACATGGGTGAGTTATGTTGAACTTCTTTCGCACTGTACATAGCCAACCGTGTTAATCGAAGGTGCGGGAAAGGACAAAAATTGTAAAAACAAAAAGGAGTTCTAAATAAATTAGTTTTCAATTTAGACGTAAGGGGCTGTCCATAAATGGCGTCACGCACCTGGGGGGGGGGAGTCAGACATTTGTGACGATGGGGGGGGGGGGGGTTGAGAAATGTGACGTCACATCAAAATGCACAACTTTAAATACATATAGACAACATGTTTTACTTAATTAAATAGACTTTTTAATAAATGTTTTCTCCTACATCAGAGTGCAGCGCCACATTAAATACGCACTACAATGACAATAGTTTAAAGCGATTTGAAGCATTTTTTTTTTTTGGGGGGGGGGGAGAGCAGAGCTTTGTGACGTCATACTTGAGGGGGGTTGGGTCTGACTTTTTGTGACGCCGTGTAACGAAGGGGGGGGGGGGGTCAAAATCGCGTGACGTCATTTATGGATGGCCCCTAATAGTGCATAGCTCCAGTGGCTTCCTAATATCGGAAGGAAGAGCGTCCCAGACGGCCGTAGCAGCACATCTGAAAGCGTGCAATGCGGTGATTGCCTTTGTTCGATGGTTAGCCAAAAGCCAATGCGAGGATGACCGGAGTTTCAGTGATGGTTTATGCTCCTTGACAAGATCAGCGAGGTATTGTTGTTCATTTATGGCAAGTTCTCTGTGTGTAATAAGCGCAACCTTATTCGTTCAGAAGCCGGACGCTAATGCAGCTCAGCTAGCACCAGACAGACATGGTCGCATCTTGCAGTACCCGTCACGAAACGTGCCTAAGAACGTTGTACACACCGCAACTTGCTAACGTTTTTGCCAGACGTCCCGTAGAGTAGTGAGTTGCAATAATCGAGCCTCGTCGATAATATGGTACAGGCCGCTGTGTTGGCTATATCGCGACTCAATAGTGGCCGAATGTGTCGTAGAGCCCTGATAGGAACATTTCAGGACCTGACTGTATTTTGGACGTGGTTATCAAACGACATTTTGGTCGAGTATGGTGCCAAGGCTCTTCATATCAGTGAAAAAAAAATTAACCCTGGAGTCTGCGACCGCCACACCTAATCCTGCAGCAAATGTTTTCGCGTGAGCCTGAGTTCCAACTTACAGAACCTCTGATTTTCCTGGATTAAGCAGCATTTCGTTTCGTGTACACCACACGAGCACCGCTCGCGTACAATCTTCGAAGTTACCGAGGCTCTTCTTATCTAACTTTGACTTCACTGTGGTGTACAATTGTGTATCATCAGCATATTGATGGAATATCATTTGGCCAGAACACGTCTGTGTCCATTTCCCTGCTGTTTGCAGGGGATGGCCATCAAACCAGCTTGCACCACGGGTATCACTAAAATGCCTAATGAATACATTTAGAATATAAAACTCAAAAACAACGTGCACAAAATATCTCGTCCAGGAATAGAAATAATTTAAGCACTTTTGTCATTCCACTGCTGGATGAATGCGCACACGTACATGTCATTCAAGTGGGATTGTTTGACCATACTTTCCCACGTTGGTTACTGGGAAGTCAGTGGAAGTGGGTACCCCAGGGACAGTTCAGATATCACCGCTGTTGTTAACCATGGCCAGTAATCAAACTCAGTTTGTTGGGTTTGTGGCGCAGTGCATGAACCAGTGCTACGCCCCCCCCCCCCCCACTTAAAATCCATATCCTGCAATCAAAATGGACCTTCATCCGCAGCATACATCGGCACAGACAATATCTCTTTAATTTTGATTTAAAGCTTTCGTGACTGCAGGGATTCATATTCTTGGTTCTTTCGGTAAAGTCACATATAAGGGAAACAATAAAATAATAAAAAATATATAAAACAATACAATTATCACGACGTTTCGACTGCAACACAAGCAATCATCATCAGGTGTGATCAGGTGTAATGATGATTGCTTGTGTTGCAGTCGAAACGTGATAATTGTATTGTATTATATATATTTTTTTATTGTTTCCCTTCTACGTGACTTTACCGAAAGAACCAAGAATATAGACAATATCTCCTTTAGCTTTTTCTAACTGTGATCATGCAAATAATATAATTATTATGAACCCATGTTCTGTTCACTGCTGGACAAATGACTCCTCCCCGAGCCATCGCTCACGAATTTACGATGTCCCAATCCACCCAGCGCCTGCAGCACACGAGCTGATGAAACAAACATGAGTGTCAATTAATGTTATTTTTGCTTAACCAGCCCTTGAACTCCTCTCGGCCCCAATAGTAAACACATTAAATATAATATTAGTTGGTTTTAAGTGTTAACTTTATAAAAAATAAGAAAGCGTGTTTTACTGGCTATTGCCGCAGTTAACAAAGCCTAAACACTCTTACGTTCTTTTTTTGTGCTGAGTAGATAATAGGCATCTCTTCAATACGATACCACGTGGCAGCATAGTTACCCAAACTGCAATGTGTTTGCATACTTTTATTACAATCGAGTTTATATAGTAATAGATTGTTGATTATTGAAGGGTTTGTCTTTTGCTCAATATCTATTGATATGTAACTATTCATATGCAAATTTAAAACTTTAATCGGGAGATATTTAAAATATATATATCATCAAGCCCAGTGGTGTGGAGTCCTTAACTCTTGTCCACTCTTTCTTTCTGGCCTCTGTGTGTGTGTGTGTGTTATGAAAAAGGGCCATTGCTCGAAATGTCACTTATTATATAGACGTTTATTTTGAGGCCACATGGTGTTTTTTGAGACGGAACGTGTTGGGGTGTTTTTGTAAAATGTTATTGTGCACTCTTGCCAGCTGAGCAGCAGTATCACGAACTCAATTGTTTAACTCTGGTGTTTACGGTTATTCCATTTTCACACAATGAAGATTGTTCCGGTTGTCATTGTCACATACTTTTTGCAAACACGTGGCTCCTTTTTTTAAATAAGATATACTGTTGACTCGTTTGACATGCCTCCTGGCATCAAAGCCTACTGACGTGAAAACAACCTCAATTAATTCAGGATGTCTACTAAATAATTATTTGAGGTTTTTGTTGTTGATTGTATCTCAGGTTACACAGCTGGCTTACAATACGTATTTAACAACTGTTGATTTTAACAAAATTGGCTATGTTGCCTGCAGGGCAGTTTAAAGAGGTTGTATTTCAAGGCATTATTCTACTCAGCCCATTTGTTTTTCCAGCACCTTTTGGTGAAACACATTTATCTCGAAGAGCCATTTAGGTGACGTTCTTCTTACAAAAGGTCGCATGTTCCGAAAGCCAAGAATATGACCGCTCTCCGAGCCATGGCGCTTACCCTCCTCATCGCCACGTCGTGTGCGTTGCTTGGCATCAGCGAGTGTGTGAATGTTGTGGAGTTCACCGACAGCGCTGCCGGTGGGATAACGTTCGCGTACACGTCCGAGGGTAAGCGATTCATCCAAGTTATAAATACATTTCGGATTTTGAAATGTTTTTAAAAAGGCCATGACGTCTGATTGTTTTTTTTCCGTTTCATCAGAGGATGCGTTTATCGGTCGATGTTTGAATGCCGATTTGCCTACATCGATAAACATTTACTTAGACGTGTGTGCACGATCAGGGACGAATTGGCATGAAGCCCACTGCGGTTTATAAAACAGTGGAGTGTGTGTTGACTGAGGAAACCAGAACATGGTCTTGTTATTGGAGCGTTTTATTGCCGATGGCGAATGGCAGGAAAGCCTGGAAACAAGTTGATTAAAAGGCAATGCCTAGAAGACAGAGCCATTGGTCAGTAGAAAATGAGGGAGCACAATTGAATGTGTGGACAGGGTAAAGATGGACATCAAGCAGGCCAGTCATTTGAACACCTTAGGTGCAACGTTACCTGAGGAAAGAGGGTGCGAGTTACAAGCGAATGTGTTGAGGCAGGATGACTTCAATGAAGAGAGGCTTCAGGATTTGAAAGTGATCAACCAAATAAAGTTGCCAAGACAACTCGACGGGAATGTAGATAGAAGAGTGATGCACTGTAGAGACGTGGGCACTTAAAGAGATAGACGAGAGAGACCTGAATGGGCACAGATGAGAATACTGAGGAGGATGTAGGGAATATCTCTCAGGAAATGAGGCGGTATGAAGAGAAACCAAAGGCGTTCATGGTCTGGGCGCGTGTTCAATGAGGCCGATAAGGTTGTGACGAGGAGGGCTGTGGAGATGCCACCGATGCAATGCAGCAAGAGGAGAGAGAGACCGAGGGGGCGATGAGAGGGTGCGGCGGAACGAGACGCGAGGGCCGTGGATGTGGCTGGAGAAGTGGCACGGAGTAGAGGTTCATGGAGAAGGGAAATCTGAGCATCCGACTCCGTGCAATAGTATGATTTTCTTGCTTGGAAGACCAAACGTATTCTTAGAAGTGTAATCAATGAAGTACCACCAATTATAAACACGACTGGAGTACTGTGTTCTCCGGACCAATAGACACTCTGGAAAGGCACATCCCAAACTTGTGCCCGGTCTTTCATGGGAGAGCAGGCTATGGCATGGATACCGTGAAAGAGCAATTACAAATGAATTCGATAGACTCTTGTTAAGCTAAAGGTTTGTCACTACATCCTACACTCGAGCGAGGTTGAGCCATGTATGGTGTTTATCAGACGAACATCCCAACACGTGTGGCTCTGTGTGCAGCCAGCGTCTGTGGTGTGTATGTGTGACATCATTAGACTTCCAGCAGCACATGACATCGTTGTAGGCTACAACCTACGATAGAGTTTGACTTTTGGCCAAAACTGACTCCAGAAAAGAACTGGCACAGAGAGAGGTTGGTGTTTAATTGTAAGTGTATGATCGTGGACATTAAGGGATATTTAGGATTTAACGATGAGAAGAGTACTCTATGGTTATTTCGGTAAAGTCACGTAGATAGAAAATATTATAGATCACAACGTTTCGATCGCAAGACAAGCAACCGTCTTCAGGTGAAAAAGAGGGGGAATCTGCTGAAGCAGGCTGTTTATAAAGGTTTAGAGATGGGCGGGGCAGCTAATGTAAATGTAGGAGCGAGCAGGAGAGTGTGAGTAGGAGAGAGAAATTTGCTTGTAAATGTAAACTCGGCGAGGCACGAGCTGGGCTAGAGCCTGGAAATCCGCTTGTAAGTGTAAATGTAAGCTCGGCGAGGGCCGAGCTCGGCGATAGGAGTGTGTGGTCTGTGGCAGGACACCACGTTATGGCTAGCAGGGTAACCGGTGGTTGGGATGAGCGATGGAGTGGCAGCCAGATGAGAGAACGCGCCCGAGGGATGTTCACCAAAGTTCAGTCGATATGCCTGAGGGATTCCTGCCAGTCAAGAGAGATGTTTAAGTGCCTGAAATGGGGACGGCATAGATAAAGGCAGAACTAAAACCTTCCCACGGGGGAATACCGAGAGTGCAATATTAATAATTATTCCATTGATTGTCTCTGGTGAATATCAATAAAATACCAGTTCTCGGGGTCTTAAGGGGGGGCGATGTGGGCCCCTGGGATCCACCGCTGGGTTGGTGGCGGGGTTTATGGGGACCAGGGGTCCTTTAATTGGTGGGGCCACTTCACCAACAACTTAGAGAACCACGGAATTACAACACAATCAGTAATAATACTGTGCATCCCTGTGTTAATTCACCGCTGGATGAAGGCCCCTCCTCGCAATGTTGGTCATGGGGGTTTCTTTGACCATAGTTCAGAGTTTCTCGGTCATTGCTCGGTTGATGAAGCGTGGAGCCCAGGGCCCGTTCTTGATTTCACTCGCCACTGATATAAACCCTGGATCAGGAATTAAACTCAGGCGCCGGTTTAACAACGCGCACTTCATTAACTACTGCGCCAGCGCTCCACCCCATTGCAAACATGCATGTGTTTGCTGTGATTTGTGTTTGCTATGACATGTGTTCGCAAGGATATGCGTTTGCTATGACATGCGTTTGCTATGACAAGTGTTTGCTATGACATGTGTTTGCTATTACTTGTGTTCACTATGACATATTTGCTATGACTTAGGTTCGCTATGACATGTGTTTACTATCGCTATGACTTCTGTTCGCTATGACATGTGTTGCTGTGACTTGTGTTCGCTATGACATGTGTTTGCGATGACTTGTGTTCGCTGTGACTTGTGTTTGCTATCACTATGCCTTGTGTTCGATTTGATTTGCGTTTGCAGTTCCAAAGGACATCAGTGCAGTCACTTTCTACTTCAATATCAACAGCAGCTTCGACAGTTGCAGCTCCAGCACCGACTACACAGGCTACGGGACACTCGCTCCAGGTGCTTGAGAATCCCGAACGAGCCCCTTCTGTCACATATTTATTCAACTGGCACCCACGGGATGCATCTTGCCTACCAGTTTCAGTTTCTTTTTCAGTTTCATTTATTTGGTATAGCCCTGTAAGCCATTCAGCTTTTGAATTGGGTGCAACCGCAACAAGCAAAAACATGAACAAGAAACATCTTAAAGTGACTATGCGCAAACAGAAAAATCCAGGAAAAAACAGCAAAGTCTTCCAGAAAAAGCACCGTATTCAGAAAAAGCACCGTATACCAAGGCTCGTGGAGTGGCTTGCCAAGCAACGGCTCACTGACGGATGTCGTTCTTTCTCAAATGCCCTCTGCTCATGTAGCAGCTGATGGTTCAGCTCCCTCCATTTCGTCCGATCTTGAGATGTCTTATTCTTGGTTTCTTCGGTAAAGTCACGTAGAAGGGCAATAATAAAATAAAAATAAACCAAAAAAATTATCACGACGTTTCGATTGCAACACAAGCAATCATCATCAGGTGTGAAAACCACAATAATTTTTTGAAAAAACCGCCACTCTTTTCAAATTTTTCTTGTAACTGTAGAAAAGAAGGAGAAGAAGAGCGGCCTCTTCGACGAGGGAGTGTAACCCAACGGGTGTAATCAATCATGCTAATCCCTCACATTAACATAGCCACTTCCGTACCCTCGTCGAGGAGGCCGCTCTCCTATATTACATTTACATGCTAATTTCTCACGTTAACATCACTAACCCCGGCCACTTCTTTATGACCCTTGAGCTACACCCGTTTAAAACCTTTTAAAACAGTGTGCCTCAGCAGCAGACCATGATTTCCCACCTGATGATAGACACTTGTGTTGTGCCCGAAACGTGATTTATTTTATTTTATACTTATGTGACTTTACCGAAAGAACCAAAGAGTATGGATTTCTGCAGTCACGAAAGCTTTAAATGCAGATTAAAATATACAAACTCCAAATATGCAGGTACCAGGGTCGGGATTGGGAACCTACAGCCTCATGTATGCGAGGTAGTTAACATCTCGCCACCATGGCGCCCGACCTCTGCTGCACTCCACAGCACGATGATAAGCGGCAAGGGAGTTGTATAAGACTATGCTGGATTACAGGCAACCACGTGCAGCATACATTATGAGACCTCCTTTGCCAGTAACAAGATATAGGAATAGGTTTTACCCTTTTAACTGGCACAAAAAACTGACACCTTTATTCAAGGCATCATGTTTGCAATAACCACAACACAAGCAGTCAAAATGCAAACAAAAAAGACAACTCTGATAATAATATGCACTGTCCTTGAATTTGATTGGTCCACACCCGAGACGGCTTTTCTTAGAGCCTAGTCTCCATTGGTGTTGAACCAGAAGACGCCAAAAGGCGTACAACTCAAAAGTGTCAGTTTTTTGTGCCAGTTAAAATGGTAAAACCTATTCCTATATCTTGTTACTGGCAAAGGAGGTCTCATAATGTAAATGCTCACCCTGAGCCCTCAATACTCTGATAGTGCGCTGTTTTTGAGTTGTACGCCTTTTGGCGTCTTCTGGTCTAACACCAATGGAGACTAGGCTCTAAGAAAAGCCGTCTCGGGTGTGGACCAATCAAATTCAAGGACAGTGCATATTATTATCAGAGTTGTCTTTTTTGTTTGCATTTTGACTGCTTGTGTTGTGGTTATTGCAAACATGATGCCTTGAATAAAGGTGTCAGTTTTTTGTGCCAGTTAAAATGGTAAAACCTATTCCTATATCTTGTTACTGGCAAAGGAGGTCTCATAATGTAAATGCTCACCCCGAGCCCTCAATACTCTGATAGTGCGCTGTTTTTGAGTTGTACGCCTTTTGGCATCTTCTGGTCCAACACCAATGGAGACTAGGCTCTAAGAAAAGCCATCTCGGGTGTGGACCAATCAAATTCAAGGACAGTGCATATTATTATCAGAGTTGTCTTTTTTGTTTGCATTTTGACTGCTTGTGTTGTGGTTATTGCAAACATGATGCCTTGAATAAAGGTGTCAGTTTTTTGTGCCAGTTAAAAGGGTAAAACCTATTCCTACACGTGCAGCATAGCCACCGCCACCTGGCTAATGGGTGTTATTGTCTCGCCAATGATTGCATTAAACATTTGATCAAATTGCATTTGATGAGCACAAAGCAACAGTCCACTGCGGCGAAATGAGAGCACCATTAAATATTTTCACAAGTATGAGCGACCCTTCACAAACTTTGAGCGGTCTAAAATGTCACTTGGTAGGGTCCTCCAACGGCCATACTTTGACATCTCCTATATGAAGGATGATACCAAGTTAATAAGGATTCGTAAATTGTTACGTCTGTATTTTCTGTTGATGTGATTGCTGGCGCGCTATCGGCATCGCGTTCTGAGACAGGAGGCGCCGTTCGGAGAGTTCGCAGAGCGTCGAGACCGCGTGGACCTGAGGACGGGCCCCACGAGGCACTTTCGTCTCGGGAGAACTCCGCTCGGAAACCCCTCCAAGGGGCCGTCTCCGCTTTACTCAATAATTGACATTTATAAGGCGGGGAGCACACTTCCCAGCAACACGCCCTGCCATCACATTAGCGTTGGCTGCATAATATTCAAATCAACATTTGACTTTTCATAGCTAGAATTTAGCTTGAGTGTAGAAACCAAGGCCGTAATTATAATATATTCAAGTATGTTCAAAATGTCCCCCCCCCCCCAATATATTGCTATAAAATAGATTTCTATTTATATGATTGTGGTTATGGTTGTACTTTATAAATCCCTACAATACACCATTGGACATTATTGTTAAAAATAAAAGTCCATCCCATGTGTTAGTGAATTTTTTAATATTTTAGGCAGGAAATGTCAGGAAACTAGTTTTCAATTAAAGATTTTTTTCTGTGGCGGGGGACTTCCAGACCCCCTGGAAGATTTGGTCCCCCCCTCCAATGTTGACTCCATGGCTACGGCCTTGGTAGGAACAAATTGAATGTGTAGTGATTGGTGTCCAGGTTGAGGCTATCGACTTGCTGCTGTAACGGACCCCCGGCTTGCCACGTTGTTCTGTAGAGTGGATGCACCTCACGCACCTGCCTCGCTGGACTCACCGTGCCTATATCCGTGATTCACGCTGTGGAAATGCACATGATGTTCTCCATGCACGTCCTGTACAGTGAAAGTGATTTGTGTTCTATGTACGTGCTTATCAGAGGTGCAGGGGAAGGACAACAAACTAAATACAAATTGCAGTTCTAAAGACATCAGTTTTGAATTTACAGTTTGAGAAATGCTGCCCTCCTATTCGCCGGGGTGTCTCACAGCACTTCGCATTTCATCTCAACCTGGCCTGCAAACGGGCATGAGTCTGCCAGTAGGGGGTCGAGGATCTCTCTGTGCAATCCCAATTGAGTACGCTTGTCGTGATCTGCTACACTCTGTGGCGGAGACCATCAACTCACGGCTCCTGACAATTAGGATTAGCCACGGACGGTTGAAACACCGAATCGAACTCAGACTCTCAGCGGTGTTGGCTTCACAGTAACCATACATATGTTGGGCGAACGTTTCATATTTACTGGATTGGCGCCCTAAATTCTTGAGTTTTCCGCCTGCCTCATCATTATATTTGTTGTTTTATTTTGTAACCCGTTTGCAGATGGATATTGGAAATACAACGCGTTTTACCTTCTGTCCACGGCCAATACGTGTATATACAGCTGTGCCATGTACGTCGTTAAAGGCTTCACCTACTTTGTGCCCACGTCCCACACCCTGTTATGCGGTGAGAGCCCTTCGTCATTCATTCACAACGTGCATTTTACCACATTTCGTACTGAACTCTTATGATATAAATGATTTGTCTACATAGATCCTAACCAGCCCAAGCCTACCGTCGCGCCCCAAGTCCAATTCCCTCCCCTCTCATCTATACATTTCTATTTCTCTATTTAAATCAGCTCAAGCCTCCCCGTAAACCAGGTGACTTCTGTGTGGGCACACCCACTGTGAATTTCTCCCTTCTCCCCACCACCCCTTGTGAAAACAGACGCTGCTCATTGCAGCTCAATTCTGCTTCTCTGTACTCCCTCTGTGCTCTCCCCTCTAATCATCTCCCTCTCATCATCCGTGACATCTTGGTCAAGTTATGCATTCTCCGCCTCCTCCCCCTCCTGCCTGGTGCTCCTTCTCTATTCCTGCTGCTCATATTGAGCTGTGCCCTCTTTGACCATCTTAGGGACTTCCGTCCCGGTATCTCTTCTCGTTTCTGTTTCTCCATTAATTACATCCCTGGCTCTACTCCCCTTCTCATGGTGCTGCAAAACAAGTTTTTGTCCAGTATGTAATAATTATTTACAGCCGTTTACAGTTTTTTGTCAATAAATTGCTTAATGGAGGCATTCAACATACCATAAAGGTTGTGGGGTTTTTTTGGCCATACTTCATCACGCTGGTCAATGCGTGTTCGTGAATGGAGTTGCGCAGGACCGGCTGAGGCATCATGTTAACCAAAGAGATACCTGAAAAGAATATGAGTCCAGTACAACGTCGCATATCCGACTCACTGGGAAGTCAGTGAAAGGAGGACACGTGAAAAGGTCGGATATGTGAAATATCTATAGAGACTGTATGCAAGATGCAGGATACATGACAGCGTGTGACAAGGTTGGATGTGTGGACACCGATAGCAAATGACAGTCACATCGCCGTGCACAAATTCCGCACTGGGTGTGGGCATTCAATTGATCAGGGTGCATTTGTGATGGTCCGATATACGGCGTTTACCGTACATTCCCCAAATTTGTCATATTTCCAGATGAATGATGCGAAGGTCGTGTTTCCATCTTGTGTGTGCCTTGAACGGTCAAAGTGCAGCCCTGCAACTGCTTGCTCACGCGACTGCTGGCAGATGGGCCTCCACCCAGTAAACATGCCAACCTTGGGCCAACCGTTGGACCATCATTGGCCCAACGTTCCATGTTTACTGGGTACTCGAGGGAGCCTCTCTGACCTACTCTTCCACTCGCGACCTGCCCATTGACAACCTGGCATACACATTTACACAATTGGGTGGCCAGGTGGGGGGATTTCAGAAACTTGACCCATTCTTTCAGCTGCCGTGTCGGGAGATTGAACCGGCGACTTCTGCATTGCAATTCCAGCGTGCAAAGCACTGACCACTGGCAGTATCCCTTGAGACGCTTTCCCAATGAAAAATGAAACGGTTAATACAACAAAAGAGCTAGCGTAGTGGTTGTGTTGGTCAGGTGATGATATTGTAACCACGTATACAAATGAATGCACTGTATATGACGTGTATAACCTGTATTTATGTGTATTAACTATACATATGTTTCTCATTTGAATCCCAGACAGCCAAACGTGCAATTATTTTGCGGATACCCTGGATGCAGCTAAGTCCTCGGATATTTCCTTGGGCATCGGAATATTCTGTAAGTATCGTTACAATGCACGCCCCTCGGGGGGGGGGGGATTTAACCCATGACCTAATCACATGAACGCACCTGATCTCGTCATATCCCATAAGCCAAGCTGGTTTGAGGCTGGATAGTGCTTTAATGGATGGGTGTCCACCGTGCATCCCAGGTTGTCATACACGGTTACGCAACTACGTGGTGGGCAGTGGAGGAACAGTGAAGCAAAATCCATTTTTTGATTTAAAGCTTTCGTGACTGCAGTAATTCATAATCTTAGCTGTTTCGGTAGAGTCACGTTGAAGGGAAACAATAAAATAATAAAATATATAAAACAATAAAAAATCTCACGACGTTTCGACCATAACACAAACGGTCGTCACCTGATGACGACCGTGATGACGACCGTTTGTGTTATGGTCGAAACGTCGTGAGAATTTTTATTGTTTTATATATATATTTTATTGTTTCCCTTGAACGTGACTTTACCGAAAGAGCTAAGAATAAAAATAAAAATCCATTTTTGTTATGTGCAGCACTGCTATGCTCCCAACCTTCAACCCAGACTGCCTGGCAGCGGTGAAGTATGGTCAAGTAACCTCCGTGGGGAGGCTCTCATCCTGAATTGTAATTCATTTAAATATGAAGGATGTGAGAGAGATTTGACGAGTGATTAAAAAAAAATAAGGGAATGAGATGACGCTAAGCACACAAAGATCCTGCTGGAACAAAGAATGAGGAAGAGGGAGACACGCTGTGCATTAGTACAGTACGAGTGCTACAGTGCCAGTTCCCAGCATCAGTGGACAACGCTGCCAACACCCAAGCCGCTCAGAAAAGTAACCTGTCACGGGCTAGAATCGCCTTGTAGCGGGCACGGTGCGTGTTAAGCGAAAAACGCTTCGATAAAATACCAAAAAAACGCGTTAAAGCGCAAACGCGTAGTGTGAACGCCATTCGTTAAACGGTGATTTACTGTAGAGTGATAATGCACCATTCCAGATCATGCGTTCACGTGTAGTTCTCCCCCCTTCTGGTATTGAGATATTCCTCCTCAGATATTCCTCTTCCAAAAAAGGTTTTTTAATTACCCCAGACGTGGCAATAATAATGATTTCAATGTATAAAGTGCCCTTAAACGACCTTATCAACCTTTCAGCCGGAAATCAAATGAACTTCGCTGAAACTGCACCACTTCCAGTGAAATCGACACAGGTTTTCCCATACAGACATCATGCTCTTTATTTACTCAGGGAAAAAAAGCCCTGTCGAGTGTCAAGTCTCCTTCTCAAGACGGTCCTGCATTGACATGTTTGTCGAGTTTCATTAATGAGGCCCCAAGGAGTGGCGGGAAACAGAGGCGGACGAACTCCCGCGCCGGCATGCCTGACGATCTCGAGTGTGCATCGACACAAATAATAATTTTAAATTGTATAAAATTTTTACTTAAAACTTTCGTGACTGCAGGAAATCATGTTCTATGGTTCTTTCGGTAAAGTCACGTAGATAGAAGAAGAAAATAAAAAATAATAAAGTGTATACAAATATCACGACGTTTCAATCGCAACACAAGCAGTCGTGATCAGGAACAGGGAGGTTAGCCTCTGAGGGCAAGCTGTTTATAAAGGTTTAGAGATGGGCGGGGCAGCTAATGTTAATGTTGGAGAGGGCCCGACACCGGCAGTAGGTCTACACCAATCAAAGAGCTGTTTATAAAGGTTTAGAGATGGACGGGGCAGCTAATGTTAATGTGGGAGAAAGCTCCGACACCGACAGTAAGTCTACACTAATCAATGCATTGCACCTCGCTCCACACACCCACACTGCAGACGGTGGAGGTTGACAAGAAAACACAAATCAAGTCATGACCCAAAGTGGTTGATGACATATTTCCAATGATTGCTGTGTCTATAAGCTTCCTCTCGATTGAAATTGTATCTGTCCGTATATATGGATGGCTACATGAACGAATCTTTGTTGATAGCCAGTAGGCGTGCAAAGTACCATCGTCTTAGAGAAATCAATTTCGTGTGAGCCAGCTGCATTAAAATAATGATCAGCCACGGCAGAACTATTGGTCCAACCATGTTTCAAATCTGCCTCATGTTCACGGACACGGTCCAAGACATGTCGCTTAGTTTCCCCAATGTAACTGCTCCCACAGATACAGCTTAGTTTGTAGACGCCAGGATATTGCATATCAGAAATCTTGTCTTTCACAGATGGGATCAGATCACGAATTGTATGTACTGTGTTAAATCTGACCTGGATCTTGTGTTTGTTCATGATTTTGGAAATCTGCTATATATGGCAGGATGATGGTTTTGATTGGATCCTCATATGGCTCCTTCCTCACGGTTGGGGTGATGGCTTTGCGGATTGTGTAGTCAGAATATCCATTCGCCTTGAGAGATTGGTGTACGTGTTTAAGTTTACTGGTTAGGTGTTCATGGTCGGAGATACATTGAGCTCTATGATGTAGCGTTTTGATGATGGAATTCTTCTGGGATGGATGGTGGTGGGAATGAGGTTTTAGGTAGGCGTCAGTATGGGTTACTTTCCTGTAGACAGAATGGCTCATTGAGCCATCTAGTCTCTTTTTCATTAGGACATCCAAGAAAGGTAGCATGCCATCCTTTTCTACCTCCATGCTGAATTTGATGGCTGGGTGTATGGAATTGATGTGTTTGAGGAATCGGTTTAGAGCCGGTCGGCCATGTGGCCAGATGACAAATGTGTCATCTACGTACCTCTTCCACAGGAACGGGCGTAGAGTGGATGCCTGGGTGGCGTCTGTCTCAAATTTCCCATGAAAATATTGGCTACAACTGGAGATAAGGGATAACCCATTGGGGTGCCTTCAGTTTGTTTATAGAATGTTCCATTCCAGGTGAAGTATGTATTGGTGAGGCAGTGTCTCACCAGGGCCGGTACATCAGCATTCAATCTTTGTTGTCTTTTTGTTTGCATTTTGACCGCAAGTGTTGTGGTTAATGCAAGTATGATCCCTTGTAAAAAGGTATCAGTTTTGTTGCAGTCACGAAAGCTTTAAATCAAAATTTAACCTATTTGTATGTATGTAAGAACTTATTTCGCACCGTACATAGCTTCCCAGGGGCCTCTGCCAGCTGGAGGGCTTCCAGAGATTAAGTGAAATGTTATTTCATTTGTGAATCCTGAATTTTATTTGTTGTTGGTCATTTAAAAATAAATTTTGTTTTTCTTTAGCTTTGTTTTCCTTTTGAAAATATTACTGGGGGCCTCACAGTACCTGTAGTCAAGGGGCCTACAAAATCTTAATCCGGCCCTGAGTGCAGTACTCGGAGGAGGGTAAACGAGTCCAGGAGCACTGAAGGCAAATTAATTATTAGATTGCCGCTGTGTGAAACGTGATTTTGTACACGCGTTGTGTTTATTATTCAATGTTTTTTTTCCCCAGATGAAAATGCACAATTCACAAAAACATTAGCGCCCTGGCTTGACCTTGCTGAATTCGTCAATATCGAACGTAAGTACCGTGTTCACATTACTCTTAATCCTTAACTTTATAAACGTAAGTTTGGTGTAGCGGGTAAATAAAATCACCGTCACGTAATTTACAAATGAAATGCCAAGTTGCACACCATAAAAGTCGGGGTAGAGCCTGCCGGATGGTGATTCTCACTCGGATTCCAGTCGCGTTCTGCGTGGTTGCGCCCGCCGCTCCATCGCGGATAAGGTGTTCCAACTCCGCGACAGTTCGACGATGACGACTGAAGCTCCTCCTGCTCCTGGCCACTACCAAGTCGGCACCGCTGAGCCCGGCTGTGGCGTTTAAAACTTTGAAGGCTCCGTCGGCAGCATATTGAGTTGCCTTGTTGACCTCAGAAAAAAATGCGTGGACTCAAATGCCGTACCAAATGATGTAAACAAATGAATAGGTGTTGCCCTTTACAGCAAGAATACAGGAGAGGGGGTTAAGATATTCAAGCACCAAATAGGCACTGATCGTGAGGCATCGAGTTTGCATTCACCACATATGCTTGTGGTAAAACATGCAAACACACATGCTTTGATATAATGCGTTAATTGTCCTTAAGTAGGACGCACAGTCTGCTTCACTTAGAGTGGAGGTTAAAGACCATGGCGTCTGTTACAAGAATAGGCCATTGTGTGCCGGCGTCATATCCCAAATGAGACAAAAATAATAATAATAATGATACCGCAAATATTAACTCAGTTGGGATTATCGCAATCTTAGTACCCCCCTAAAGTGATAGATTGGCAGGATTCTTCAGCAAAAGAATCATCATACTCGGTGGGGCTTTCCTTGCTAAAAAAAAAGCGTGATACCCCCCAACCTTGGGATTATCTGGAAGAGGGGGGCGAATGGTTACGCACCGGCCGGTATTCTTGTGTGGTGCCAATGTAATTGTTAAGATAAAGGGTACAGCCCTGCAATTGCTTGGTAACGCCACTGGTGGCACAAGGGCCTCCACAAGAAGGACCTCTAAAGAGCGCCCTCGTGAATATTTTTTAACGACTCTTTCCGAAAGAGGTGGGGAAATTCAAAATTACTGCACTACACACGACCTGCTGATCAACTGTTATCTTATCGCTTGGTTAAATAAAGGGTGCTGACTGACTGATACTTTGTGCACCCGGTAGTATGAATAGGTACACCACAGTCGATTACAAGGCATCTGTCCAGCGTGGATTCATTAAGTGTTCCATCCAAAGACTGGTCTGAGGCACGATTCTCTCCTGAATGTTGTTCTGCTCTTCATCTGCCCATACGTCCTTGTTGAACATCATCTCATGTCATCGTTTCTTTCTTCCTCTTGGTCGTTTTCCAGAAGTGTCTTCCCTCAATCACCTCCTCCTGCTCATTCCCTCTCACCACTGCCTGACCAATCCACATTGTCTTTCTCTTCCTGATACAAGGAGTCCACTTTCTTCTCACACCTGACACAGCATCTCTCCATTAACTTTTCTTCTACCCAGCTTATCTCCATAACTTGCTTTCAACTCCACATTTCAAAACCTTCCAGTTTTTTTGTCTTCCTTTTGTATTGCCCACGTCTCGCAGGAAAACGTCGCCATAATCCAGGCGCAGCGCTGTATTATTCCTCTCTCTTTAATTTGTCATCCAAAGAATTATGTTCTAATCACCTTTCTATTTCTGCAGATGTCCTTGGCTAACATCGAAGAATAGGCCAAAATATCATCGAGAGCACTGTCCTAGTGGAGGCCCTTCTGCCATTAGTGGCGTGAACAAGCAATTACAGGGACTGCAAGTTTATTCCCTTTTTTACTTTAATCAGTGCGTGATGTTGTTGTCGTCTATCTCTTACAGTGGAAGTCGACACCACCCCGGGCAAAAACTATTACATGGTTTTCCAGTATGCATCAAAATCAAACCCCCAGCTAATTGTCTCATACTTTCAGATAGTTGTCACGGCTGACGTGAACTCCACCAATGTGACAACATGTCCAAACAGCCTTTGCCCCATCACACCACAGTACACCTTTCCGGTGTACGGGTCAACCAGCCAGACCTTCAAGATCTATCGACTTAACAACGCACACGTGTTTGCAATCGCCAGGGATATATTCACGATCAGTTGTGACCCTTCCATCATCTTCAGTGTAATGTCCATTGCAGGAGATGGAATTGTAAAGCAAGTCAGGTTTCCACCGAAAGGTACGGCAACAGCAGTTTATGCAAATGCTGTCGCAAGAAGTCACACGTTTAGCGCAATGGTCCTTCGCTTGCTATGCGTGGTAAATTAATTAATGTACGGACTTAATTTTCCTTTCTTTTGGCATCTGTCACGAGCCACCGCTCGGTTCACACCTAGAGTGAGCAAGGTCAGCGGTGTCTGCTGACTCTTTTTTCATGAGGCTTATTCTCATAATCTCGACTTAAAGCTTTCGTGACTGCAGGAATTCATATTCTTTGGGTCTTTCGCTAAAGTCACGTAGTTAGGTTAAAAGAAATTAACAAAAATAACGGACGTGCTCGCCGTGTGATTGAGCATTCTATCCGAGACTACACTTTGTCAACATCGCCCAGAAACATCGTTTTTGTTATTTGCGTTATTTTCTTTGAACCTATCTGCGTGACTTTACCGAAAGACCCAAATAATAATAATTACTCTCATAATCTCTATTCTCTCTATGATCTCTTCAAAGACGTCTGGCCAGCGTCGAAGATGGTTCAAAATTATTATCTAGAAGGGCTCCTCTAAAGGAACCAATAGCTCTAGAGGAGCTCGAGAGGTGGAGGCCTTTCCACCAGCAGTGGCATGAACAAGACATTTCAGCCCTGCACTTTTGGCTTTGAAGCTCATGATATGCGCATTGATCGTGTGTGTGACGATCAATGTTTTTGGCTGTGTACACATCGTATGGAGTGGTGGTTTCCGATTGTTTTTGGAGCCAGTGTATGTGATGTGACTTACCGTAATGGCAAAAAGGGCATAGACCTTCACAGATAGCTTGTCCAACAATGTGCCGTATGAATTGCCCCGAAAATAAATGCCACTTCTAACTACACAGGACCCAGCAGCCTGTCGAGACCCCAGTTCATCCTCCACTCGGTGGGAAGTTCACTCCTTCTCTTCTGCTGTGCCAACAATATAGAACTCCCTTCCTCTCCCTGGCCATGTATCCGTGCTGTTTGATGATCTCTTCTCTAGAATATGAATTCCATATGAAACACTTGTCTACATGATGCATATGTCACACGGTTTTGTTGTATAGCAATTGCTCATGCCACTGTTGGTATGATGGCCTCCACTAACAGGAGCTCGAGAGACTCGCTCTATATGGTTTTTGGTCTAGTGTCCCACGTCAGCCAAATATGGAAGAGGTGGCAGTTCCCACACTTTACCCCACCACTCGTGACTTGTCGATCATCTGTGGTGAACCTATTTACACCGCTGGGGTGGACAGAGCCAGTTGTGGGGGATTCAGGATAAACTTCCCCCACCATTTCAACTGCCGCGCCGGGAGATGGATTCGAACTGACAACCTCTGGACTGAAAATCCAGTGCACTACTGACCATTACACCACTATGGTAATATCCCACATTTGTATTGTACTGTCTTACCGTGAGCGATGATGATTGTGGTGACAATAAACATTGACCGTGGTAATTTTTTAATGTATTGTGTTCGTCTGCTGTCCTTTTCTGTGCAGATTACAAAGTCAGCCAGCAGGTAGGCTGTATCTGCTTGGCTGATGACCCCCTGACCTGCTTGGGAAGATCCATGTACTTAAATCCTGAAGGACATTTTGTCCCAATTTTGAATCTTAACCAAGTCACTTGCAATGACTACTGGATACTGAAGGAAGATGGCACCTTGCAGCACCAAGCGTCCACGGCCTGTTTGAGATTCTATGAGTTTCTAAAAAAAAATGCAATTATCGATGCCTGCAATGGTTACGACATCGTATTCTTTGAGAACGGGCGGATACTCGCCTCGTCCCCTGACTACTGCCTCCACGTCAACGTGAACTGCAGTTACACCAAGTGCGACAACTCCTCGACCACCTTCGTATTCCGATCAGGTCTGTTATAACATAACGATTCATTATATGTATTACTTGGATTCACCACACCCGGCCGCCTTTGTCTCCCCAATGGCGATGTTCACACCACAAGTTACTCGTTTGAGGCTGAGTCGACCTAGGGGAGGCCCAGGACCGGTTCAAATAATCGTCACCGGTGGTGGCCATAAGCGGCAATGTAACTCGGGTCGCCGGGTTCGTAGCGCGGCGCGCTAACCACTACACCACAATGCGTTACGCTTCCACATTGGGAGGGTCACGTGACAGATTTGACATCACAGCTCACTTGCCGTGCAAAAAATATATACATTATTGAGCTCCCCCGCCCCCCCAAAAAAACTAAAGTGTATTTATAAATTTTGCATGGTGTACAGTCTGGAAAGTACCCACATGGCAAATTTCAAGTTTGTTGCATGTCGGGAAGTACGCTAAACATTTTGATCAGACACACATTCACAACTTTGCCTTTTATATATCGAGATAACGATCATTTACACACCAAAGGGAACTCAGACAGCCCCCCCCCCCCCTTTAAATGGTATTTGGCCTACTTTTCCACACTGGCCAGACATCTTTAAAGAGGCGGTGGTACCCACATTTTTCCCCCCACGTGTGAACCCCTCAAAAAAGTTTGTTTGTGAACAATAGGTGGGGGGGGGGGGCTATATAGGAAACCCACGTCCTTGTTTCAGCCGCTTCGTCGGGAAAGGTCGAACCGACGACCTCTGGGGAGCGTGTGCAATAACAATTACACCACTATGGGAGCATTCCTTTGCCCTATATATGTAGACACAATATTCTTAGTAAAACTCCATGACACGGAATAGGCGGAATCTAAAGGAACACGGATTTTCCTTTGTCTTATTAAAAACTCTTGCAGATATTCATCCACTGGGGTTGGAATCTGGATTTATCCCCAACGAGGCATTTGTAGCCTCTTCTTACATTCCGGGCTCCGAGCCCTATCTCGCCCGGCTCAACTCCCGCATTGGCCACTGGCAGCCCCTGAGCACGCAGGGAGCGTACCTGACTGTGAACCTACCGGCGAGGTGCTACTTGTATGGAATTGACATCCAGGGATCCGTGCCAGAGTACGACGACAAAGTTCATGTCAACTCGAGTTGGGTGACGTCGATGGTCTTGTCCCTGTTTGATTACAACATTCTCATACATAACGAGGTACGTACCCTGTCCGGTATTATTTTTATACTGCACTGCATGCTGGATTTTGATGACATGTATCCTTTTTCCCTTGACTATACAGCGCATACTACCTGCAATGATCGGTGCATTGACATAAACAAATTTAACAAAACCTCAAGAGTTGGAAAGAGAAGTGTGAAGAATTAGCATGCTTGTAATGATAATGATAGACAGAAAGAGGAGCCCATGCACCAGAGGACTATGCTGGTTAATCAGTCACACAATTGAAACTTAAGATAAGTAAGTGGGGTTGTGGGCAGGACGCATCGCTAGAAGGGCAGATGGCTAATGGTCAAGAATAATGGTAGAGCGAAGACCAATGAACGGAACGCGTCCTAGAGTACGTCCACTAAGGAGATGGAACAATTAAATCAGCTCTTGTACAGGTTCCTGGTGGATTGTAACATCGGGAGATACTGAGAGATGGCAGTGGCTTGGAGAAGCCTTCATTCAGCAATGGGTTTACAAAGATGATGATGATGGATAAATCAGTGGTGGTGATGGAGGACGCTGACAGTTTGTCGAAAGTCCACCTATCGCGTAAAAATGATCAGCCCATCAGCCCTGGGCACTCTGAATCCATATGCAATACCTGAATTTTGTTCCAGCAGGTACTGTATACACTGAATCCATTTAAACATTTTCTCTCTAGCTCGCTGCATGCCATGCTATGGTGCGTTCCTTGCATAGTCCAAATATTCGTAAATATAATGTAACAAAATAAATAAGCATACAATCAAATAGACAAAGTTTTACTCATCCCTTCGACCACATGGCCTTCTGGGAGTGAATGTTTTTATCTGCATTCGTTAATACAAGTACTGTACAGTGAGGGAAAAAAGTATTTGATCCCCTGCTGATTTTGTACGTTTGCCCACTGACAAAGAAATGATCAGTCTATTATTTTAATGGTAGGTTTATTTGAACAGTGAGAGACAGAATAACAACAACAGAAATCCAGAAAAACGCATGTCAAAAATGTTATAAATTGATTTGCATTTTAATTAGGGAAATAAGTATTTGACCCCCTCTCAATCAGAAAGATTTCTGACTCCCAGGTGTCTTTTATACAGGTAACAAGCTGAGATTAGGAGCACACTCTTAATGGGAGTGCTCCTAATCTCAGCTTGTTACCTGTATAAAGACACCTGTCCACAGAAGCAATCAATCAATCAGATTCCAAACTCTCCACCATGGCCAAGACCAAAGAGCTCTCCAAGGATGTCAGGGACAAAATTGTAGACCTACACAAGGCTGGAATGGGCTACAAGACCATTGCCAAGCAGCTTGGTGAGAAGGTGACAACAGTTGGTGCGATTATTCGCAAATGGAAGAAATACAAAAGAACTGTCAATCTCCCTCGACCTGGGGCTCCATGCAAGATCTCACCTCGTGGAGTTGCAATGATCATGAGAACGGTGAGGAATCAGCCCAGAACTGCACGGGGGGATCTTGTCAATGATCTCAAGGCAGCTGGGACCATAGTCACCAATAAAACAATTAGTAACACACTACGCCGTGAAGGAATGAATTCCTGCAGCACCCGCAATGTCCCCCTGCTCAAGAAAGCACATATACATGCCCGTCTGAAGTTTGCCAATGAACATCTGAATGATTCAGAGGACAACTGGGTGAAAGTGTTGTGGTCAGATGAGACCAAAATGGAGCTCTTTGGCATCAACTCAACTCACCACGTTTGGAGGAGGAGGAATGCTGCCTATGACCCCAAGAACACCATCGCCACCATCAAACATGGAGGTGGAAACATGCTTTGGGGGTGTTTTTCTGATAAGGGGACAGGACAACTTCACCACATCAAAGGGACGATGGACGGGGCTATGTACCGTCAAATCTTGGGTGAGAACCTCCTTCCCTCAGCCAGGGCATTGAAAATGCGTCGTGGATGGGTATTCCAGCATGACAATGACCCAGAACACACGGCCAAGGCAACAAAGGAGTGGCTCAAGAAGAAGCACATTAAGCTCCTGGAGTGGCCTAGCCAGTCTCCAGACCCTAATCCTATAGAAAATCTGTGGAGGGAGCTGAAGGTTCGAGTTGCCAAATGTCAGCCTCGAAACCTTAATGACTTGGAGAAGATCTGCAAAGAGGAGTGGGACAAAATCCCTCCTGAGATGTGTGCAAACCTGGTGGCCAACTACAAGAAACGTCTGACCTCTGTGATTGCCAACAAGGGTTTTTGCCACCAAGTACGAAGTCATGTTTTGCAGAGGGGTGAAATACTTATTTCCCTCATTAAAATGCAAATTAATTTACAACATTTTTGACATGCGTTTTTATGGATTGTTTTGTTGTTATCTGTCTCTCACTGTTCAAATAAACCTACCATTAAAATTATAGACTGATCATTTCTTTGTCAGTGGGCAAACGTACAAAATCAGCAGGGGATCAAATACTTTTTTCCCTCACTGTATACCCTGGACTGCTCTCATGTTAAGTGTGTCATCAGAAATCAGGCTTTCAAGGCGCTCTACTCCTCCCACCCAGCTTAAAATACGCTGCCAAGTTTAGCAGTGTTCATTGGAGCGCTGTCTTTCCGACAGCTCTGTTTCTTCACCTGAGGAAAGCTTCTTGTGTTGTGGCCGAAACGTCGTGAGAATTTTATTTTATTATGTTTTATTTTTATTATTTTATTATTTCCCTTCTACGTGACTTTAACGAAAGAACCAATAATATTAATTAACTGTTGATGTCTGGTGGATGATATACTGTAAGGACACATGAACAGTTTCTTTGCAATCCTAATCTATCCTACATCAGCAGGAAACTGCTGATGGAGGGTGGCGAGTTTGTGCAGTAAAGTATAGAGCTTATGTGCACCTATGCCTAACTTTTTAATTTGACATTTGCACTGTTTTTTATTTGTGTTTCGTATTTGAACATCAAATACCTCCTTTGTTATTTGTGCAATATTCCTGACGACCCTGTACTCGTTCTCTGCTATATTGACGATTTGTTTTTTGTTGTTGCTGCTGCTGTGTGGGGGCTAACGCCCCCCTCCTCCTCTCCCCCCTCCTCCTCCGCGCCTGTTCGCCGGGCTGCCGCCGATCAAGTGATCGGCCTCCCCGCACCAGCGTCCTCTCTGAGGGACATGGCTAGTGGCTGGCTCACCACCGCCTGGAGTTATCCCACATACTCCCCACGTCCACTACCCCAAATGTCCGGAGGTGGCTGCGTGCTCACGCGTGCCTGCGTGGGTGCACCCCCGCTCACCTCGGCTCGCGCTAAAAATAGCCGTATGAATATGCACGCGTCCCTCCCCACCTCCCGTTGGGTCGGCTTTAATCCGCTGTACAAACACGCACGTGGGCACAGGCACGCGGGCAAAAACGACGGCCGGGTTGACAATAATATTCGCGCGTTCAACCGCTGAGTGCTATCGTCGCTACGTGAACACACTACGGAAAACGCGCTGGGTAAAACATGCACGTGAACTGGTTTTAACTCACCCCTCCCTCGCCAAATTACTCGCGCGGCACCGCTGTGCAGACGCGGGATCGTTAATGAATTACTGCCCGCGTGCCTCCCACACACCCGCTAGAATTATGTCCCACGCCGATACCCTTAATGCGATCGTCGCTACGTAAACACACTGCGCAAAACGCGCTATGTAAACACGCACACGAATTTCAGCAATCGTTTATGATTGAATACACACGAGCTTCACACGTACGCACGTACTCACACCACACCTACGCTCTCCCCACACACACAGAAATCACGCGGCGTCGGTGTTCTGTGCTAAATTTTAGTACTGGCGCGCCTGAAGAAAAACCCTGCGTGGTCCGGAGCGAAATTCTCAGCGAGCAGCGCCCAGCCTATTCCTATTCAATCCCTAGGTGGACCCTTATGCTACTTCTCACCCCGCGGATGTACTCACGGTGTCTAACGGACGCGGTGGGAGTTGGAGGGAAAAGGGTCCGAGAGGTCTCTGCCTGGGGTCGAGTCGTAGCAGCACTCGCCCGCGTCGCACGGACGCTGTGAGCGGCTGGGAGTCCGACCGGGTAGCTGAACTGCTCGAGGAGAACTGCCCAACGTTTTTCCCTTCCCTCCATTTGTCCCCTCGGAATCTAAAAATCCAGGGTCACGTGGTGTTACCCTCCGCAGCCAATCAGGCACCTACCTTCGATTTTAAACCAATGCCCCGCCCTTGCCTGAAACGGTGCCTACGGAGCACCTTCACCCATTGTTTACGCACCCGCCCTCCCCACCCCCCACCCCAACCAGTTTGGTCAGGGTGGCCGTCCCGCGGAATACACGTCAGTCGGTTCAGGAACCTCCCTCCCATCTCCTCTTATGCGCTGCTCGCTGGGTGTTTGCCCCCGAGGCCCTATCTCTCCATGCTGTGAGTGTTTTCATGGCAGTTCGCTCGGTGAACTTCGTTGTGCCCATACAATTTTAAGCTAATTCACGGGGCCGCAATGCCATTCGGCTTGGGGGGGGTCGGCCAATCTCCTGGCACTGGGAAACTGTGGGACATCCCCACTAGGGGCCCCTCAGGTAAAAACCCATGGTACCAGGTGCCCCCCCCCCACGAGACCCTACGTGGGTGCATGTGTGTGTTTAGTGGGGGTGTGCGTGCGTTCGTGTGGAGGGGTGTGAGGGGATAGCAGCGCCGGCGGAGTTGCTCCGTTGCTGTGGCACCACAGCTGTGCTCATGCACCACGGATCTCCCTTATAGAAAATCTGGGAAACTGGCTAAATAGGATCATCCGTGAAACAAAAAGAATCAGAATATATATTTGTACTGGAGGAATCCTATGAGATATAGAGCTATGTTTCACAGATGTCGAGTATGGGCGGGTCAGAATGGTATAACAACCAACTTTACAAAACACAATAGGAGTGCAAAGTATAGAAAAGATAAACAAATAACTTTAAATCTAGGGACCTCCTTTGCCAGTACCAAAATATTCGAATACGTTTTTCCCCTTTTTTCTGGAAAAAAAAACAGGTGTTAAGATGTTAAAACACCAAACTGAAACCTTTTACAAGGAATCATGTATGCATTTACCACAATACTTGTGGTCAGAATGCAAACAAAAAACGTACGCTGATAATATATACATTGTCTTTGAAATTGAGTGGCCTATTCTCAAATAACTTTAAAATACATACAAATAAAACTGAACATTTTTTTAATCTTACTAGGTAAAGCCCACTGAGCGATTAGCTTAGTTTCAGAAGCGACCTGGCTACAAATGATAGCTCTACAAAGTGACTCATCATGTGGGAATTTAAAGCAGATAAACATCAAAATTATCGAAATGCATGTTTCTAAATAAATAAACTTAAAGTCAATGCTTTATAACTGCCATCATTATAACTGCTAAAACCATAGCATTGGCTCTGCAGTTTGAAGGCGACCATGGGGGTCCCTTGATTAGAGAAGGAAGCTGCACAAATTGTAATAACTACCGGGCATGTCTTCCCTCAGCATGTTGGTGAAGTTCCTATAAATTATTACACTATGTAACACAATTTTTGTTCCTGGGTAGTAAGTGTTATTTCATAATTGCTTATGCCTAAAAAGTATAGAAAATGGCTTTTATTCCCCACAAACTTTGTTTTTTGTGACCAGGACAGTGGTATTTAGAAAATTACCTATTTTCAATGAGAAAACGGGCGAATTTGTGTCTTTTCGTTCACATAAAGTCAGAAAAAACAACATATGAATCCAATTTACCATCTAAATATACTAAAGTAATACAAAAATTACTACAAAAGATTTAGATTGTGAGTAGTTTTTCGAGATTTACGATTATACTGTAAATCACTTTCACAAATCAGCACCCAAAGGTAGTCTCCCCTCATGTTCTCGTTATACTGTCGTTGGTAGCGGTGTTCAAAGTCCAGTATATCCTGGTGGAAGCGCTCGCCTTGCTCCTCCGAGTGCTCCCATGTTCTCCTTGAATTTATCAAGATGAGCATCAAGGATATGGACTTTGAGGGACATCCTACAGCCCATTGTGACGTAGTTCTTCACCCGAGTCTCAACCAGCTCCACATAGTTTTCGACCTTGTGATTACCCAGGAAGCCACGAACCACTACGACAAAGCTGTTCCAAGCCGCTTTCTCCTTACTAGTGAGCTTCTTGGGGAATTAATTGCACTCCAGGATCTTCTTTATCTGTGGTCCGAAGAAGACACAGGGTTTGACCTTTGCCTCAGACAGCTTAGGGAAGAAGTCTTGAATGTACTTGAAGGCTGCCGACTCCTTATCTACAGCTCTGACAAATTGTTTCATGAGGCCCAATTTTATGTGCAGTGGTGGCATCAGCACTTTCCGGGGGTCCACCAGTGGCTCCCACTTGACGTTGTTCCTCCCCAAAGAGAACTCGGTCCTCTGTGGCCAGTCCCACCTGTGGTAGTGCGCCTTGGTGTCCCTGCTGTGTCAAAGGCAAAGATAGCGGGGAAACTTGGTAAAACCGCCTTGGAAACCCATCAAGAATGACACCATTTTGAAGTCTCCGATGACCTCCCAGTCGTACTCATCATACTTCAAGGCGTCCAGCAAGGTCTTGATGCTGTTGTAATCCTCTTTGAGGTGCACCGGGTGAGCCAGGGGAAGAGGCGGGTACTTGTTACCATTATAGAGTAGCGTAGCTTTGTGGCTCCTGGATGAGCTGTCAATGAAGAGGCGCCACTCATTCTGGTTACAGGCGATTCGGATTGCCTCGACCAGATTGGTCACATTGTGGGAGAAGCAGAGCCCATCTTGACGGGTGAAGAAGCTGCAAAAACGTTGCTGACGCTTCCTCTGATCTGCGACTTGCACACTTTCATCCAACAAGTTCGACTGCTTGAGCCTGGACGTCAAACCGCAGCATTGGACTTGGTGAGACCAAGATCTCTGATCAAATCGTTGAGGTCTTTTTGTTTGGGGTAGTATGGGTTTCTCTCCTCAGCACCACCTCTGAAATTGTTATCTAGATTTACAATGTCTTCCTTGCTCTCTGACTTGCTGCTCTCTTCTAAAGACAGCTGCTCTCTCTCCGGAGGAGTGGGTACGGGGAGCTCATGGCAGTGTAGCACAGGGGCGATGGATGAAGGAAGGTCCGGATGCGTGATAGCAGGTGCATTCTTGCCAGTCCGACGTTTGGAATGGTCCAACATGCAGAAGTAGCAGTTGCTTGAGTGGTCAGTGGGTTCCCACCAAATTCTTGGGATAGCGAACTTCATCCTACAAAAATACCATTCTACAAAAATACATTTATTTCACCCATGACTAATGTGCAAGAGATTCTCGCAACATTTTTCATATCTTATATATTTTTTCAACAACATTGAAAATTCTAAAACATTTTAAAATTAAAAACTTTTACAATATAAAAAATGTTAACACATTTTTTTCGCTTAAAATTCCGAGCAACAATTGCCCATCTTACCTTCCAGAGTTTTTTTGCATTGCTCGCAGATGAAATGAGGTGCCCAGGGTTTGTCTTGATCCCCGACATGCATGTCGAAATATGCCTTATAGGCCTCACACATCTTAGCAGATACTTTCACAGAGTACTTTTTCGCTCCTATCTTGATAAATTGGCCGCAGACATAGCAAAATGCGTCTACCGGATGCTTGCAGCCTCTTGATGCCATCTCAGAAATATGCAGATATGTATCCACTTAGGCAGCTGGAACTAAATTGAACTGGTGGGCTTAAGTCCCCTGCATTTATACTGATATTTATATTGCTGAAAAGTACTAGAATGTTCTATAAGTTACTCAAAGTTTACTCAGCACTGAATCTATCTGGAATGTTCTGGAAAATAGGTCAATTTCAAAATATCACTGTCCTGGTCACAAAAGCAAAGTTTGTGGGGAATAATAGTCATTTTCAGTACTTTTGAGGTATAAGTAATTAGGAAATAACACTTACTACCCAGTAACAAAAAAAACATTGTTACACAGTGTTATCAGACATCATCTTACCAGACAGACTGAGGAGAAGCTCTTGGAGCCCCATGGTGGTGTCAGGCAGGGGCAGTCCTACACAGATTACATATTCTCTGTCTGCCATAGCAGACGTGTAGGAGCTTTCAGCAGAGCCTACACCTCTACATTGTTAACAAGGTCAGTGCCTACAATACCATCAAAATCAAGTGTTTTGGGGTTTTTCATGCGATCAAGGTCGCCGACCCTCTGACTACAATCAAAAGGACCTTCATGGTCCGGTGTGTGAAAGGGATGTTTTCTAGCTCCCACACTATTAACATTTTGTGAGCACATAGTTTAAGACATTTCCCATGACTGTACCAGTGAAATTTCCATCTGGTACAGTTACAATGGGAGACCGATCGATGCCCAGGAGTAGCCAAGGGATGTCTCTCTACTAGTCCACCATGTTCTCTAAGCTAATGGTCTGGAAATTGCTGCTCTCTCTTAGATGGAGTTGTAGCCTTTGCACATGAAACTGGAGTGTGCCACTAAGAGGCAAACCTTACTATCAACTCAAAACACAACACCTTTCTGGGGATACTCTGTCATTGAAAACTCCGCCCTCAACTCTCCACGAATAATGGGATGGTTGTGGAGAGGGTGGAGCAGTTCCTATACCTGGGTATAGTGCTTATTACCAACTCAAGTTTGATAGCGGCGATATCATTCCTACTCAGTCAAAGGGTCTCATCTTTTCATTGGCTGCATTACACTGTGCGGAAGCTGCCTGGCCTGTCACTCCACTGTTTTGTCCTCTCTATGTTTGCAAAACGTAGACGCCTTTTATTAACACCTGTCCCTGCATGGAGAAGCTCATATATCTTGAATATATCTTCTGTATTGGTGATAAACGAGTATGGCACTGACTATAGATGATATGGGCTTATGTGATGCAGGAGGACTTGGAGCTGAGCTAACTTGACGACCGGTATCCACTGTGTGGGGGAGACTCGTGAAGGATGAAACTGTAAAGTGAGAGGTTGTCACCCTCCAACAACAACTGAAGGAAAATAATAATTGCTCACAAACACAGGAGGTTGGCACAGTGGAGAGCACAGATTTGGCATCTGTCTGTGTCATCTCATTTAACCCATGATGCCTGGGTCAGCCCCATTAACTACTGTCGGTCAACATTTGACACTTCACATGGCCTAAAATTACACCTAGCCTTACACAAAGGCTATTGGCGACATCACTGCCACTTCGTGGCGAATGGCAGCCATTGGTGTGTGTGTGTGTCAAACACTCTGGAAACTGCACAATGTTTCTGGATTTTGTAGAGCATGTAGAATGAATAAATGCAGATATTTCTGCCAGCTCACACTAATGCAATACTTTTGAGGATAAAACGCGTGTTGCAAAGCATTACAACCCTATGCAAATGCATGATTGTTTTTCCCTCTTTAAAATAGAATTTGTTGCAGCTGAACACTGACCCAGTTTTGAAAACGCGAGTGCTGTTCTGGTTTAGCTTAATGGCCCAGAAAGTCCGCCTGGATTTTAAAAAGTGGGAAAACAACATATCTGTTCGTTTTGAGATCATTGGATGGTTCTACAAGGCTAACCCCACGCAACCTGACTACCATGTCACATCTGTCAACGCGAACTTATTATTTGTGGGAAACAACATTTTGAACGAGCTGGTCTGCTATCGCTGGACCTTAGAAGATGGAAACCAGACGATCGTTGGTTCCTCACTGTGTAGCAGTCTGTGTAATTGCCCGCTGATACCACGCTTGCAACAATCCACCTTCGAGTTCCCGTACACCTATTCGACATTTGGGATCATGAAGGTCACTATGGAGGAGATCACGAACTGGTCACATGACAACTACAGCCTGGAAGTGAGCGTGAATCCGTTGGGCTGTAAGGTGGTGTCGGTGGTGCTTGATGACAACTCGACCACTCCCGAGATGGCTGGAGCGCATGGACAGAGTGAGGTGTTCACGCTGACTGCCGTCATCATCACGGAGTGTGTAATAACCAGCTTAAAGTAAGTGGCACCTGCATCTGAGAAAAGCACTAATTTCAAATATTGTAATAACAAATATCAAGTTTGAAAAAGGGGTCGAGCCGAGTCAACACCTGATTGAACAGTGGCGCAATTCGGTTACATGTGTAGTGGGTATAAAACTTGCAGAGACTTCTCTCTTCTGGAGGCAGCACATTTATTATAACGTAACAATAACACAAAGGGGTACGGCCCCTTCCACCCGATGTTTAGGGAGATATTCCTCCAGCTAGCCTACCTAACACTGGCTTTGCTCTAGCCTCTTCACTGGTTAAGCTTTTGGCCCGACCCTAGCAGGGGTCGGGTTCAACCCTTTGGGCGCTTCGCTTCGGGTCTTCAAGGTGGCAGCTCCAGGGTGGCTCTTGAATCTTCAGGTGAACGACGACCGCCGGACCCGTTCAGGGGACCGTCTTTTATACCGGATTCTGGCTCACTCCGCCCCTGGCCACTCCCCCCTTCTGGAACCGTCTGGAAGGGCCTGGGGAGTGACGTTATACCCCAGCCCCCTTCCTGGGGGTCTGGGGGTTTGTACCTGTGGTCCAGAGCTGCCTTAGGGTTACCTTAGCCCAGCGGTCTGACTCATCACCCTTAGACTTCCTTCTGCTCCATGTTGACTCGATGCTGTTATTACAGGCTACAAGTAGTGGCAATCACGTACAGCGCTCAACAATGCCGCTACACATGCAACAGAATCGTTCATATCTGGACGTCTGTACAACTGGTTGCGAATTGCACTATGCCAGTCGCTCACAGTAGACAGACTCAACACTCAAGCATCGATCTGCTGAGTGATTTTTAGCGACGTAGTTCATCCCACACTGCACATTTCCATCATTTAATTTCCTTGTTGCACAACTGCTTGCTCAGACAAGGACAAAGCAGTCATGGTTTAAATTAGATTGAGCGAGTGATTGTTAAGGTGTCGACTCAGCTAAAAAAATGCTATTATGAAAATTAATTAGTTGAAAACTGGGAAATGTATTGTTCCCCTTTGTTAAGACTGTGATATATGGAGCTCTTGTAGTAGGATTACAAGTCACGTTCGGACGAGAGATGGTAGAGGTGCTAGAGTACTTGGTGTACTTGGGCAGTAATGTCCTTAATGCAGGCAGCTGTGTGATCAAGACCAAGAGGCTCATTGCATTAGCAAGGCAGGTACTTCATGAGCTAGGGAAACCAATTTAGAAGATAAGTTAGTTTAGTCCGAGTGTAAAGAAAGGTTGAGTCCGGATGGCGGTCTGTTACTGTGTGGACCACAGAGCGAAATGCTAACAAAGCAGCTCGAAAATAAATTGCTGGCATTTTGACCAAGGTGTCTGAGACAGATGCTAGGAATTGCATGGCAAAACAGGAGAAGCAGTACAAAAGCCTGAAATAGAACTTACGTGAATGTTTAGATGAGAAAAAACGGTTGCACCGGGTGTTACAGGGCCAGTTATGGAGATGGGCGTGGGAAATGTCTCCACGAGTCTGGCGACCAAGGGGAAGCGCTAAGAGCAGATGGTGGGAAACATTCAGGGGGCGCAGATCTTGGGAGTCATCGAATGTTTCGTGACCAGCAGCTGCAGAGTCTGGCGGATGGTAGAGAGTGTGGGTAACAAGGTGTGGCATCCGCAGATTTGGCCATGGTGACGTGTCCACAAACGGTCTCTATGAATAATGGATTCAGCCTCCAAATGTCTACAAGAGCCAAGTTAAATGAAACGGCAAGGCCTGGAAATATGTCAACGTGGCTAATTCAAAATAAAAATACACAATTGGGGCAAAGTCTGTTGTGCATTTATTTTTATTGCGGCAGGATCCAGCAGCAACATCGATAAACACTTTCGGAAACACTGTGCAAAGGGACACGTGGATTATGTCATAGTTTTCAACAACTGGTTGGCCTCGGAAAGTTTAATTTTTAATATTAATATTTTTGCACCAGGCACACAGGAAGCGGCCATATGTAGGCCACGATAAGACCATGGGGCATGGATGAGAGTCCTGCTCAGGAGGGAGCGCCTGAGTCTGCAGGGTTCAGAATGCTATGGCGGTTTTTATGCCTCCAGATTTTCGGCAACCCTTAGGCCTATTCACTTTTTTCTAGGGTAACTTTATGCTAAAGTTTTGTTCATATTGTATCATCTTCACGGGAGTTATAATACCCTCTACAGCAGAAAGACGGATGGACACAGCTAAGGCATGTTCTAAACCTGAGATGGAATGCAATAAAAAGGAAGCGTAAAGTGTTACCCTGTTGACGTTTCTTTTTACCTTAGCTCGTTTTTCAGATCTAACATCTTTAAGAGGTTGATTTTTTTTCTGATTTGCATTGAATACAACATCAAATTAGCATTCTGCTTTTGTTTTAGGAACATTTTTTCTTGGAACATCAAGAACGCTGTGACCAATCAGTCGTACAGCTCCCCAGTAAACATCGGTGGATACTACCAATTTGCGCCGGGCTACTTTAAGCCAGGCCTCTACTCCATCTCAGTAACTGGGACTTTGGACATAGAATTAATCGTCAACCAGACGGCCACCACCTATGTCCGCTTCATCCCAACTCCACTCAAATTGACCATCGTGGGCGGCACGACACGCACGCTCGGCGACCAGAGCAACGCCGTGTTTGACGCGGCCACCGAGAGCTCCGATCCAGACGACCCCTCGGCTGGAAGCGCGGGGATCTCCTTCAACTGGACTTGCCAGGTGACCGCAGCTGCTCCTGCTGTTGCTGCCACTTGTGATGGAGGTGTTGCGGGCAGCGCAGCAACTGCTGCCGGTGGGGTTCTCACCGTGGCCCAGCAGCTGCTGACGGTGGGCAGCAACATCACGGTGACAGCGACGGCAAAGAAGGGAGACCGCACAACGAATTACACGCAGATCGGCACCGTGGTCAGCGGCACTGTATTGCTCATTACCATCAGGTTTGTTAACGAAGCACTCCTACTTCTTTTTCCATTCGCACATCCAAGCTGGGTCAGTGTGGGGCCCTCATCGTAATCGGGGTGTCCCCGAGCCAAGCCAAATCCAAACTGTGAAAATCTGACCTCACAAGACATCTGGATTTTACTTAGAGCCAAGCAGGGCCAGGAGCAGGGTTAAATCAATTTCATCAGAGGTAGCAACTCAACTCGTTGTGTGACTTCAGCTCCCTGCCATACCACAGAAGAAGCTGCAAGCTGTGGAATTCAGACCATGTTTATGATTGTTACAATTCAGTAAAATTACCAAAGACTCCAATAGCCAAAATAAAGAATGTTATTGAAGCGTCATGGGGAGAATCGTTCCAACCTACCTTCTTACCTTTGTGTGTGTGTGTGTGTTTGATAGGTGTATCAGCAACTGCGATGAGTTTCTCAGCAGCCAGGACGATTGGGCACTAAAGGTCGAGTGTCTTGACTGTGCCAGTCTGGATGGCGTGTCTATCGCTTGGTCCATGTTTAAAGATGGAGTGTTGGTGCCATCATTCAGTAGCCTCACCAAGTCCGGTAACAAGCGGGACACCACATTTACTTCTCTGGCATCCACAGTTTGGCAGATAACTCACTTATAATATATGCCCACTGCCCTGTTTTAACTGTCCCGCCCTGTATGTCCCACTGTTGTTCTGCAGGCATCACATCGGATGGGCTGGTGGTGATGAATGGGGTTCTGCAGCCCGGTTCGTCCTACATTGTGGTGGTGAAAGCTTCAAAGCCAAATAACCCGCCTAGTGAGGCACGCTTGACAGGCAAAGCCAAATTACCTCCGTATAATGGCACGTGTGCATCTAATAACAACACAGGTGAGATGTTACAAGGCTTTGTGGCTACCATATCGACAACCCGGTGAAATACCACTTCCTGTTAGAGAAGACAGTTCTGCAGATAGACTTATGGAATTGTATGTGATAGGAAGGTGCCAGTGAAACTGAAAGGGAATCTGTGTATGTATTGTTTCTGAGCACAGAGCCTATATGTTCAGTATGGCATGTGGCCAACGACAAACAGAACGATTGAATGTATCATAGTTCAAAGTTAACGCGATCGCTGAATCGAGGAGAACTTGGGAAAAGAGACGACAATGGCAGGGAATTCCAAAGGTTACCAGTGTGAAGGGAGGAGCAGGAATATAAATGTTGCGACCTGAAGTGTGGTGGTTGAACACAAGGTGGAAGAGACAAAACAGTCAAGTCAGGTAAGCCGAGTTCTCTACATTGGTGGACTAATCAATGAGGGAAGTTCATAGGAACAGTAACCATGGGAGTAATGATAGAAGAGCGATAAGGAGGTGAGCGAGTGACTGGAGTGAATCAGTAAGTGTTTGGACCATCAATGAAGCCGACCGCATTACGTTGAATTATGGCGAGTGCAGTCAGGGTGACGAGCATATTCCAACTTCAGCTGCACATGTAGAGCAGTGATATAATCAGTCATGTTATATGGTGCACAGACGTGGCCACTACAGAAGAAATACAAGTGTTTTGAAAGGACAAAGATGAACATTCTCAGGTGGATTTTGTAAATATTGCTAAGGAAAAGGAGTAATGCATAGGTTAGCCTAAGTGGGATTTATTAACGTTCTTGAAAAGATATGATGCCATCGGTGTAGAGGAGAGGGAGCCTAAGGGTGAGATGAGAGGATGCGGTGGAAGCAAAAGGCGACATTGGATGTGAGTGGAAGAGAGGCACAAAATAGAAGCTCATGGAGAGAGAAAATCCGAGTAGTGAAAATTATTTGACATATACTTGCTTGTTTATGTTGGTCGAGTATTCTCGATTTCTCCAGCAAATTGATTTTTTATGATTTATTTGCTTCATTTCTGTACTTTATTTTATTTTTTGGCCATTTTGGTGGCCCAGGTAACTCTTGCAAATGAGACTCATCCTGGTCTTGTGGCTTCTGACTTGGTTATACGAAATGAATTTGACTTGACCTAAGGCATTAATGGCATCTTCTGACTTAGAAGAAGAAGATGGAGGGTACCACCACGGAGGGGACAGAGGTGGAAATATACCTGTGGGAGTGAGGGGGACAGCAAACATCCCTGTAGCAGGGATAAAATATTGTGGTCGTGATGCGTTCAATGAAGCCACCATCCCCCCGTCTACAGCTCGCCTCCACACAAAATGCGGACAATGTTTCTGTCCGCCCCCCCCCCCCCCCTCATACTGGAGAGTTATCCATCCCCGTGACCGGTAATATGGTAGCGCTACCTTTTATTTTATTTGCTCGAGACGAACTCTCCCCAAATGTCATCAGAACTCGGTAGCTAAGCCGGCAGGGGTGACACCATCCATCGCCTTCCCTTCCTAAGCTTTTAATGGTGGTTTTGTGTCCCATAGTTTGGGCAACTAATTAATCCAAGTGGTCGGTTTCCTTGTTGGTCCCTCATAGCAACACAATATTCACTTTAATGTTATATATCATCTTTGATCCAATGACCTCTTGTAACAGACAGATGAATGGACGGATAAATTGTAATAGCTTTTGCATTAATATTTTCACCCTTCGTTAGAAAGCGTTTAAATAGAGATGTACAAAACATATTGAGTGCTTTGCTCTATACATATATAGTATATAGGAATAATTAACATTCTCTTCCGGCAGGCATTTCTGTCGTGACATTTTTCCAGTTTGAGTGCAATTACTGGCTGGACGATGAAGGGAGGGGGGTTAGGAACGAGTCTGTGGACAAAGGAATTGTCTTCACGTACATCTACTCAGCTCTCGTGGGAAACCTCACTTACACGCTAAAGACCACCAAGCTGGCGGTCCCACCACCATTCCTCCTGCCAGCCGGGGACCCCGCCAATGGAGACCTCATGAAGGTGACCGTGTCTGTCTGCAATGACTGGGAGTGCACGCCGTTCTCCTTCGATTTGCACGTAAGGATGATAACTCTCGAAGCCACTCAATTTTACAAACTTTTGGTCTCGCTTTAAAGCTACCAAACGTCGTGGTTTTGTCGGGGACAGTCCCAGGTTCAGAGAGGCTATTCCTATGTCCTGACAACGCATCAGCGAAAATCGGGTTTTTGTTCCCAATGACACATTTTCTCCGCTCATGCTCATCTCTTGATATTGAATAGTGGGCGGGGCTGCCTGAGCAGTGGGCAGTGCCAATGCGCAGTAGGCGGGGCCGATGTCAGCGAGGAGGAGGTCAATCTCTGTGTGGACGGTGCTATAAAAGTGTCCTCGCTGAATCTTCCAGAAACTTGATATTTGGATATATTACATCCAAATTGTAACGTATTGTTGCAATCCATCGACAATTTGTATTTAATCGTTTTGTACTTTGCCATACTACACAAATATTACTTTGAAACATCGAAGCAGCATAAGCCTGCCATAAGTATCTTGATCATTGTGACTTTCAAACATGTGTAATGAGCGACTTCCAAGACACGTCGTGTGGAGGGCTTCTTATTTATTCTCACACGGGGCACAACACAGACCGATACACATATATATGCATCTCCTCTCACTGGGTACAACACTGGGTAATACATATACGTCTCTACTTTAGCTACGCACAGCCGACCTCTCTACATAGTCCCATCGCCTACATCCAACCACACAGCTGACTGACTAGTGTGACGATGATGGCGATGGGAACCATGAAGAGGATCTTCCATGCGGCCGGACGACGGAGAGAGATGACGGCGAGCAGCGACACAGCCAGGACCCGGGACCCCGCAACAACCCTGAACCTGTGGTTACATCCCCCTTAAATACCTATCGTCATGGCCAAGCCCCGCCTCTGGCCACGCCCCCTTCCAGAACCTTCCAGCAGATTCCCGGAGCTTCCCGACTAACCCCACCTTTTACCTTTAACCCAGATACGCCCCCCTTCTGATTAGTTGTTACATAACCTTGCCCATTACCGTGATTACCCTTTCAGGCCGACAGGTGGCACCCTGTCATTACACATGCATGCAACATAAGGCTGCCATAAGTATTTTAATGATTGCAACTTTAAAATCTCCAACAATCAGTTTCAAGTTGAGTTTGTGTAACCAGGTGAGAACTCAAGAGACCAGGATGAGTTTCATTTGCAAGAGTGACCTTGGGCATTGGTCTGCCGATTGGAGGTGATGATTGTTATGTATAGTCCCAATTGAGTTTTTTATTATGCACTTACTGTGAGATACGCAATAAATAATTTAATAGGCTATTAAAATAATGAAGTCACATTCGCATCATGCTATAAATTACTCTGAACAACATTCTGTGCAGCACTAAATTGGTACATTGCTTTTAATGTACGACTCTCAATATAGATGTCGTTATAACGTAAATATTTGAGTTTAAATGAGCAACGATAATCGCGATGCGACTATATTATTCAAAATGGACAAAATAATTATCGTTGATATTACATCATTCCATATGTGATGGTATACCAAATATGATTGTTAATCGTTCAGAGCTTAAACAATTGAGCGTTGAAAAGCGTACAACGTTCTTGAAATACACAACCTCCAGCGCTACCCACCTGGAGCTACGCGTCGCGCAGCGTGGCTTCTTGAGATGCCTGCCTCCCTCGGATTTCATCTGATTTTGTGTCTCTTTCATTCCGTGTGTGTCTCTTTAATTCCGTTTGTGTCTATTTCATTACGTGTGCATTTCTATTTCATTCCGTCTGTGTCTCCATTGAATTACATGTGTCTGTATTTAATTCCGTGTTTGTCTCTCTCTCTTACTCTGTTTTGTCTCCCGTGTTTTCTTTCATCTTTGTTTGTATCTTGATTTTACTTCGCTCCTTGTTGGTGTACGTTATTGTGGTTTTTTTTTTTAATCGGAGAGCATCAACATACCTAGACAGTGAGCATAGTAGCAGCACACGGGACTAATCATTTACTTTTGGTATTACTATTGATCGAATAACGATTAACTGGGTGGGGGGTTCTTTAAACGACTGATAATTTACGTGTAATTTGGCGCCGCAAACTCACCAACTCTGGCGCGATGTTTTGTGCCGGGTTCATGCAGCAGGGCTTTGACATGCAGTAGTTGGGTCACTTGCGCATATGCAGTTGTTGCACCTCTCAACCATCACAACAGATGATGAGTCCTGAGTTAGATCCCAAGCAGCCGCTGTTAATCATAAGCAGGCATTCAAGTAGATAGATTCTGTTCATCTCATCATGGTCATTAACCACAAAATTTATTACAAATTGTGGTCTTGGTTCACTTAGCCCAATCCATTGCTCAAGAGTGAGGACATTTATATATTTGATGAGTGGCAATGGAGCTCTGTTGGCTAAAATGTGCGAATATATTTACAATATAAAGCAGTCATTCGTCTTGTTAAACGTTGCATTTGCAATACAGATAATTAATTTGTATTTCTTACGTTTTCTAGGTGCGGATTCCTGCAGCTAGTGAATTGCAGATTTCATTGAGCAGCTTTATATCCCCAAATGGAATTATGTCATACTTGATACAATCTTCTGCTACGAACCAAGCCGTTTTGATGATCCAGGTATATTCCAGCCTACTCAGCAGCATCACCGATCGCAACACCACTGCTGCGGTGAGTTCCCCCGACGCGACGCATCGCAAATTCGTTTTGCTGTCACTTAATTTCTGAATCCCAAGTCAGACAAATAGTTGGCGGAAAAATACGGAGTTCGGTGACATTACTAATTTTATAATTACTGAAATCATCGGATGAGTCACACTGAGAATGGCTTGGTGGGGGTTTCCAACCTTCGAAAGGGAAGGCTATAAGGGCGGCCACCAATTTTAAAGGGGCGCAAGTGACCGACCACCAAAACATTAGCCGATTACGATTAGTCAATTAATCAGCCGATTATCGCCGATCTTGTTTTAAATAAATGGAATGGTGAGAGCTGTGAGCTAATTAAAAATGGCAGTATATTTACAAATGCAGCACGGCAGCCGATCCTACGATGCTGTGCACGGTGGGCGCCCATCCAAGGACTTTCCAGGCTCAAAACCGCTTAGCTTCTGGGATCTGATGGAATGTCGGGGTTCTTCTCGGATGATGTGGGCATAGGTAAACAAACTCCCGTACTTTGTATCAAGGCTGTAATTATACTATATATTGGGGGGGGCACAATATTCAAATATGCTCAAAATGTCCCCCCAATATATTGCTATAAAATAGATTTCTATTCATATGATTGTTGTTATGGTTGTACTTTATTAATCCCTAATTATGCCATTACATACAATGAAACAAAACAGGTAAAAAAGAAAAAATAGAAATGTAATACAATACACTGTTAGACATTATTGTAAAAAAGAAATAAAAAGTCCATCCTATGTGTTAGTGAATTTTTGAATATTTAGGCAGGCAATTAGTTTTCTAATTTAGATTTTTTCCTGGGGGGGGGGACCCCCAGACCCCGTGGAGATTTGGTCCCCCCCCCCCCCCAATGTTGACTCCATGGCTACGGCCTTGCCTTGTATTCAAATTGCAAATTCTCGCTTGTGTAAGAAGTAGTTGCCATGACAATTCAGATTTTGCAAGAATATACAGCATTTAATGTTGATCACCATTGGCGATGGCGTATGGCGGCGTAAAGTGCGGCCATTTTCACCTCTTCCAAGACATTTGGCCAGCTTTGGAAGAGTAGGCCAAATACCCTCCAGAGGGGCTCTATAGAGATCACTCCGCATTGACGTAAACAATCGATTGCATGACTGCTCCTCAATGTAACGATTTTTAAAATGGTTGCGTGTGTTCACAGTAGTTTACTGTAATGCCACTCCCTGTTTCCTCAGGTCACGTCAGCGTTACTGATGGGCCTGACTAATAGCAGCGCGCAGCTGTACAAACCGAGTGACGTTCAGCAGTACATTGAAACCCTGGATACGCTGGTGTCAGATCACTCAATAATAACAGAAGACCTGCAGGTGAGCAGTGCCTGCAGGCTGCCTAAGCCTGTCAAGCAAGTGATGTTGCAGTGTTTCAATGATTTGCAACGATGTCTTGCATCCATCATAGCCAGTCTGGCGGCTCACCGGTATAGTGAGAGCCTTGCAGTCATTATGTCACGAGTTAAAATCGTGGTTGGGGTTCACTCAGCCCATCATCCCTCCAGTTTCCATCAAATGAGTATACACTTTTCGGGGAAGTCAACAGTGGTTTGCCCTGTTAATAAAACAGCTCTGCCATAGGAATGTGGAATTTCCACCTAAGGCTCAGGGCTGTAAACTAGAGATGAGCACTGCCTTAATGCTCATTTGAGCAGGAAGTCGCCTTTAATGTTGAGATTATGCAAAAAGTATATCAATCTATTTTTTAAAATCATGTCACAAGACTAAGAAATGTGGAATTCTTGTAAATAGCAGTACATCGGCCCCATGTTGTATGCATGTTTAACTTTTTTTACACCGTACGTAGCCAGCTGTGCGGGGAAGGTCAACAAACAATGTTAGAGAACTGCCCACAGAAAAGGATTTAATGGGATAACTGCTGAGCACAATTGGATTACGATCTCGCAAGGAAATAAATCGTGAAAATAACTATATATCTAAATCAGCCCAATCCTCCCATAAATTACGTGATTTTTGTGTGGCCACCCCCACTATGAATCCCTCCTCTCTCCCTGCCACCGGCCCCTTTGAAAACAGATTCTGCTCCTCCGTGCAGCTCACATTAAATTCTGGCTTCTTCCTTCTCCCTCTTCGCTCTACCCCTCTCACCATCTCCCTCTCATCCCTGACATCTTGGCCTCGTCATTCCATCTTCCCCTTCTGTCCTTTGAGCCCGGCGCTCCTCTATTCCTGCTGCAAAATGTGAGCGGTGTCCTCTTTGTCTTGGGGGCTTCTGTCCCGGCGTCCCTTCCCACTCATCTTTCCCTCCTGTCTGCCGCTCAATTGCACAACTGACTGTACTTCCCTCACCATAGTTAGCTCAGGGTACAAAGTTGGATAATAAAAAAAGTAATAGGTCAGAACAAAAATTTGCAGCAAATATGGTTTATTTGCATGTAATTATACATTGTATAAAATATGTCATGTTACAATATCATTTAACAACGTTTGAAAATATATTTGATGAAATAAAAATGTACTTTCAAGTCTTTTGGGAAATCCTGTAAGCGCTTTAAAATTCAATATTAAATACTTTTCTGTGGAGCAGTGGCACATGTTGTAAACAAAGTTAGTGATGAAAATATCCGTATTGAAAAATCGTCCAATATAACGATACAAATGTCGCAAAGATGGTACTTATGTGTGAATGTGGTGTGAATTTGAAAACGATCCTTTGAATTCAACAATAATACACTGAAACATGTCCAGACTAAATTTAAACGAGACCAAAAATAACTGAAACATGTCTAAACTAGTCTTGAACCATGTTGTATATATTGTGATGATATTTTTTTAATGAAATAATAAAACATTATTCAACTGTTTCAATTATGAAAAATATGTAAATGTGTTAATTGTGTAATGTTACTCTTTGGTTCTTTCGGTAAAGTCACGTAGGTGGAAAATAATACCGAAAGAACCAAACAGTATGGATTCCTGCAGTCACGAAAGCTTCAAATCAAGATTGTGTAATGAATGTAATAAATAGTAATTAAGAATAGATTTTGAAAAAATTGTGTGTTAAGTGTAATGATTAATAATTAAAAAATCAAGCATATTAATGTGTATGTGATTCGGAAGCGAATATGCGTAAAAGTTATCACAAATTATTATTATTATTGGCTCTGTCGTTGTCTAGGGGTATGTATTATCAATCGTGATAATGTCAATGATTCTCGCTTCAACAATGACATGGAATTATGTCAGGTCTCAGGATTCAGATCTCACCACAGGATATAGTTCTTGTATTTCAGACAATGATGCACGCATTAGCAACGAAGCACTCACACCCTTTTTTTCATCTAAGCAATTTTAATATAAACTTACTCTAACATTCAAACAGATTTCACCAGAAATTAATAGCAACAACAGTACCCATGCAAATACACGTATTCATGCATCTGAATTGAATGATCATAAAAGCAAAAATGGTCAAATCTCACGATCACGTGATTAAAATAAAAGATGGTAACATGACAATACACAACTCGTTTGTTATTGTGTGTGATGCATGAAAGCTAAGATTGTTCTTGGCCCACAACCTGCACAAGGTACAGTTAAAAATTGTGAGTGTAAAGCTCAAGGCCGTAATTATAATATATATTGGGGGGGACACACCCCCCCCCCAATATTCAAATATGCTCAAAATGTCCCCCCAATATATTGCTATCAAAATAATTGCTATGCTATGTAAATAAAAAGAACAATTTGCTCAACCTTGGCCACAATATCTGGACTTGTCTTCATATAAATCAATGCATAGATTTCTGTTCACATGATTGTGGTTATGGTTGTACTTTATTCATCCCTAATCTCTGCCGTTACATACAATGAAACAAGAAATGGTAAAAAAGTAAAAACAGAGCAATGCAATACAATACACTATTAGACATTGTAACAAAAAATAAACAGTCCATCCATGTATTAGTGAATTTTTTTTATAATTTTAGGCAGGAAATTAGTTTTCAAATTTCAATTTATTTTTCTGGGTTGGAACCCCCAGACACCCTGGAAGATTTGGTCCCCCCCAATGTTGACTCCATGGCTACGGCCTTGGTAAAGCTAATGTCTCATCTTCTATCTTCCCGAAATATACCTCAAGTCCCACAACGATGTGTAGAATGGCAGGCTTGGTCCACAGCGTTAGTGCGCTCGTGGCCATACTGCTCGCTGCTCGTTCGCAGTGTTGTCTGTGCATCATGCTCGATCCATAGCTAGAGTGTGTCACGGCTCTCGAGTCAGCACGCTGCCTTTAAGCCGTTAGCTGCCGCGCCACACACTCGCAGGTTATCTGCACGCCAGGCTCGATCTTGCAGCTGGAGCATGCTGTGGCCATGCTAGCCCAGCACTCTGCCTGTCAACAGCCTTGGGAGTGGATTGGTTTGCGAGAATCCTTGGTCCCTCACCCTTAACGATCCCCCGCTGTGCACCAGCCTGCACGTGTCCACACATTCCCAGCTTCTCCACAACTTTCATGCAATGTCAGTCACTGGGCTCGACCAACAGAACTTTTCCAGCCTATAGCTTGAACAATCTTTCATGAACACTCGATATGCTGTATAACTCAAGTCTCCGCTTAACTGCGCACAACTCTTATCTTATCAAAGTATAATATTAACTTTCCTTCGAACACGCGCCTGAGCTTATCACAACTCTTAGCTTAGAACAGTACAATTTCTTGAAGTCCTTGACTCTGTGACTGAAAATATAAATAAAATATAAAACAACACTTGACTACTCTTAGCGACTCAGAGCATATGCCTCTGCAACGCTCCAACGTATTACGAGGGCCAAACTCCAGGGTTTGCCTATGCAAGACTAACGAATATGATTTTTTTGTATACTGTTATATAGACATTTCTAGCTTATTTAATTCCCAAAGACAACTCAAACGCCCAAAGGTCCTCCCTCTTTCACGCCCTTCGAGCATTCATCCGTTCAGTCTTAGTTGACCTTTTGTTGTGGCTCCACAGACATCCTGGCACCTGATGTCATCAACGCCATCCTCCCTTCTATCGGAGGTCATCCCTAGACTTGTGTGGACACAGACCCACTTAATTGCCCCTTGGTGTGGTGTGTGTCTTGTACATGTCTTGAAATATGAAACGGCCTTGGTTACCTCCCCTTAGGTCAGCTCAGCCTTAAAATGAACACCTGGAGCATGCAATGATAGGCACTGGGGAGACAAAGGCGGTCGGGCATGGCTTTGGTTGTACCCCTTTGAATGCATTATGTTTGTCTTGTAGAATTGATCATTAGAATTTATGTAAAAAATTTTATTGTTGTCCTGAATGAGCCTTAGGTTCAAGGCTTCAACACGAGCTTCCATAATTCTATTATCAAATTTCACATGCTTACCCCAGACCTCATGGAAATTATGTACGGATAGGAGTGATTGCAAAAAGCCGGAACCTGACTAGAATAAACTTAAACTAGACAATAATAAACTGGAGCCTGTCTAAACTAAACTTGAACTAGACAATAATAAACCAGAACCTGTTTTGACTGAATTTGAACGATACAATAATACACTCGGACCTGTCAAACTAAGCTTGAACCTACCTAGACCAAGCTTGATCTTGACGAGACTCATATTATGGTACCACACAAAATCGATATTGTAAATTAACATCAGATTTTTTTTATTAGTGAAGTTAAAAGTTTTAGGCCTACATTCTCTCCTAGAAGCAAACCGTGTCCTAAACGTGGTGTTAAATGAGTGTGATCATTTGTTTTTGGTTGCTATGTATTAATCCACTGATAGTTTATTGTTTACACATAAAAACAACGTTATCATGTGGCACCCCTCGAGGTGTGTCATTTTACGTGTGAATGTTGTCCTTGACAATAACAGCATCACTGTTGAACTTAAGATACATTTTGATTTAAAGCTTTCGTGACTGCAGGGATTCATATTCTTGGTTCTTTCGGTAAAGTCACGTAAAAGGGAAACAAGAAAATAACACAAATATAAAACAATACAATTCTCACGACGTTTCGACTGCAACACAAGCAGTCATCATCAGGTGTGAAAACCACAACAAGAAAATTTGAAAAAAGTGGCGGTTTTTTAACGTTAGCACCACGGATAGCGATTTGACAGTTTGTTCAGATGGAGGAGTCCATCTATGTTCGGAAAAGAGGAGAGGGGAGACGAAAATTAATGGATGCGGTCTGAAAGCCACCTTAAGCGTGATCAATCAATTAAGACCCGAAATGGTTTATCAAATCGTTCCAATGATTGCTAAGCCAGAATCCATCTTCTCGGTTGAAATTGTCTCTGTGTTTGTATATATGGTTAGCCTCATGAACGAATCTCTCATGGTAGCCAGATGGCTTGCAAATAACCTCTGTCCTGGAGAAGTCATGTGAACCTACTGAATTATAACAGTGATCTGGCACGGCCGAGGTGTTGGTCCTACCGTGTTTCAGGTCTGTTTTGTGTTCACGAATGCGGTCCGAGACATCTCGTTTGGTTTCTCCAATGTAACTACTACCACAGAGGCAACTTAGTTTGTAGACACCAGGGTAATGTATGTCCGGAATCACATCTTTTACAGACGGAACCAGATCACGGATTTTATGTAATGTGTTGAATCGGACCTGGATCTTGTGTTTATTCAAGATTTTGGAGATCTTTTTTGTGATCCCCGCAATGTAGGGTAAAGTGATGGTTTTGAAAGGCTCTTCAAGAGTGTTCTTCTTCATGGTTGGAGTGATAGCTTTGTGGATTGTGTAGTCGGAATACCATTAGCCTTAAGAGCTTGGTGTACGTGCTTGAGTTCACTGGCTATGTGTTCCTGGTCGGATATGCATTGGGCTCTATGGTGCAAAGTCTTGATGAGGGAATTCTTCTGGGATGGATGGTGGTGAGAATCCGGTTTCAGGTAAGCATCCGTATGGGTAGCTTTCCTGTAGACAGAGTTGCTCATTGAACCATCATGTCTCTTTTTTATTAGGACATCCAAAAAAAGGTAGCTTGCCATCTTTTTCGACTTCCATGGTAAATCTTATGGCTGGGTGTATGGAATTGATGTGGTCGAAGAATTGGTCTAGAGCAGGCCGGCCATGTGACCAGATGACAAAAGTGTCATCCACGTACCTCTGCCATAAGGTTGGGCGCAGAGTGGCAGTCTGGATGGCGTCAGTCTCAAATTTATCCATGAAAATGTTGGCTACAACCGGAGATAGGGTGGAGCCCATTGGGGTGCCATCAGTTTGTTTGTAGAAAGTTCCATTCCAAGTGAAGTATGTATTGGTTAAGTAGTGTCTTACCAGGGGGGGTACCTCAGTCTTTAGTCCTTGATGAACCAAGTCTTCAATGATTGCGATGGTGTCAGGTACAGGAACTTTGGTGAATAAGGAAACTACATCAAAACTGACAAGCAGGTCGTCTGGGGACAGGGAAATACCCTTGATTGTCGATACAAGGTGAGTAGAATTTTGTACCACAGAGGTGTTTTTCCAGTGAAAGGCCGCAGGATTTCAGACAGAAAACGAGCCAGTTTGTAGGTGGGGGAGTTGAAAGTAGAGACGATGGGACGAAGATTATACGGCTTACCAAAAAGACATAAAGTAGATCCACCCCTTCGTCCCATCGTCTCAAAATCTTGAATAAACACAAGATCCAGGTTCGATTCAACACATTACATAAAATCCGTTATCTGGTTCTGTCTGTAAAAGATGTGATTCCGGACATAGAGTACCCTGGCGTCTACAAACTAAGTTGCCTCTGTGGTAGTAGTTACATTGGAGAAACTAAACGACATGTCTCGGACCACATTCGTGAACACAAAGCAGACCTGAAACACGGTAGGACCAACACCTCGGCCGTGGCAGATCACTGTTATAATTCAGTAGGTTCACATGCCATTGACTTCTCCAAGACAGAGGTTATTTGCAAGACATCTGGCTACCATGAGAGATTCGTTCATGAGGCTATCCACATATACAAACACAGACAATTTCAACCAAGAAGATGGATTCGGGCTTTGCAATCATTGGAAGGATTTGATTAACCATTTCGGGTCTTAATTGATTGATCACGCTTAAGGTGGCTTTCAGACTGCATCCATTATTTTTCGTCTTCCCCCTCCTCTTTTCCGAACATAGATGGACTCGTCCATCTGAACAAACTGTCAAATCGCTATCCGTGGTGCTAACGTTAAAAAATCGCCACTTTTTTCAAATTTTATTGCTGTGGTTTTCACACCTGATGATGATTGCTTGTGTTGCAGTCGAAACGTCGTGAAAATTTTATTGTTTTATATTTTTCTTATTTTATTGTTTCCCTTCTACGTGACTTTACCTTAAGATACATGTTAGGTTAAAAAAATATCTTAAATAATTTTGAAGAAACCATGTAAATAACCACTTCCATGGGTTTTCATGGTTGTTCTGTATACCCAGCAATCATGCTGACGTTGGGCCGATATTCAGGGCTTCAACACGAGCTTCCATAATTCGATTATCAAATTGGCCCAACGTCAGCATCTTTGCTAGGAAGCACTCCAATCTGTTCTCGCGTCGTTTTATGGCAATGATGTCCGACGTTTCTGAGCATCTTCAGTTTAACTCCGCGTGAGTTCTTAAATAACTCCTGAAGAAGCTCCCAGCACGTGAAGTGAAACGATGGACATTGTGCAAAATATGTGCCACAACCAGAAGACACGTCAGTGGGCCAATGAAATAACTACTGGAGGGACAGCTTAAACACACATACACAGGACACTTGGTACATGCAGATCAGAATTAATCTAATGACATGAAGAGGGAAAGAAGAGAAGAATCGAGAGACAACTGCAGTTGGTGTGCAGGAGTAAGGTAGATCGTAGGGGGGTGGAACAATGCATCAATTAATCGATCACTGATTATTCTTGAGTTCACGATACACAGGTAAAAAATAATGATTTTCCCATAACCTGTGCAGCTACTACAGCTTCAACGTCAAATAAAGGAACAGATTATTTACTGGAATCGTGCCCTTGATTTACAGTAACTTATTGAACCACAGATCATAGCTTAATATTGTGAATAACAGCAATATCTCCGATTCACATTGGAGGCAATTACGAGTTAAAAAACGCCTTTGTGTTTCCATTGAAATGTGTTTCTTGAATGTTTTGCTTCAGGGTGCAGCCATTCAGAGCATGGGGGCCGCTTCAAAAGCCCTGGCAGCCTGCAGACAAGTGACGTCACCCCAGGTCACGAAAGCTGCACAAGGTATTTACGTATTACAGGAGAACTCCTCTTATCCGTTTTGATATTGGGGAGTACTCGTATTATAGATCCTATAATCCCCTACGGGGTTACCCCCAAAAATGTTCCACTTATCCGATAATAGGATACATTTGCCTTGGGGCTCCACTTATCTGCACCAAAAAAAATCACGTAATGTAAATTATTGTGTAAACTAAAGGGCCACCCGATACCAGAAATTGAAAGACTTTTCTGCACGGCTCCTCGTATCTGTGGTAAAATGGTGGGTATTGGGATTATTCAAATGCGGCAGGGGTCTTTGAACAACTCGATGTTCTGCAATTCACTTCTGCAAAATATGTTGTGCCTTGCTTGCTTCATATCACTAGGTTCTCCTGGCTAAATAAGGATATGTATGTATCCATCTCCTTGTGTCAATCTGAGAGAAACACAAATGGCGATACAAAGACAAATATCCCCCGTATAGCCTCAACAGACTATAGGAGCAAGCGCTGTTAGTGAGCACCTATAAAGGCCGGCACGACACACGAGGGGGTGGGTGGCCAGCACCACACCCGGCCGCCACCACACCCGGCCGCCTTTGTCTCCCGTGTAGGATGTTTACACACTGCACCAGGTACTATTTTTTACACTGAGTCGACTTAGAGGAGGCCCTGGGCCGATTCAAATAATCTTCACTGGTGTTGGCCATGAGCGGGAATCAAGCTCAGATCGTCAGATTCATAGCGCAGCACAATAAGAACAACACTACTGCTCCCCACACACACACAGCAATTTACACAGATATGGAGACAGACACACTCACAGGCAACAACAACATTGGCCACGAACTTGTGGTGATGTTACCACAGCAAATGTGCATTTTGAGGTCACGTGAAGTGTTGAAGGCTCACTGGCAGGAGACAACCAGACAGACGCATGGGAGAGACTCACAAACACACGGGGAAAGAGAAGCGGAGAGAGAGATACACAGACACGGAGACACCCTTTGGTGTGAGTGGTCTTGGCAGGATGCGCCATGGCCAGAAGGGATGATGGATGGTCAAGGATAATGACAGAGTGACAGCCAGGGGATGTGATGCGTCGAGAGGACTTCAATAGAGGAGATGGAGCCATGAAATCAGCTCATGTGGAGCTGCTGAATGGATTGTTGCATTAAGTCCAAGGTCATGAGAGGTGGGTAGCAGCTTGTGGAGGACTTCATGCAGCAGTGGCATGGACGTGGCTGCTAGAGCACTGCGCTCGAAACTGAGCGACACGAGTTTGATTTCCGGTCACAGCTAACATCAGTGGCGATTATCTGAAGTGGTCCTGGGATTTCCCTAAGTGGCCTTGGCCTCAAAACAAGTACCTGGTGCAGTGTGTAAACATCAACACAAAATCTCATGGAATGTAAAGTGTCTTGGTGTAAGGCTTATGGATTAACCGATGCTGCTATTTTGTGTTTTAAGCTCTGACGTCAGTTGCTTCAAACATCTTGGAATCGATGGCCCTCAGCTTCGCCACTGCCTCTACGAATGATACAAAGGCCAACGAAGCCCGGGTTGCCAAGGTGCGGTAGCCACTATGGTTTGTACAACGTGGTGATGCCTCGGTACATCGTACGATCGATAACCTATTTGTCCTACTTGATAGAATATTGTCATATCGTGGATATCCTTTCTCGTTTTATTTTTTCTTATATTTTGAACTCATAAAGTTCACAGTGGTAATTAAAATAAAAAAAAATATATTACCCATGAAATGGTTTGTAAAATGTTTTTGCAGGTAAATTGACAGCATGGTGGTCATGTGTCGCCATAGTTTTCTGACAGCGTGTGCTGTATAAGCGTTGCAGATTGTAACACTACAATGTTTATACTATTTAGAATGAGAAAACTACTGAATAAATACTGAGCAATCCTTATTCGTATTTTAAGCTTATCAAAGTACAATTAACGAGAAGAGAGAAATGTCAAACACAGTTGTGGGAAATTCGTATTGTGTTAACCGTCGAACTCAACATTTAAAATCGTAACTTATCACATTAGGGAAAACTGAAATCGCAGCAGCCCTAATTGTTGGTCTAGCAGTACTGCCATAATTTGGCCAAGCAGCAGAGCTCTCGTTCCCTAAAGAGAAATTGCACGCACTGACCGGGCTCAACTCGGCCCTCATTTGTCAAGATCGGAAACTTTGCAAGATCAGCAAGTGAGCACTGCCTATGAACAAATCGCACGTAGTGCACCAAATCTTGTCATATCAAGCAAGATAAACGGGGTTGAGCCTGAGTTGTGCTTGGATAGGTGACCACCATGCATAAGCAGGTTCCTACAGGCTGCTGGTGCTGCTGTGGGGCTGTGGTGAGCAACAGAGGGCATTGCAGCAACATCCATTGTTGTATTGTACGTATACTGTATGCTCCCACATCTGCATTAACGTGATATGTTGTCCACCTTAAACCAACACTGGCCAACATGGTGGGGTGAGGTCATATATCCGTCCACAATATCGTGGTATGAGTAGGCCCAAGTCCAGCAGTGGATTGACAAAAGAGCTACAGGTGTGCATTTCAGTTGTACAGATATGAATCAGAACATAGCAATATGGGATTTCAACTATTGGCTCAACACTGGCTAATGGAGGAGATAGGTGGCGCACAAGTGGCACATGAAGGCAATGTTCTCACTTGTAGAATAGTGGGCATGTCAATGGACCCCTTTTTTCCAGTATCAAGATGGTGAAAAAAAAGTGTCCCGTAGATATAACTGCTCGACCAGAGATATTAATGCTTTGATATTTGCATGGTCTTTGTACTGTTCACCATTTAGTGTTCTGTTAAATTTTTACTTAAAACTTTCGTGACTGCAGGAATTCATATTATTTGGTTATTTCGGTAAAGTCACGTAGATAGAATAAATAATAATTAAAATAAAGTTAATAAAATATCACGACGTTTCGATTGCAACACAAGTGGTCGTCATCAGGAAAAGGGGTTAGCCTCTAAAGGCACACTGTTTATAAAGGTTTTGAGATGGGCGTAGCCAAAGTGTATCAGCAGCACCAGCAATGTCAATGCAGCAGCAGCATTGCCAATGCAACAGCAATGCCAATGCAGTAGCAATGCCAATGCAGCCAGAAAATCACTGCATCCCACTCTACACAACAAACTGCTGACGGTGGAGTTTGATTGACAAAAAACAAGTCAAGTCATGACCTAAAATGGTTGATGACATCTTTCCAATGATTGCTGAGTTTATAACCATCCTCTCGGTTGAAATTGTGTCTGTGTCTGTACATGTGGATGGCTTCATGAACGAATCTTTGTTGATAGCCAGTAGGCTTGCAAAGTACCATCGTCTTAGAGAAATCAATTTCGCGTAAGCCAGCCGCATTTAAATAATGATCAGCCATGGCAGAAGTATTGGTCCGACCGTGTTTCAAATCTGCCTTATGCTCACGAACACGGTCCGAGACATGTCGCTTAGTTTCCCCAATGTAACTGCTGCCGCAGATACAGCTTAGTTTGTAGACGCCGGGATATTGCATGTCAGGTATCTTGTCCTTCACAGATGGGATCAGATCACATATTTTATGTACTGTGTTAAATCAGACCTGGATCTTGTGTTTGTTCATGATTTTGGAAGTATTTTTGGTTACCCCTGCTATGTACAGTGAGGGAAAAAGTATTTGATCCCCTGCTGATTTTGTACGTTTGTCCACTGACAAATAAATGATCAGTCTATAATTTTAATGGTAGGGTTATTTGAACAGTGAGAGACAGAATAACAACAAAACAATCCAGAAAAACGCATGTCAAAAATGTTATAAATTCATTTGCATGAATTTATAGTGGCTAGGCCACTCCAGAACCTTAATGTGCTTCTTCTTGAGCCACTCCTTTGTTGCCTTGGCCGTGTGTTTTGGGTCATTGTCATGCTGGAATACCCATCCACGACCCATTTTCAATGCCCTGGCTGAGGGAAGGAGGTTCTCACCCAAGATTTGACGGTATATGGCCCCGTCCATCGTACCTTTGATGCGATGAAGTTGTCCTGTCCCCTTAGCAGAAAAACATCCCCAAGCAAAATGTTTCCACATCGATGTTTGACGGTGGGGATGATGTTCTTGGGGTCATAGGCAGCATTCCTCCTCTTCCAAACACGGAGAGTTGAGTTGATGCCAAAGAGCTCCATTTTGGTCTCATCTGACCACAACACTTTCACCCAGTTGTCCTCTGAATCATTCAGATGTTCATTGGCAAACTTCAGACGGGCATGTATATGTGCTTTCTTGAGCAGGGGGACCTTGCGGGCGCTGCAGGATTTCAGTCCTTCACGGCGTAGTGTGTTACCAATTGTTTTCTTGGTGACTATGGTCCCAGCTGCGAGGGAGATTGACAGTTATTTTGTGTTTCTTCCATTTGCGCGTAATCGCACCAACTGTTGTCACCTTCTCACCAAGCTGCTTGGCAATGGTCTTGTAGCCCATTCCAGCCTTGTGTAGGTCTACAATTTTGGCCCTGACATCCTTGGAGAGCTCTTTGGTCTTGGCCATGGTGGAGAGTTTGGAATCTGATTGTTTGATTGCTTCTGTGGACAGGTGTCTTTTATACAGGTAACAAGCTGAGATTAGGAGCACTCCCTTTAAGAGTGTGCTCCTAATCTCAGCTCGTTACCTGTATAAAAGACACCTGGGAGCCAGAAATCTTTCTGATTGAGAGTGGGTCAAATACTTATTTCCTGCTTTAAAATGCAAATCAATTTATAACATTTTTGACATGCGTTTTCTGGATTTTTGTGTTGTTATTCTGTCTCTCACTGTTCAAATAAACCTACCATTAAAAGTATAGACTGATCATTTATTTGTCAGTGGGCAAACGTACAAAATCAGCAGGGGATCAAATACTTTTTTTCCCTCACTGTATGGCAGGGTGATGGTTTTGATTGGATCCTCAGATGGCTCCTTCCTCACGGTTGGGGTGATGGTTTTGCGGATTGTGTAGTCAGAATATCCATTCGCCTTGAGTTCTTGGTGTACGTGTTTGAGTTCACTGGTTAGGTGTTCATGGTCGGAGATACATTCAGCTCTATGGCGTAGCATTTTGATGAGGGAATTCTTCTGGAATGGATGGTGGTGGGAATCAGGTTTTAGGTAGGCGTCAGTATAGGTTACTTTCCTGTAGACAGAATAGCTCATTGAGCCATCTGGTCTCTTTTTGATTAGGACATCCAAGAAAGGTAGCATGCCATCCTTTTCTACCTCCATGGTGAATTTGATGGCTGGGTGTATGGAATTGATGTGTTTGAGGAATCGGTTTAGAGCCGGTCGGCCATGTGGCCAGATGACAAACGTGTCATCCACGTACCTCTTCCATAAGGACGGGCATAGAGTGGATGCCTACATGGCGTCCGTTTCAAATATTTCCATGAAAATATTGGCTACAACCGCAGATAAGGGAGAACCCATTTGGGTGCCTTCAGTTTGTTTGTAGAATGTTCCATTCCAGGTGAAGTATGTATTGGTGAGGCAGTGTCTCACCAGGGCCGGCACATCAGCATTCAATTCTTTTTGGACCAAATCTTCAATGATTGCAATGGTATTGGGCACATGAACTTTGGTAAACAAAGAAACTACATCTAAACTGACGAGTAAATCACTGGGGGACAGTGAAATGTCTTTAATTGACGATACCAGGTGAGCTAAATTAAGTACCAAAGAGGTAGTCTTACCAGTGAATGGCTTCTAGATTTGAAGCTTTCGTGACTGCAGGGATCCATACTCTTTGGTTCTGTTTTATTTTTTACCTACGTGACTTTACCGAATAGAACCAAACAGTGAATGGCTGTAAGGCTTACACGAAATTGATTTCTCTAAGACGATGGTACTTTGCAAGCCTACTGGCTACCAACAAAGATTCGTTCATGAAGCCATTCATATATACAGACACAATTTCAACCGAGAGGGTGGTTATATATAATTAGTGTTCTGTTTTGGAAACAAGGCCAAAAAGCAGACTGTCTCTGGTGTAGGCCAGTTTCAACGACAATGTATACATAATGAAAGCATTTTTGTTTGCATGTTTTTCCACAAGCATGTGTGGTTAATGCGGACTTGATGCCTTGTGATATGTGTTCATTTAGTGTATGAACACCCTAACACCTCCTGTACCCTTTCCGGAAATGGTAAACCGTATCCTTATTCATCATTGGGCATGTCAGTGCACCGATGGCACAGTGGTGAGCGGACTGGGCGAATGAAATTGGCGACCTGAGTTAAATTTTTACCGATGGCTAACATCAGTGCCAAGCAATATCTAAACTGGTCCTGGGTGTCCCCTTTACCAACCCACAATGACCAGTGCGGTGACATTTTCTATGATTTAACCCCCATAACCAACACGGCATGGGGAGGCCTTCATCCAGCAGTGGATTGACAAATAGTTCATCAGCATGGGTTATTGTCGGAAGTGGGCCACCAGGATAAGTTTCAGATATCACCCGTCGCTGACGTTAGCTCTGCCCCGGAATCAAACTGAGGTCGCCGGGGGTTCATATAACGCACACCTCTCGAGGCGTATTTCAGATTCTGATAGATAACTCACAGGACGTCCCCATGACCGCACTCACACGTGGCCTGACAAGATATCCCCATGACTGTGACTCCGTGACTCCCATTCCCAGGCCAGATACGGGTTTTACGGCACCTATAGCAACATGATTACGTACAGCAGCGTCGTGAACAGCAAGGAAGTTCCGGCTGGCGAACCCATCATGGCTAACACGCCCACGCTGACGGTGCTCACAAACACGTTGCCCGCCAAAACCAACAGCAGCGTGGGGCTAAATGCATACTATGGCCAGCTCAGCCTGGACACTGTAAAGCCGAACATCACTGCCAAATCTATGAAGTCCCTCGCTCTCCAGGTATGGTATTTTTTGTCGTCAATACACAATTCTTTTTGTTCTTTTACTTTCTTATTTTGCCACAAGTTTATGCCGGTTGTGCTGTCGGCGTCCATCTCATAAGACGAAGTGTTCATTCAAACCTTATGGCACGGTGTGCCCTCCTTGCTTGAGAATAGCCCACAGAAGCGGATGCCACTTTGACACCCCTGTAATTTGGCAGAGTGGCTGGGAAAGTGCTGCCTGCTATGTTGCAGACCATAAATACAGAAGGATAATGTCATAAATGCTATATAATAGCAATGACTGGTGGACATGGAAAGCTGCAACCGATACTCATCTTTGCAATGCATTGAATAATAATTTGTATAATTTAGTGCATGTTTTTGCGCTGAGCCAGACTGCAGCTGTTTTATTTGCAACATGTGGTGGCATTGTTCTCAGACACCGCTATCTTTGGTTAGTAGACACAGTCTTCAACAATATGCATCATCGTCAGTCTTGCACCATGGCTACACTTTGGGTTGTCGCATAAGCCCGACATGTGCAAGGGTTGCTGCACAAACAGGCCTTGAAATTATTAAATAAAATGTATGTGGCAATTGGTGATGTGTGCTTCGTCGTTATAGATCATGGCGTTTCGCAAGAGCCCATTCATCTGGAACCAAACGACTTCTGTCAGCAGCTCTGTGATCGGCTTACAAACAAATTTCGATAACAACACGATCAGCTTGAACTCCATGAGGGTCTCCCTTATAAATTACTTAGCTCCTACCAATCAGAATGTCCTCAACCTCATGCAAGATCCCACAGACTCTTCGAAGGTGAGCTTTGTCAAGTTTCAGGTGACGTCCTTGGGGACGATGGTGTTCCTCAAGGTCTTCCTGAATGAGAACGTCACCACCCCCGTAGAGGTGTACATCCGATATGGCGCTATCCCGCACAAGGACCCTGTAAGCGATGACTTCTACTTCCAGATCGATCCGTCACTCTCTGCAAAAAGCAGCATGGGAAAGATCAATGGCTCTGCGCACAGCTTCAGCATGCTAGGCAACGTCACGAAGATAGGTGACTACTATTTGGCCTTCAAATACCAAGGTGAGACCATTCACTTAGCAATCTCTCAGTTCCCAGCTTAGACAATTCACGTGAACCGTGTTGCCCAAAACACCCTTTGCCTAAACCAAACGGAGCTGCCTATTAAGGTGGTTAGTAATAATGCACGATAGGCCCAAAAACCTGAGTGCGACTCCTGGCCATGGTTAACATCATTAGCATTATTAGAATTACTACGACAGTAAAGGCTAATGTGGGGCGACCCAATATAATGGGCAGCACAGGGCAGTGAAGCGAAATTTACATTGTTGCTTTAACGTCTCCGCTCCCCACCTTGACAACCCCATAAGACCAGCATGGTGAAGTAGGGCCATTCTTAAGAGAATGTAGCCAACCGGTTAGTGGTCTAAAACAACAAACTGACCCACACATTCGGTTATTTTAAGCTGGTAGTATGGAAAAGGCTGAGAGCTTTTATGCATGCAGTGCTGCACACCTCTGTTTTTGTTAAATCTGTTGTGATTAGTTTTCTCGTTATTTACAGATTTGAGGCCTGCATAAGAATAAATATTAACTGATTACTCTGACATTTCTCGTAACCGTCGACCTCGGCCTTCGCCCCCACCAACCCTTTAAATGTCTTTGATGTCCAGTACTTCGTTTAGATATTCGTAGCACCTTTCAGGAACACATACCCGACTTAAAGCAGAGTATTACTCGACCGCTGCACTACACCATTAAAGCACATACGACATCAGTGCTGTACACTGCTACACAATTTCATGATACTAGTTAACACTACCACACCACACCAATAAACTACACTTTCGGCTACTACACAACACTGTATCGAACCACATCACTGCACTATGCCTCAATACTACACTACACCTTGCAGCATTACTCTACATGAATGCATTGCATCACTACACTAAATAACTACACCACTACACTGTACCCCACCACGACAGCACACAATTGCACTACACCATGCAACAACACTGCACCCTGTACCACTGCACGAAGACACTACCCCACTATATTACATCACTATAGTACACACTATACCACTACTGCACCATTTCATTACACAACTTAATACTACCCCACATAACTACAGCACACCCCTAAACTGCACAGTCACTTGACTCACCTATTTCTCCCTCATTTACCCACTCAGCCCTCTCTCTTTACTCGTTTGTCTCACTCACTCATTCCACTAATTTATTCTTTAATTTTTCCCTCATTCGGTCACTAATTCCTCTCATTCGTTCTCATTCTCACCTCAATCAGCAGCTTATCTGGTGACCTCCTGGAGGCCCACTAATTGCTAGCGGCGCCTGTTGCTCGGCTGGTCTTGGTGGCCAGTGGAGAAACGTTTCATTTATAGTGCACATAATCATATCAGTGTTTTGAACATTGTGGTTAACATACTCGCTTAGATCCAAAAAAAGGTCCCATTTTATAGCTGCTCACCCCGAGCTATAAATGCTCTGATAGTGGAATTGTCTTTGGACTGTTCGCCTTTTGGCGTTCTCTGGTCTGACACTGGTGAGACAAGGCCCTAAGAAAGGCTGTATCTGGTGTAGGCCAATCAGTTTCAAAGACAATGGATATATTCAGAGCATGTTTGTTTGCATGTTCACCACAAGTACGTGTGATTAATGTAGACATGATTCCTTGAAAAACGTTTATTTGGTGTTTGAACATCTTAACACCTGTTTTATTGCCAGAAAAGGTAAAACCTATTACTTTTTCATGATACTTTTTTGTGCCTATAACTAGGATTTGTACACATAGCGTGAAAAATATGGATTTGTGTTTGTTCAAAGTGGCACAATATAGACATACACACAGATAGAATAAGAAATGTTTCACACTTCGGCTTTCGCGACCAATATTCATCATACAATTTTTGTTGGGTTATATTGCGTAAATAAGAAATGTAAATAATAAACATAAGAAATGTAAACACGTGGGTTGGTGTCATTGTAAAATATTGGTGAGTTTATGTGATTATTGAAATCACACCGGGGCAGTATTCTATTGGAGGCAGAGCACAACACAGAAACAAACTCAGTTAGATCCTCAATGAAGGAGGTAGAGGCCCTGGGTGAGCAGTAAAAGAGCTGCACAATTGTCAGAGACTGGACAGAGTAACATTCAAGTAGGAGGTGCTCAAACCACTGGAATTCTGACATGGGGGCAGGACGAAGGGTGGCAGAATAGCGGTGTTAAACGGAAAGGCCTGCGCCATGACCAGTAAAATTAGGCTGGTCCTGAATATTGTATTTACTTGGTAGGGCCTGGTTGATCGCTTCGCTGTTGGCACGTCTCTGTGAGGTATAAAAAGGCAAAATTATTGACGTTAACGAACTCCGTGCCTTAAGTGAGTAACTTTAATACATATAAGAAAAAAAGTAAAACGACCTTTACGACCTTACAGCTATGCCCACAGCAAGGTGTGAAGAAAAACAGTGGCATGCGAGCCAGCATCCCCTCTCCCCGGAAGTTGATACATAAGGCACCTCGACAACCTCAACAAGGACGTTTCACAATATTTGTGTGATCCGCCAACTCTCTCCACCAGTGTTGGACTACAGGCATGCTCCAACACCATTCGGTTATAGATGCTCACATATCCGACATTTTCACTAATCTGTCTATACCTCATTCCCCGGGTACTTTATAATGTAATATTTCCAAGGGAATCGGTTGTTGAATATGCTTTCTTTGTGTTTCAAATCAGAAAACGCCCCACCGAACACACGGATGACCATCCACAACTTGATGTGCAAGACTTGGAGCAAAGCGTCTGACAAGTGGGTGTACGGACTGATGCAGGTGAGACGCTATGCAGGACCTCATACCTCTACCTACGCAATATCTCCTGCAAACATCGCTTCCTCACCTCTTCTGCTGCTGAGACCCACATCCATTGTATTTTGATGACTGCACCTCTCTTCTGTGGCATCCCCACATCCCTCACCTCCAAACGCCAAACGACCCATAACACTCGACATAAGACTCCTTTGCCTACATCCATGCACGTGGCCACATCACCCTAGAACTTAGATTCCTGAACTGGCTCCCAATCCAATCCCAAATCTACTTAAAATTGTCCCCACTATTTTCAAGAGTCTTCCTTGGACGTGCCCCTTTCTACCTCTCTCTGTTCAACTTGCTCTACTCTGCTCTCTGGCAACCAAATCCTTTTGTCAAATAATCAACCTTCACTCTATGCGAGGTCAAACCTTCTCTACTTATTTTTCTGGTGCCTTGGCGTTGTGGGCCCTTGGGGCTTGCCCATTTCCTTCACTGGTGTCTCCTCGCTGTGCTCTCTCTTCTTCTGTCTATCCATCTCAACTGAGATGGCTTCCATCCCGTCCATTTATTTGATGTTTGATGTACACTCAGATCGTGGTGTTCCTCTTCCCTAGCACCGTCTAGTGTTTCCTCCATCACCATCCATTGCTGTTGGTCACCATTCGTCCTGGTCATATGTCCAAAATATTGCAATTCCTTGTTCTTGACCTGACTCTGTAACCTTCAGTTTTTATGTCTGTTCTTTCCAGGACGTCCATGTGTATTGATTCTCTATATAGGACATATTAATTATTCTCTGGAAGGCTACCATTTTTAATAACACTTATTTTCCTTTCCTTCTATACTATTGCTCATATTGTTAGGAATGTTCTTCCTCTGGCTGTCCATACTGCTGAGATCTTTTTCTTGTTCAAATCCAGTCTGAAGAATGTTCTAATCTCTTCTGCCTATGTCTGACTCTGTTCAGTGTCACCATGTGGATTGAATGGTATCTCTTCCCACATCTCTGGTCTGCTTATCTGGATCATTCTGCTTCCTTGCTCTAAACGCCCTCTCCTTCAAAGTCTCAAGATGAACATGCTTCCTCACATGATGCAGGCGAAGGGTGGGGTTACCTGAGTAATGGGAGGAGCTACCTTAGTGGTGGGTGGGGCTTACCATACAGTGGGTGAAGTTGCAAAAGTGGTGGGCAGGGCCACTTCATAAGTGTGCGGAGCTACTCGAGTCGTGGACGGGTTTGATGGTATAGTTGAGGTCTGTGTCAAAAAGAGTATGGAGGAGGCCACTCAAAATATGGGTTGGGCTAGCAGTTGAGTGGGAGTGGCTATCAAAAGGTGGGATGGAGCTACCAGCTCAACGCAAGTCCTAGTTGAGCCTCTCAGAAATCTGGAAGCTTTAGTTCTGCTGGCTTTGTGTGCAGCCGCATCGTGACTCAACTCCAGAGAACATCATTTGCATGGCGGAGCAGAACATCCCCGGCTTCCCGCCCACCATACTGGAGCCTCTCTTCATTGGGGCTTCTTTCTTCGTTCCTCCAAACTCAATCGAGTTCAACACCGTGTTCACCAAGTTCGACCTAAAGTCCAACGGTGCCGTGTTTGCAACCATCGTCACTGTGACGATCGTCTACCTTATTCTGGTGGTCATCCTCTGCCGATGTGATCGCCAAGACAAGCGCGCGGTTGGTATTTTGTCTATTGCTATCAAACTCTTCTTGTTCCTGTTATTTTCCCACTGATTGAGCCGTGCTGAGACCATGCTGAGGCGACCTGGTGCAGTTAAGGAGGTTAAGGGGGCTCGGCTCAGGTTCGCCAGTGGAATAGGGGTATTTTATCACTCTCTCCTGTCCTGTGCCATATCCACCTTGACATCTACTCCCCATCCTCTTGATGTCTGCCCTGATGCCTCAATATGCATCACCTTGTGGGTTTCTTAGCCATCCGAACACGGCCCCCTTAGCCATCCGAATAAACTTTCTCGCAGCTTCTCTGAGATTGGTACCCCGTTTAGCTTCTTCCTTATCTCTCCATTTATAAACTTATCCAGTCTTGTGATCCCTAAGATGCATCTCGCTATTCTCATTTAATGTTGATTTATCAAGCCACGTCTGTCCGTCGTTTTGTTTTTTAAACTAAAGAATCAAAAGTGATACAAAGAAGAGCCCCCCATATGCTTGGTATTCATCCTATATCCACGTCGCTCTGACTGCTAGGGGAGGCCTACCACCAGCAGTAGATAGAACATGGCTGATGATGATGAATAAGGTCTAACTGCAAGGTTCTGCATCAAGTGGGATTTTAGTCATAACTTCCGGTCTGCGCTGTACTCAATCTCACTCACAGTGGAAGCTCCTGCCTTTAAAGGATAACCCAAAGGACAGCATGTACCAGTACCTGATGACCGTGAAGACCGGGATGGTTTCCAACGGTGGTACCAAGGGCAACATCTTCTTTGTCATCCAATTTGAGACCAGTGACACAGGCATCCGGGAACTTGAGAATGGCTACTGCAAGGTGAGCTAGTAGGGTAGCTATCGAGTGTACAAGCGGTGCAATTGGACTGGTTGGTAAGGCGTCGGCGTGTACTGTCGCTTGGCTGGAGACTGTGGCAGTGCCAGTTTTAGGCATAGGCAACGCATGCGTTTGTCGAGGACGGTGGAAGATTGTTGGCAATGTCATGTTCTGCAGTCGGGTGGCTGGTTGGTGGGTGTGCGTCATATGACCTACTCATGGAACACCGAGATGCTTGGGCCTATGTTGAAACGTGCAATCAGAACACAAAGATGTTGGCTATGCACGTGATCTTTGATCCAGTGGTAGTGAAGGTTGGTGGATCTCATAAAGGTTGTGAAACCCTTCCCGTGGGCATCTAGAAGCCATACCCTGACTTTTCAAGAGGGGAAATACAGCAAAAATGTGGACACCACCTGTTCCCTCTGTATGGTATAGACTGGTGCCCCTTCGCACGCGTGGGTTTTCTCTGGGTGCTCCAGTTTCCTCCGACATGTAAGCACTCTTTCGATTTAAAGCTTTCGTGACTGCAGGGATTCATCTTCTTGGTTCTTTCGGTAAAGTCACGTAGAAATAAAATAAAATTCTCACGACGGTTTCGGCCACAACACAAGTAGCCTTCCTCAGGTGAAGAAACAGAACTGTCGGAAAGACAGCGCTCATTGGAACGCTGTCTTTCTGACAGCGCTCAAATGAGCGGAGTCTTTCCAACAGTTCTGTTACTTCACCTGAGGAAGACAGCGCTCATTGGAACTGTTACTTCACCTGAGGAAGACAGCGCTCATTGGAACACTGTCTTTCTGACAGCGCTCCAATGAGCGGAGTCTTTCCAACAGTTCTGTTACTTCACCTGAGGAAGGCTACTTGTGTTGTGGCCAAAACGTCGTGAGAATTTTATTTTATTTCTACGTGACTTTATCGAAAGAACAAAGAAGATGTAAGCACTCATGAATTGACTGATAATACCTCCATATTAAGAGGACGGCAGAGCTTGGTTGGGGTGGAGCGGTGTTGGGGTTGGAATTTGGCACTGGCTAAATTCCAGTGCAGGGCTGCGTTTCCTGCTCATCTGTGGTTTTTACTCACGCCTCTGAGTTGTTCTCTCTCTCTCCGTGAGTGAATACTGTGCGGCGTGGTACAGATTTAAGTAATTATTATTTTAATTATGCGCTCAGCATCTGTAATTAAAATAAATACAGATAGACTAAAATAGCATTTAACTGCAGAACAACAGTGGTCGATGTATTTATGCAACTGCTGAAAACGCGACCGTTCACGTGCTTTCTTTGCCACCCGTGCGCAGGAGTTCGCCAAGGGCAGTGTGCGCTGCTTTGTACTGTCCATTCCACACTGCTCCGGGCTGCCCCTTCAGCTCAGGATCTGGTTGGACACGAGTCCGGATGACGACAGGGACAGGAGCTGGTTTCTCAACGAAGTTGTCCTGCTTGACATCCAAACCAACGAACAGTGAGGGAGAAATCCACCTTTCTGATCATTCTCCTCTGCTTGCTCCCCATTGTCTAAGGCTCCTTTCTCTCAGCTATTCGTGCTGTTGACTCCCTGTTCAAATCCGAGTTCAAGTTTAAAAATATATTTTTCCTTCTCTGCCAATGACAAAGTAAATATGCCTACTGCATCAGTGCAGCATCTTCTGAATCGGTCTCTACAATTTTGACTTAAAACTTTCGTGACTGCAGGAATTCATATTCTATGTTCTTTCGGTAAAGTCATGTAGATAGAAGAAATAATAACAATAAAATAATAAAAATGAAAATAAAGTTTAAACTCAGCAATCATTGGAAAGATGTCATCAACCAATTTGGGTCATGACTTGACTTGTTTTTTCTTGTCAATCAAACTCCACCGTCAGCAGTTTGGTGTGTAGAGCGGGATGCAGTGATTTTCTGGCTGCATTGGCATTGCTGCTGCATTGGCATTGCTGCTGCATTGGCAATGCTGCTGCATTGGCAATGCTGCTGCATTGGCAATGCTGCTGCATTCGCAATGCTGCTGCTGCATTGACATTGCTGCTGCTGCTGATACACTTTGGCTACGCCCATCTCAAAACCTTCATAAATAGTGTGCCTTTAGAGGCTAACCCCTTTTTCCTGATGACACCCGCTTGTGTTGGGATCGAAACGTCGTGGTATTTTTATTCACTTTATTTTAATTATGATTTATTCCATCTACGTAACTTTACCGAAAGAACCAAAGAATATGAATTCCTGCAGTCACGAAAGTTTTAAGTCAAAATTTAACAGAACACTAAATGGTGAACAGTACAAAGACCATGCAAATATAAAGCATTAATATCTCTGGTCGAGCAGTTACATCTTTTTTTTCATCATCTTGATACTGGAAAAAGGGGGTCCATTGACAAGCAAAGTTTGTGGGGAATAATAGCCATTTTCTATACTTTTTAGGCATAATCCATTAAAAAAATAACACGGAGTACCAAGGAACAAAAATTGTGTTACATAGTTTTATTATTGAACCCGGCTACTTTATGTTGAACGCTACCGAGCATGGCGAGGTAAGAACAGGGCTCGGTGGCCACTGCTTCTCCGAATCTCAGTGACATTCGGTGCTGCCCACCGCCACCAGGTTCTACTTCGTGTGCAACAATTGGCTGGCGGTGGACCAGGGGGATGGACGCGTGAGCAGGGATATCACGGTGAGCGACCACCAGACCGTGTTCGACTCCAAGAGGCTGTTCTCCTCCACTGTGAAGAGCAACTACGCTGAAGGCCACTTGTGGTGAGTGAGACGCGCGCCACGTCGTGTACCGCGCCACATCGCGAAGCTGCCAGACACCGGCGCCCAACTCCAATCAGACCGGTTCATGGCCATTAAACAAAGGCATTCACTGCATCGCGTCCTTACAGATGCGCTTCTGCGGCCGTCTGGAATGCTCTTGTGATATTAGTAAGGCACTGGCGTTGCTTATACTAGAACTATGCTCATTTAAAGTGTGGTTACATCCAGCGTCTACTGTAACAACAACGTGTACAAGTTCACGTGTACAGCTTCTCTATAAGTTCACTGCCAGTTGAGGGCCTCCCAGTGCCGTGGAAGTTGTGTGGGGTTAATTGACCATACCACACCACGCTGGCCTTTGTGGGTTGAAGGTGGAGAGAGCGTAGATGTGAGAGAAAAAGTCGATTTTGCTGCACTACCCTCTGCTGCCCATGATATCGCATCACCCCACAGAAGTCTAAATACAGGAGTCTAGTAAAACGTATTTGAGGGTCTTGCGTTAGGAAGCATGGCCAACACCATGAATGAGCAAAATGTGGGAGCAACGCGGAGAGCCCACAGAAAGCCAAGTGCAAATGAGGAGGTGACACTCGTCACTTCCAACTCCCACCAAAATACTGTGCAAGCTCAACCCCACTTAGCTGAGATCGGGTTAAATTGGTTGCAAATGTGATCCAAATACGGCCAGCTGCCTTGACGTGGGAAAAAAGCCTGAGGGCCTTGCAGAGGTGAGGAGCTATATGGGATAGGAGCACCCATACCACATGCCACGGTGGGCACCGCGGTTGTGAGATGTTAAATACCTCGCTTGGTATATAAGAGGTCGTGGGTTCGATCCCAACCCTGACGCCTGTATATTTGGAGTTTGCATGTTCTCCCTGTGGTGGCGTGGATTTTTCTCCAGGTCCTCCAGTTTTTCCCTCAATATTAAAAAATATGCGCTTAGAGTATTTGGCTGCTGCTATACATTTACACATGACAAGCCACTTCATTGAGCTATCATTTGTGGCCAGGTTGCTTCTGAAAAAGAGCTATATACCTCAGTGTGTATTACCTAGTAAAATAAGAAAAATATATTTTTAGTAATTTTAAATACCAATCAGGTACTGTACTCACCCATCGGGGTGCCATACCCTGGCTCAGCAGGAGAAGGCGGTGCAGCAAAGTTCGGAATATTATAGTTTGTCTCCACTGACTGCGATTGTGTTGCTCCCTCGCACGCGTGGGTTTTACTCGGGTGTTCTGCTTTCCTCACACATGTATAAACACCCATTATTATTAACTTGCTCCAAAACATTAATATGAAGAGGACTATACTCTTTGGTTCTATTCGGTAAAGTCACGTAGGTAAAAAATAAAACAACAAAAATCACGACGTTTTGGCCACAACACAAGTGGCCTTCATCAGGTGAAGGGACCGTGCTGTCACGAAGACAGCATTGGAATTAAGAAAGTCAAGCCAGGTCGCGTCCTTTAATTTGTGTGGGAGGAAACCAAACGCTTTGACAAAGAAATTAGCATAAAGTGCTGATAGAGCACCTAACACGGGGGGGGGGGAGGGGGAGGGGAGTTTAAAAACGTTGTTTTGAAGGAAAAATAAGCTGCTGTGAAAGTTTGGTGTATCACTACTTGGATAAATATACTGTACCATTGAAAATTAGTTTCATCTTCTTTGGTTCTTTCGGTAAAGTCACGTAGAATGAGAATAAAATAATAAAATAAAACAATTAAATTCTCACGACGTTTCGGCCACAACACAAGTGGCCTTCTTCAGGTGAAAGGGACAGACCTGTTGGGACAACAGAGCTTCAATAAACGCTGTTAAGATTCGTAGCGCCCTTTTAAGCTGGTTGAGCGAAAGTCAGGCACCCAAGCAGTAGAATTTAGCATTGAAAAAGGTTGAGGGATTAGCTTGTGACTGGTCACAGAAATGGCTATGTAAATTCAAAGCCTACACATCCACAGAGGCACCCAGCACAAATCAAACAATATAATTTAGCATTGAAATAACTAAGGGGATTAGCTTGTGACTGGTCACAGAAATAGCTGTGTTGAAGTTGAAGCCTACACATCCACAGAGGAACCTAGTACTGGTCACAGAAGTAGCTTTGTTAAAGTCAAAGCTTGCACATCCACAGAGGTACCTCGTACATGGACGCCAATGGGTGCTGCAACAAATCAACTATCATACAGTAAACTGATGTGAAAAATCCTAAGTCTAACTTACATTAATTTAATAAATGTGCTCAATATATTCTTCAATAAGCTGAGCTATTAACAGCAAGTGGGTATACACTACACTATATAATGAATACCATATAGTAAATCAATGAAAACTGAAATATAAACTACCTCAATGTTATCAATAAACTCTATATATTCTCCAAACAGCTGAGCTTCCAACAATAAGTCGTAATATATCACAATGCTGTATGGCGAAAAATGGGTGGATTCTTACCCTCAACTTCAGCACCACGGAAGGTACGTGCTCCGTTCAGACGGACGAGTCCATCCATGGTCGGAACGGAGGAGGGAGGAGGGAGATGGCTGTGAGGCGCTGTTATACTCCATGTTATACACCATACGATTGACCGTGGTGTGAGAGGTATTAAGAGTCAGTGCCAGCGAAAGAGCTGCGGTCTGAAGGTCATTGTAAAATACACTAATTAAGAACCGAAATGGTTTAAAACATCTTTCCAGTGGTTACTCAGCCAGAATCCATCTTCTCGGTTGAAATTGTCTCTGTGCTTGTATATGTGGATGGCCTCATGAATGAATCTCTGATGGTAGCCGGTTGGCTTGCAAAGAACCTCCATCTTGGAGAAGTCAATGTCATGTGAGCCCACTGAATTATAACAGTGATCTGCCACGGCAGAGGAGTTCGTTCTACTGTGTTTAAGTCTGCTTTATGTTCGCGGATGCGGTCTGAGATATGTCGTTTGGTTTCTCCAATATAGTTACTGCCACAGAGGCACTTTAGTTTGTAAACGCCCGGGTACTGTATGTCTGGAACAGCATCTTTTACAGATGGAACCAGATCACGGATTTTATGTACTGTATTGAATCGGACCTGGATCTTTTGTTTATTCAGGATTTTGGAGATCTTTTTAGTGACCCCTGCAATGTAGGGCAAGGTAATGGTTTTGAGTGGCTCCACAAGAGGATCCTTCTTCATGACTGGAGTGATGGCTTTGCGGATTGTGTAGTCGGAGTAACCATTAGCCCTGAGAGCCTTGTGTACGTGCTTGAGTTCACTGGTAATGTGTTCCTGGTCGGAAATGCATTGGGCTCTATGGTATAGAGTCTTGAAAAGGGAGTTCTTCTGGGATGGATGGTGGTGGGAATTCGGTTTCAAGTAAGTATCTGTATGGGCAGCTTTCCTGTAGACAGAGTGCATCATTGAACCATCAGGTCTCTTTTTAATTAAGACATCCAAAAAGGGTAGCTTGCCATCTTTTTCGACCTCCATGGTAAATCTGATGGCTGGGTGTATGGAATTGATTTGGTCGTGGAATTCGTCTAGAGCAGGCTGGCCATGTGGCCAGATGACAAAAGTGTCATCCACGTACCTCTTCCATAAGGTCGGGCGTAGAGTGGCAGTCTGGATGGCGTCAGTTTCAAATGTTTCCATGAATACGTTGGCTTCAACCGGAGACAGGGGGGAGTCCATTGGAGTGCCCTCAGTTTTTATGTAGAAAGTTCCGTTCCAGGTGAAGTATGTGTTGGTTAAGCAATGTCTCACCAGGGGAGGTACATCAGTATGTAGTCCTTGATGAACCAGATCTTCAATGATAGCGATGGTGTCAGGTACCGGAAATTTTGTGAACAAGGACACCACATCAAAACTGACAAGCAGGTCGTCTGGGGACAGGGAAATGCCTTTGATTGTTGATACTAGGTGAGTAGAATTTAGTACCGAAGAGGTGTTTTTTCTAGTGAAAGGTCGCAGTATATCAGCAAGAAAACATGCCAGTTTATAGGTGGGGGAGTTGATAGTAGAGACGATGGGACGAAGGGGTGTGTCTTCTTTGTGTATCTTTGGAAGGCCATATAATCTTGGAGGTCTGGCAACAGAGGGTTTCAACGAGAACTGTTTGGTCTGATCAATTAATGCTGTTGAATCAGAGATTATTTTGTTCGTTTTGGTAACCAGGCTGTTGGTGGGATCTCTTTTTAGTTTTGTATAGCTGCCATCATTGAGTAGTTCTTGAATTTTGTTGTTATATTCTGTTTTGTCCATGATGACAGTGGCATTGCCCTTGTCGGCTGAGAGGACGACAATATCATCTCTCTTTTTTAATTGGGATAGTTCAAAGCGTTCATCTTTGCTGATGTTGCTAGGTGGCAACTTAGCGTTTTTGAGGGTTGCAGCGATTTCAGATCTTGCTACGTCTGCAGAGATGTGACTCAAGCCCTTGAGTAGGCATAATTTGATTTCCAAATTCAATCACCTCTCCAACAAAAAATCGGATCCACACACCTAAAAGATAGACGTTAACAAAGTCGTAATTAATCGCAGTAACAGTTCCATTTCTGATGGCCTGAAATCCGTTTAGCTAAAGGCCGAAACTATGCTGTCACACCGAGACACATACCGGTTAAATGATATCATTGCCCATGTAGAGGTTGCACTCAAGGGCTTGAGTGCAACAAACTAAAGTGCCTCTGTGGCAGTAACTATATTGGAGAAACCAAACGACATATCTCGGACCGCATCCGCAAATATATAGCAGACTTAAACACGGTAGAACGAACTCCTCTGCCGTGGCAGATCACTGTTATAATTCAGTGGGCTCACATGACATTGACTTCTTCAAGACGGAGGTTCTTTGCAAGCCAACCGGCTACCATGAGAGATTCATTCATGAGGCCCTCCACATATACAAGCACAGAGACAATTTCAACCAAGAAGATGGATTCTGGCTTAGTAACCACTGGAAAGATATTTTAAACCATTTCGGTTCTTAATTAATTGTATTTTACAATGACCTTTAGACTGCAGCTCTTTCGCTGGCACTGACTCTTAATACCTCTCACACCACGGTCAATGGTATGGTGTATAACATGGAGTATAACAGCGCCTCGCAGCCGTCTCCCTCCTCCCTCCTCCGTTCCAACCATGGATGGACTCGTCCGTCGAACGGAGCACGTACCTTCCCTGGTGCTGAAGTTGAGGGTAAGATCTTCTTTGGTTCTTTCGGTAAAGTCACGTAGAATGAGAATAAAATAATAAATTGATAAAATAAAATAACACAATAATATTCTCACGACGTTTCGGCCACAACACAAGCGGCCTTCATCAGGTGAAGGGACGAGACTGTCTGGAGGACAGCGCTGGAGTGAGATTATTATTTTATTTATTTTATCAATTTATTATTTTATTCTCATTCTACGTGACTTTACCGAAAGAACCAAAGAAGATGAATCCTTGCAGTCACGAAAGCTTTAAATCGAAATTGAGGGTAAGAATCCACCCATTTCGCTATACAGCTTTGTGATATATTACGACTTATTGTTGGTAGCTCAGCTGTTTGGAGAATATATAGAGTTTATTGATGACATTGAGGTAGTTTATATTTCAGTTTTCATTGGTTTATTATATGGTATTCATTATATAGTGTAGTGTATACCCAGTTGCTGTTAATAGCTCAGCTTATTGAAGAATATATTGAGCACATTTATTATGTTGATGTAAGTAAGACTTAGGTTTTTTCACCCATTGGCGTCCATGTACAAGGTACCTCTGTGGATGTGCAAGCCTTGACTTTAACAAAGCTACTTCTGTGACCAGTACTAGGTTCCTCTGTGGATGTGTAGGCTTCAACTTTAACATAGCTATTTCTGTGACCAGTCACAAGCTAATCCCCTTAGCTATTTCAATGCTAAATTCTATTGTTTGATTTGTGCTGGGTGCCTCTGTGGATGTGTAGGCTTTGAATTTACATAGCCATTTCTGTGACCAGTCACAAGCTAATCCCTCAACCTTTTTCAATGCTAAATTCTACTGCTTGGGTGCCTGACTTTCGCTCAACCAGCTTAAAAGGGCGATACGAATCTTAACAGCGTTTAGTGAAGCTCTGTTGTCCCAACAGGTCTGTCCCTTTCACCTGAAGAAGGCCACTTGTGTTGTGGCCGAAACGTCGTGAGAATTGTATTGTTTCATTTTTTTCTTATTCTACGTGACTTTACCGAAAGAACCAAAGAAAATGAATACTTGCAGTCACGAAAGCTTTAAATCAAAATTAGTTTAATGTTTGGTATGATTTAGAACATCTTTCCAATGATTGCTTAATTTGAAACCATCTTCTCGGTGGAAATTGTGTCTGTGTTTGTAAATCTGAATTGCTTCGTGGACAAATCTCTAATGATAACCCATCGGTTTGCAAAGGACCTTGGTATCGGAGAACACTTTATCGTGATCACCCACAGCGTTGTAACAATTTCTCCATGAATCAGACGCCATCCAGACTTCCACCCTCAGACCTTCCCTGTGGAAGAGATATGTGGATGACACTTTCGTCATTTGGCCACATGGCCTCCCAGCTTTGAACCTTTTCCTACACCACATCAATTCCAGACATCCCGCCATCAAATTCACCATGGAAGTGGAGAAAGATGGCAAGCTACCATTCTTGGATGTTCTATTTTAGAGGAGACCTGATGGCTCATTGGGGCATTCTGTCTACAGGAAACCAACCCACACAGACGCCTGATTCCCAACACCACCCAGCTCAAAAGAATTATCTCATCAAAACGTTATACCACAGGGCTCATTGCATTTCGGACCAACACCACCTGAACAGTGGATTAAAACATGTACACCAGGCCCTCAAGAGAAAAAGATACTCTGACCATACCAACTGCCAAGCTGTTTCTCCCTCTATACAGAAACAACCACTTGATACTCCGGTCAAAACCATCACACTACCATATATAGCAGGCGTTACTTAAAAGATCTCCAAAATTCTAAACAAACACAAGATCCTGGTCCGGTTCAATACAGTAAACAAAATCCGTGACCTGATCCCATCCGTAAAGGATGTCATTCCTGACTTACAGTACCCCGGGGTTTACAAATTGAGCTGCACTTGTGGTGATTGCTATATCGGGGAGATGAAGCGACATGTCTCTGACCGAATTCGCGAGCACAAATCAGATTTGAAACACGGCAGAACTAATTCTTCTGCCGTGGCTGATCACTGTTACAACGCTGTGGGTGATCACGATATAGTGTTCTCCGATACCAAGGTTCTTTGCAAACCTATAGGTTATCACCAGAGATTTTTCCACGAGGCAATTCAGATTTACAAACACGGACACAATTTCAACCGAGAAGATGGTTTCAAATTAAGCAATCATTGGAAAGATGTTCTAAATCATACCAAACATTAAACTAATTTTCAATGGTACAGTATATTTATCCAAGTAGTGATATACCAAACTTTCACAGCAGCTTATTTTTCCTTCAAAACAACGTTTGTAAACTCCCCTACCCCCGTGTTAGGTGCTCTATCAGCACTTTATGCTAATTCCTTTGTCAGAGCGTTTGGTTTCATCCCATACAGCTTAAAGGACGCAACCTGGCTTGACTTTCTTAATTCCAACGCTGTCTTCGTGACAGCACGGTCCCTTCACCTGATGAAGGCCACTTTTGTTGTGGCCGAAACGTCGTGATTTTTTTTTTTACCTACGTGACTTTGCCGAATAGAACCAAAGAGTATGGATCCTTGCAGTCACGAAAGCTTCAAATCTAGAAATGAAGAGGACTGTAGACCTTGGGCAATTGTTGATACTGCTGACTCACCACCGCGTTCGCTTCCAGCTCGTCTGGAGTTCCTCAGTGATTGTGAGATGCAATTGCACGAACAACACTATATTCAAAACTACATTATTAACCCAAACCGTAACAATGACAAGGAGAATTTCGCTACTGACTCGACCTTGCTGTTTAATACGATGTGTGTATATTCGGCACAACTCTTCACCCGCAGGAGCTCCATCTTCTTCCGTCCATCCAAGAGCAACTTCTCGCGAGTGGAGCGGCTGTCAAGCTGCGTATCGCTGCTCTTCCTCATGATGATTGTCAACGCCATGTGGTTCGAGACGGACACGGGCCAGGCCAGTACCCCGCAAATTGGGCCCTTCACGTATGGCGAGCTTTTTGTCATGATCGCGAGCACCCTCATGGAGGTCCCGATCAGCATCCTTATTGTCCAGATCTTCCGCCGCACGGGCTACAAGCCCTGGAAGAAGGCGGGCAGAGGAGGAGGGGGCTGCACGTCGCAGCAGTTCCCGCATTGGACCCTGTACATCGCCTGGACGTTGGTGGTTCTGGTAATCGGGACGAGCGGCTTCTTCACCATCCTTTACAGCATGGAGTGGGGCCCCGAGAAGGCCAACCGCTGGCTCGTGCGCTTCGTCACCTCCTTCTGCATATCCGTCATCCTCATTCAGCCCATTAAGGTTGGGAAAGTAAAATTATTTTGTAAAATGTTTTCAGATATAGGGTCTGCTGGTTAATTTTTTCATTTATTTTTTCAAATAGATAACTTCTCGAATCATTAATAAACCCTTTGGAAAGTCTGTATTGCAAGAGACACCCCGGTTTAAATAAGTGTAGTGTTGAATATGGAGGCACACACTTGACTTAGGGGCAACACGTTTATTACACAGCCCAAGGCGGCTAACTACTTAAACGTACACTCTAGACCCCAACAGGTTAACAACACTACTTTAACCAGGAAACTACATAACCAGGTCAGTCAGTAACGGCCTGACTGACCCATGATGCCGAGCGGAGGCGGAAAATTGGAGAGACGTGGCGCCGAGGGTTGATTCCAGAGAACAGCCAAGAATGCTCTGGGGACTGCCCCTTTATGCTCCTGAGCATGGCCTTGCTTCGCCTCTGGCCACGCCCCCTTCGAGACCTTTCCTGAAGGATCTCGAGCGAGCATCACGTGTCCCTCAAGCCCCCCTTGGACCCCTCTCCCTACCCTGTCCTGGTCACGTGCCCTCTCGGGTTCACCCAGACGAGCATGTCCTGACTTGCCCTCTCTCAGGCCGTCACCAGGACTATGCCCCCTTTGGCCCGTTCACATGCCGGACTCACTCTGGCCCCAGGGAGAGGTTCCAGATGCACAGTAGCACTCTTGTGACAGTGCCTGGCACTGTCACAAGTACGATTTTTTTTACCAAATTATAGTGTAAACGAAAACATGAATTAAACAGTTTGCATCAATTATGTTTACATGTAAACAGAGGCGCCCGGGTGGCTCAGATCATAGCAGGCCACTCAGATGAGAAACCAATCCATAGTTTACTTGTCTTGAAAAAATGCTACTGAAAGTAAGCACTCCGTAAAGCCCGTGTGGAGGATGGGTTCTATAAGAAATACTTGATTTTTTTTACTTGGAAGATGGATAATTTAATTGAAGGAGATAAATTGTCTGTTAAATTTCGATTTAAAGCTTTCGTGACTGCAAGGATTCATCTTCTTTGGTTCTTGCGGTAAAGTCACGTAGAATGAGAATAAAATAATAAAATAAAACAATAAAATTCTCACGACGTTTCGGCCACAACACAAGTGGCCCTCCCCAGGTGAAAGGAACAAACCTGTCGGGACGACAGAGCTACAATGAACGCTGCTAAGATTCGCAGCGTCCCTCAAGCCAGTTGAGAGAAGCGAGGCACCTTGACAAAGCGGTTTACACATCAAACAGGAGAATCCAGCACCGAAACAGCTGAGGGACCAGCTTGTGACTGGACTTTGACATGGCTATTTCTGTGACCAGTCACAAGCTGGTCCCTCAGCTGTTTCGGTGCTGGATTCTCCTGTTTGATGTGTAAACCCCTTTGTCAAGGTGCCTCGCTTCTCTCAACCGGCTTGAGGGACACTGCGAATCTTAGCGGCGTTCATTGTAGCTCTGTCGCCCCGACAGGTTTGTTCCTTTCACCTGGGGAGGGCCACTTGTGTTGTGGCTGAAACGTCGTGAGAATTTAATTGTTTTATTTTATTATTTTATTCTCATTCTACGTGACTTTACCGAAAGAACCAAAGAAGATAAATTGTCTGCTCATTTATTGTTCAAATTTTTCACGAGAGAAATGTTTTAGTTGATGACAATGATGGTGACAATGAGGAATAACCCATAGAGATGACAATACCTCTTTGGAAGAGCCACGAAGCCCAACTTCCCCCCCCCCCCCCCCCCCACTGTCATACTAATGCCCAGTTGCAGGCCAGTGCTGTATATACCTTGTGCCACAGAGAGATAGCTGTCCTCGGGGATCCCCAATGCGAGACGGTAGCAGGGAACTAGAATTATTGAGATGTGAAGCAAAGTGCTATGAGTTACTGAGGCATTTAAGTGCGATATTCATGAAAACCCGAATACATTTCTGATGACGATAATGATGATGGCTTATGTTAAGTCATTGTGTGTGTTTGTACATACATTTGTATTAATACATTCTATGGATGGACCTTAGCCTGGGACTTATGGGGGTTGAGATATTATGGATACAGCTTTTCTTTGTGCTGTCATCAGAATGACCAACAAATAAATAAATAATGCACACGGATTGGTGAATACAGTACTAGACCCCCAGTGGTTTTATATCTCAAAGTGTATGTATTTTCTGGTTGCTTGAATCCTTGTGTGTACACACTATAAACCACTTGTTTGAATGCAGGTGATCGGGCTGTCGATGTTGGGTGCCATTGTGGCTAAAAACAAGCAGCAGTACGAGGACCAAGACACCCTGGTCTACCTGAAGGACAGAAATTTATCTCGCCCGGTCACGAAGCACGAGAGCAGTATGGGTTTCCCACCACACACGCACACACACACCTCCGGGTTTCCCACCACACACACGCACGCACAAACACCTCCGGGTTTCCCACCACACACACGCACACACCTAACAGCGCTGTGCTAATCATGAGACTGGGGCCTAGCCTGAGGTTTGGTGCACTACCCTGATAACATGATTACATCACTGCAATTACTAGAGCAACAAAGCACTGCATAGATTCATATTCTTGGGTCTTTCAGTAAAGTCATGTAGAAGGGAAATAATAAATAATACAAATGAAACAATACAATTCTCACGACGTTTCGGCTACAACGCAAGCAGCCGTCCTCAGGTGAAGAAACCTGGTTAAGAAACTTGAGGATGGCTGCTTGCGTTGTGGCCGAAGCGTCGTGCGAATTTTATTATGGTTTATTATTTATTATTTCCCTTCTACGTGACTTTACCGAAAGAACCAAGAATATGTCCCTGCAGTCACGAAAGCTTTAAATCGAAATTTAACTGCATAGATTGTCATGGTGGTGCTGTGTAGCTCTTTGGTGTGTTTTTGGATTGTACTGCGTGCTGTTTGGCATGATATCCAACATTTCGCTCCATGTGCCATGAGCTTGTTCAGGATCTAAAGGGCTCTCCAGCGTGCCCTCTAGTAGTGGCCCCTCTGCCAGCGGTGGTGCAGGCAAGCATCTGCAAGGACTGCAACTTTATTTTTTTGCAACACAATTAATAATACATATAAATAAGTATTGTATATTATAATATTATGACAATTATTAACCCTCAAATGTCTGTGGGTTATTTTTCCAGTGTATTCCATTGTTCCACATGTGTTCTTGGCATCATCTCAGACAATGGAAGTACCCTCACGGATATCTTACAGAGCAGAGCAACCCTTCTTGTTAAAGAACGGCCCAGAGAAGTGGATACCATAGAGCTTCATTACTTCATCTTGGAGAACAGCCCGTAGAACAACAGCCACGGCATCAGGATTCCTCCATCCAGCAGTGGATTGACCATGGGGTGTAACTTATAACGTGTGTGTTTCAGAGAGCATGAGTGCGTGTTGTTTCTATAGGCTCGACAGAGTTCCTTCTCGTGGAGGCCTTCTGCCAGCAGACATACGCACGAGTAATTGCAGGGCTGCACCTTTACCGTTTTACCTTTGTCTGCAGACCTGGAGGATGATGCTGTCGAGCTTCCGGAGCTGGACTACATAACGGGCCCTCCTCCGGCAGAGACTCTGGTCAAGCTCCGCGAGGCGGTCGGCCAGGAGAAGGCGGCCTCCTCTTACCTCAAGGAATTCGCCGTGTATCTCGCGTTCATGTCGGTGCTGCTGGTCATCGTGTACACGCGCCTCGACGACCACACCTTCCTGATGCACCGCCTGCTGAGGAGAACCTTCGCCGATGGCTCCTTCGATAAGGCAAGCGGCATTTGCCCATGACAGCAGCGGCATTCCATCGCTGACAGTAATAATAATACGGTAAACCCTCTCTATCCACGAGGCTTACGTTCGTGAAAACATTCACGAATTCAGACTTTGTGAATGCAGAAACCTTATTCCAACGTGAAAAATTGGGTTACGTTCCTGGTACGAGTGAACATGAGGGAAATAGTAAATGTTTAATAACAAGGACTGCAATATAAACATACATTTAAAAGAACTGTTTTTTCATTACCTTTGAAGATGATGATGGTTTGACGATGATGGAGGTGGTGGTGAATAATTCAGGAGGATGACTCTTCAGGAGATGCAGGTGTTTAATAACAATGCACAGTTATCATTTTAGCACTCTGGGAGCACTAGCCGCAACACTTTTCCTGATTGCAATCACCTTCTGTTTAATGGACCTCACAGTCGACTCGTTCATATATATGTAGTGGAGTAAACGATACGCATAGGTAAATTGGCCACATACAGTACATACAGACATACAAGCAGAGTGGGTCACATAAGGTCGAGCAGGTGGTCGAGTCACGGGTGGCGTAAACAACCAAAGTAATTAAAGGAGTCATGGCACGAGGGCTGTGATTGGTCGAGAGGCTGTTAGCGTTAAGTGGCGGCGTCGCGAAGTCTGACCGTTGGACAGGTGCGAGCTGGCGGGAAAATGCCAGCGAGACACGTGGCAATTTATTAAGGCTAATTGAAAAGGGGATAAAACGCTAGGTGATTTGAACGGGGAGTTGAGTTGTTGTTGGGCAGTTGTTGGCGAGAGGTGGAGAGATACGAAGAGGAGAGCTGGCAAATGTTAGGGAAGAATAGATTGAGAGCCGAACCCAAAGGACAGTAAATAGAGATAGGGAGAGTTAGCGTTAGCGGAGAGGTAGTTACGGGGGAGATAGGTACAGGGAGCGTTACAGATAGAGTCACTGTGTGTGTGGAGATAGACAGAGTCACTGTGTGTGAATAGACAGTCAAGTCACTGTGTGTGCGGAGATAGATAGAGTCACTGTGTGTGAATAGACAGGCAAGTCACTGTGTGTGCGGAGATAGAGGAAGTCACTGCGTGTGAAGAGATAGCGGAGGCACTGCGTGTGAGGAGATAGAGGGAGAACCACTGTGTGTGGAAGGAGGATGAGTGGACGGTGCTGAGGTGAATCGGAGTGTCCGAGTTGGCGGAGCACGAAGAGGAGAATCACTGTGTGTGTGTGTGAAACTATATAGTGTGTGTGTGTAGAGATAGGGAGAGTTAGCATTAGCGGAGAGGTAGTTACGGGGGAGATAGGTACAGGGAGCGTTACAGATAGAGTCACTGTGTGTGTGGAGATAGACAGAGTCACTGTGTGTGAATAGACAGTCAAGTCACTGTGTGTGCGGAGATAGATAGAGTCACTGTGTGTGAATAGACAGGCAAGTCACTGTGTGTGCGGAGATAGAGGAAGTCACTGCGTGTGAAGAGATAGCGGAGGCACTGCGTGTGAGGAGATAGAGGGAGAACCACTGTGTGTGGAAGGAGGATGAGTGGACGGTGCTGAGGTGAATCGGAGTGTCCGAGTTGGCGGAGCACGAAGAGGAGAATCACTGTGTGTGTGAAACTATATAGTGTGTGTGTGTGAAACTATATAGTGTGTGAAACTATATAGTGTGTGTGTGTGAAACTATATAGTGTGTGTGTGTGAAACTATATAGTGTGTGTGTGTGTACGGAACGATGGAATAAAAATGACGGTGGAAGAAAGACGGTTTGTCGTCCGAGTGAATTAACGGCACTACATGTATAAAAGGGAAGTTTGTGAATGTGTCTGTTCAAAATGTTTAGTGTACTTTCCCGACATGCAACAAACTTGAAAATTGCCATGTGGGTACTTTCCAGACTGTACACCATGCAAAAATGATAAAAATAGACTTTTGTATTTTTTGTTGGGAGGGGGGGGGGGGCGCAATAATGCATGCTCACTGTGACGTCACATCTGTCATGTGACCCGTATGTGGAAGCGTAATGCAGTGTGCCTGCTGATGTCTTCCCCCCCCCCGCAACCCTCCACGGGTAAAGTGAAATACAAATGTGTTGCAGGTCTAAGGCGTTCTTCGCGCAGCATTGCTTTATTATTTCAGTCGTTTACTGCCGTATACACCCTGAAAGTTGTGTGTCTGCAGCAACCTATGGATGCGTGCACGTGTGTGTGTGGGGGGAGCGGCAGTGTAGTGGCTAGCACGCTGCGCTACGAACCCGGCGACCCGAGTTCGATTCCTGCTCATGGCCACCACCGGTGACGATTATTTGAACCGGTCCTGGGCCTCCCCTAGGTCGACTCAGCCTCAAACGAGTAACTGGTGTGGTGTGAACATCGCCACTGGGGAGACAAAGGCGGCCGGGCGTGGTGAATCCAAGTCCCCGGCGAAGCCGGGTAGTAGAGCTAGTACTGTATAAATGAGTGTACTGTAACTACGTATAAACTAAAAATGCACAATAGCGAGTGCTGAGTGGGATTACTGCAAAACTAATGACTGCGTGATCAAGCATAGTGGTGAGCCTAATCTTCGCAGATAGTTTGAAATGTAAATGTCTGCGCGCACTTCCCTGGTGTCGGCAGTCTGACAAATACACTTGCGAATACTGGAGTCAAGCAGGTCGCGAATAGGAAATTGGTATACATTTAGTAACTCGACAATATGCGAAACACGTGAATCCAAAACTCGCGAATAACGAGGGTTTACTGAAATTACAACTTCTAACACCCTACTGCACAGTACTTGTTTGCTGTCATAGAGAACAATGTGGAGGTGCGAGGAACCACAGACGAATGTTTCAAGTTCAAGTTTCATGTATTAGGTATAGCCCTGTGAGCCATGCGGCTCTTGAGTCGGGTGCAACCGCAACAAACAAAATATGAACAGAGAACATCTTAAAGCGATGACGCGCAACAAAACCGTATTACAACGCTGTGTGCAAAAATCCCAGTGTGATGCAAGTCAAACAATAACAACCATAAGACAATTTAGATTAAAGTTATCAGGCCAACTCCGCACTTCCGCAAGAAACCATGTTTCCGAAATCACCAAAATAAAGCTATAAAAACAATGTAACAACAGTAATCATAGGAAGGCAGTCACACGATGATGCGGTGCCGAATCTCCCCCCCCACCCCAGGCTCTGCAGTCCACTATATATTAAGGTCTCATTGGCCAATTAATGTTTATACACGTAGGAGGAAACCACAGCGCCCAAGGAAAGCCCACGACATTGAAAATTATCGCTGATCTTTTTCAGCGATTTTCTATTTCAGCTTGACAGCATGGATCATCCATCTATCTGTAATGGGGGGTGGAGAGGGTCACAATTACCGCAGTAGCGATGGAACAATGTAAATGAAATTTTATTATAAAGCTGTCTGACAATTAGCGACTTCACCCATAGACAACTGGGCAAATTTATCATAGAGTTGAACAGAAGTTGGCAATATATTTGAAGGGTGAAGCCTTTTTACTATGGCAAGGACTTCACATGCCATGCACACATCCAATAATGTTATTGCATGTGGCATCATCTTACGGAATTTGTGAGTCTTCCCGGGACGTAAAAAATCCCGGATTTTGTCAGTTGTCTAATCATACACCACTCAAGATGATGCATTTTTACATGTTGTTCTTTCCTCATCCCAGTCTTGTGAGATTTTCTTCTTCTCATGATATGTCCTGTTTTTTGTGTGTCTCAGAGGTGAAAAACCGTAGGTTTAATCCTGTCTATCTTCTGTCGGTGCAGGTGACGGACCAGAAAGACTTGTGGAAGTGGCTGAATTCAAAAGTGCTGCCTAACCTGTACCCGGAAGTAGGACAGGCGCCAGCAAAAGCTTCTGGGATCGCTTTCCTGGCAGATCTGGAAAGCTACCGAGTGGGGCCTTTGCGCCTCCAACAGTTCAGGAAGGCCAAAGGTGCAGCGGTTGGCAGATAGGCCACAAGCATGATGTCGCATGGCTGAGCGGTGTTATGTTTGCCATTTGTTGCAGAGGTTTGTTGTGTTAGCCCAGCGGCTGCCCTGGTTAATGATTCAGGTGTATTAACCAACAACTACCCACCATTTACTTCAGATTTGACTTGAATGATTCCTTATTATTATAGAATGAGTGGTCCGCATATGCCAACACCCTGGCCTAAATTTATCAAATTTAAAAATTACTCGCAAAATACCTGTGTAGATAAAACCCGCACACTATACTCGTCTTTGAGACATAGTATCTTTGTGACAGCCTGCACTCTTAAAAAAAGGTGCACACATCAAATATATCTTCTTTGGTTCTTTCGGTAAAGTCACGTAGAATGAGAATAAAATAATAAATTGATAAAATAAAATAACACAATAATATTCTCACGACGTTTCGGCCACAACACAAGCGGCCTTCATCAGGTGAAGGGACGAGACTGTCTGGTAGGACAGCGGATATCGATCGATCCGTCTCGTGACTCTGCATGTAACGCGATGACGTTATCGTCTGTGGTTCTCTTTCTCCAGCCAGCATTGCTGCCTCACTCAGTCTCAATTGCTTCTCTTCGAGCTCTCCTTCCACTGCATCAATCCCCCTGCTTCATTCTCCGTCGTCCGCTCCTCATGTTTTATTCACTTTCGTTGTTCTGTAACGTCCGCTGTGAAGCTGGCCGCACATGGTACTATCCCAGTTAACACACACAGCAGGAATAACCAGGGCAGCCGCTGGTTTCAAACTGTGAACCTCTGCAACAATGGCGCATGTGCTGCCACTGAAGCCATGTCACCTCCATGTCAATGTACAGTATTTATTTGCTGCATTGCTGCCGAAGTGTGGGGCTGTTAACACATAAAGCATCCATGCCCCTGAGACCTTTTCAATTGTATAAAGTACAGTGTTGCCTAATCTTCCACACCTCTCCCCTCTTTTCCCATCAGCTGTTAAGGGAAACTCCTGTCAGTTCATGGATAGCGCCAGCAAATGCTTCGGGATGGACCATCTGCTGAACCAGGACAGCAACAACTACAGCAAAGGATGGCAAGATATTGACACCAACTCATCTTATATCCCTCAACCACAAGACAACTTCTGGAAGATCCAGGATATGCCCTGGCACAGCGTGTCTGTCAAACTAGGTACAGCAAAAACAAAACACTCGCTGGGGATGTAACGATGCAATGATTAATTGATTTCCCTCGCGATGCACGTATCTAGCAGTGCTTCTGAGCATTATTTCCAATAAATCCATTTGTATGGGACGCTGTCAGTGGTGAAATGGTCAGAATACAGGACTTGTAACCCAGAGGTCACTGGTTTTAATCTCCCAGCGCAAATGCTCTCCATGCATGAGTATGAATGAGTACAACCACAATCGACAGGTCGTGAGGTGGAATAAAGTTAGGGTACTCCCACATCTTCCAAGATGTCTAGCCATCGTGGAAGATGTCTGGCCAAAAACTCTCTAAATAAGGCTGTCTAGAGGTATCTTTGCGAGCTCTCTTTAGTAAAAGCGTGAGCATTTAATTACAGAGCTGCACCTTTGCCTCTTACCTTTTCATGGAGCTGTTGAGAGAATGACTCGATGATTTACACAGACTGAAGCTTGACTAGAACTTCACAAGTCATCGACCAGACTATATCTGGAATACCCTGCCACCAGACGTCTGAAAGGCACCCAGTGTCTCTCAATTCCGTGGTTTATGCAAAGTGGTTGCAATTCGCTTTGCTCAGTTTGTGTTATCCACTGAGGGTGTGCCAGGTTTCATATGCCCCTGTACCGTTCCCGTTCTATTATTATGTGCAGTGATGTATACTTTATTGAGAGTGACATTGGCACGTTTTTAAAGATTGATTGATTGACAGACTAAGACTGTGACTGATGCAATCAATGCCCACCACATACATGCTGGCCTCACCTCGGCGCTTGTTTGTGCCTCCTCTCCGTATCTCGCCCTGCTCCCCGGCGTCCAACCCACAGGCGAATTGAACACGTTCATCGGCAGTGGCTACATCGCCGATCTAGGACTGACATTCACGGAGGCAAGTGGCAACATGAGCTACCTCGAGCAGAACTCGTGGGTGGACGCCCGCACCACGGGCCTCTACGCACAGTTTATTATCTACAACGCAAACGCCAACCTCTTCTGCCTTGTCGAGGTGCTGGTTGAATCCCTGTCAGCAGGTGAGGGGCGTGATGGCTGGCGGAGAGACGTACATCGATGGGGGCAACGGGGGTTCCATGTGGGTGGGAAGTGAGGGAGGGAGTGGCGAGCTCATGCCATGTTGAGGAATTTGGGTTGCGCTTTCCAAATGAAGAGATGAGGGGCTGTAGATTTATGATGGCGACAACTTGTTTATTTTGAAATTATGTAAAACACAACATGTGTAGCACACTGTCCATGCCTGAATCATCCACTTGGATGGTGCATATACCAGGTTACGACACAAGTCACCTGCTGGCCAGAGTCAATGTTGACTGCCCGTGTTGTTTAAACCTATGTCAAATAGGGTGCACCTTAAAAACAAACCCAACTCGCACGATTGCAAAAATAGCAGCGACGTGGAGGTGCCCCTTTCTATTGTGCCGCATTGAAGAAGAGTAAATAATAAGAATAGGCTTCACCCTTTCTGGCAATAAAACGGTGTTGAAGATGTTTAAACACCAAATAGATACCTATTTCAAGGCATCTCGTCTGCATTGACCACACATTCTTGTGGCAAAACATGCAACCAAACATGCTCTGTTATATATGAGACCTTTTTTACAGTATCAAAATGCTCATCCCGGGCTATTAATATTTGATACTTGCATTACCTTTGTACTGTTTGCCATTTGGTGTTCTCTGGTCTAATACTGGTGAGGCAAGGCCATACAGGAGACCATCCCTAATTTTGGCCAATTATTTTCAAATACAATGCATATATTATGAGAGCATGTTTGTTGGCATGCTTTGCTACAAGTATGTGTGGTTAATGTAGACTTGATGACTTGGTGTTTGAACATCTTAACACCTGTTTTATTTTGATGTAAAGCTTTCGTGACTGCAGGGATTCATATTCTTGGTTCTTTCGGTAAAGTCACGTAGAAGGGAAACAATTAAATAAAAATATATATAACAATAAAATTCTCACGACGTGTCGACTGCAACACAAGCATCATCAGGTGTGAAAACCACAGCAAGAAAATTTGAAAAAAGTGGCGGGTTTTTTCAAATTTTCTTGCTGTGGTTTTCACACCTGATGATGATTGCTTGTGTTGCAGTCGAAACGTCGTGAGAATGTTATTGTTTTATATATTTTTTTATTTTATTGTTTCCCTTCTACGTGACTTTACCTGTTTTATTGCCAGAAAGGGTAAAGTTTATTCATATTTTTTTCATTATTTTGATACTTGCAAAAAGGTCCCATAGATGTAACTGCTCAACCGGAGCTATTAATACTTTGCAACTTGCATTGCCTTCGTACTTTCTTTTGGAATTCTCTCGGCTAACACTGGTGAGACAATGCCATAAAGAAGGCTGTCTCTGGTGTATGCCAATAAGTTTAAAATAAAATGCACATATTATCAAAGCATGTGTGTTTGTATGTTTTGCCACAAGTATGTGTGGTTAATGCAGATTTGATTCGTTGCAATAGGTGTCTATTTGGTGTTTGAACATAACACCTGTTTTATTGTCAGAAATGGTAGAGCCTCTTCATTTTTTACATAATTTTTTATACTGGTAAAAGGTCCCATAGATATGAAGAAGAGTAATAGACAAAGTTCGCACGTCGCAGCGTATAGAATAAGTAATATTAAAAAATACGTTTTTTTTAAAAACACGCTTTAATGAAATGTACCGTACGAGTAATGTCAGAACTCCACGACTCCAGGAAGTGGCCCCGAAGCTTGCCATAGCTTAAGGGACTGTGGTGATTTACAGCCAACGTGAGTTGAGCGTGGACAATTAGACCCAAGGCGAAACATGACATAAAAATATGGTTTAAAAATATGCTTTTCATTTTTAATAATAGAATATAGTATTGTCATCAGTATGACACAAGTATACCAAGTTTGCAGTCGATACCACATTGGGAAGTGGGTTAAAATTGAGTTACACGATTTGAGGATACGACAACAACAGAGTGAGTTAAATAAAAGCGTGTAAAATAATAATAAAAGCGTGTAAAAAGATACGCAATGGTTATGTACCCCTTCATTACCCAGAGGAAACCCTAGAGGGCAGGTGAGAGCGCCCCCAATCCGCTGAATTAACCATTGTGTTCTAAAGAGAGGCCTGTAAGACCAGCGGTTCACCAACATTGATTCAAGCAAGCCTGACTGCTGGTGAGACACTATATCTTGAAACCAGTTCAAAGTTTGTCTTGAATCAATGCTATTTAAATTACGCACTCCCAATGGGTTGTGTACAACATACTTGGGTTAAGTTTTTTTCAAATTTGTAGAACCGACCTTAATGTTATTGGTTTTCCTTGGGAGCAGTCATTTGTGACCGAGTTGAGACCATGAACTCTCTTTTAAAAGTAAATATTTACTTCTGGTGTTTCTTTCCTCTGCAGATATGTTTCAGCCATCGTCAAACCTGAAAGTTTTCCGTTTGTTTAATAACAGGATCTCGTACATCATCTTAGACAACGTGGCCTATATCTTCTACCTCATCATAAGCATGTACTTCCTCACGTGCGTCATCTTCAGCATCACCAAGGAGAAGTTCGAATACTTAAAAAAACCCATGAACGTGGCTGAGATCATGAACATCACCCTGATGTTTGGACCGGTCGCCCTCTTCTACCACCAGGGCACCATCTCAACTGAAAGCCTGGCAACCCTCACCAATAACACAGGTCAGCGGGATTACCCTGGCACGGAGTTTAGATAAAGGCACAGCCCGACAGTTATTTACTCACCCCATGACTAATTGTTGTAACCTTGCTAAATTCAAGAAGAAACTTGATGTGAATCTTTCGTGACTGCACGAATTACTCTTTGGTTCTTTCGGTCACGTCGTAAGAAAATAAATGTAATAATAGAGTACGACACTTCGATTGCTAATTTGAGCGATCTTTGGAGATGGTAATCAACCAGGCTATGTGTTAGCTGTATGTTAGCCGACTCTCTGTGTTCCATTACATTACATTTCCATGAGATTTGCTAAATTTTGTTTTCTAAAACTATTTATCTCTCTAAAATTTAGCAGGCTCTCAATGGGCCATTCGATCTTCTTTCCCTCGGTCACTTTGGGATGGATTCATTGACATGCTAATTTCTCTGCTCCAGCAGCTGCCCAGCAGACCCACCTCTTTCTCTGCCCAATCACCCCCCTCTCTCTCTCAATTTAAGGCCTCGACACAGAGGCATTGGGTCTCTGTTGTGTCTGTGTTGTGTGTCTCTCTCTGTGTGTCTGCTTGTGTGTCTGTCTGTGTGTCTCCGTGTCTGTGTTTTGTCTCTCTCTTAAATGTAGTTCTACCTGATGACGGTTGCTTGTGTTGCAATCGAAACTCGTATTCGATTATTTAATTTATTTTCTTTCTACGTGACTTTACCGAAAGAACCAAAGAGTAATTCAAGAAGCTTATTCACTCCAATCTATTACACCTTCAACCGTGCTATTTGTTGCAGGCTACTTGATGTTTTGGTCCTTGGGGTCTGTACTTGCCAACTGTGATGAAATAATGTTGCCTTCTTGTGATGTAACTGCACCCGTGACCGCCGTAGTGATGTTTTTATTGCAACAAATTGGACGGGAACAGAACACGGCGAACATTCGAATTCTACGCGACGAGACCATACGTAGGTGGGGAAGTTGGACTCGCTGCCCTAACCAAGTGGGGACCACGAGTAGGGGGGGGGGGGGTGAATATTTATATTGGGGGGAGGAGGGAGGGGAAAGGTTACTAAAATACTGAGGGAAGATCAAGGGCAGAGGGGGGGGGGGGGGGAAATAGGGGAGTACAGGAAAACTATAAATGAAATAATATACACGCAGCTTATTGGATAATGCGTTAACCTCCCACGGCTCATAGATCCGCTCCCGCTTATTTACAGCTGAGGGGCACTGCCTCTCTTTCCACCCGTCTCTATCTCCTGACCTCTTTGCCCGCTCCCCTCATTTTAGACTGCGTAGGATGGGGGGCCTCCTCGTCTCCCTACCTTTAAGCTTGTGGGTTTAGTCCTCAACACCCGCTTGAGCTAAAAGAGTGTTGCGCGACTGTTCCCACAAGGGGGATTCATGATATTTCCAGTTAGGCAGTATGGTCTTCCTGGATGTAATATTAAAGGTTTGAAGTAGAGCATGTTGATGTTTCGGAAGGGCTTCTGGTTTCACGCCCCACAAAGTCGTTTCAACTGAAGGGGTAAGATTGGTGCCACAGATGCCATAAAAAGTCTATGATCTCCTGGTAGAGTATTGCAACGTCTGAGCATAGCCAAAAGGGGTGACGGTAAGACTGAACCGTGCCCAGGGAACACCTGGGACAATCGGGGGAGGCTTCCATAAATTTCGCTCTTTCATTTGTCGTACAGGTGCCGTGTATACATTTGATCTGAATGAGCCTCAGTGGCAGTGATCTTGGGCCATATTGTCACTGCCTAACAGGTGGTAGGCCTCGGCACTCCTAGCCAGTCTATAATTGGGTAAAGTGATTCGCTTAGGTTCTTACCCGGGGCTTTCATAATGACATCTCTATTTTTCAGGTAGATGAAAAAAATTAGGACGAGAGATACAATAAACCATCGATTTTCTGGCAGCTTAGGGGGGAAATGGGTGCCAGATTTTCAAAAACACTGGATAATCATATATATTTTTTAAATAGCTTATTTTTTTGCACATTCTTGTATAACATGTTTTTATGTAAAAAAAATACTGTATTTAGTGTTCTGTACTTACTTCTCCCAACTCGAAGACTCCGCATGGGGTGATGATGATAGGGGGTGTAGAATTCTATATTGCTCGTGAACGCAATTGAACACATTGCTTTTAAGGTGTATATAACATCTTGTTTTAGCCATGTGTTTGACAATTGTGGGACTGATGCAGCCTTCGACCGGTGCTCCGGCGAATACCGAATTATACAAGCACTTTTTTTTTACTAATAATTATTATTCATGACAAATGTATATACGTGCATTATTAAAATTGTTCTAGTTGTTTTATGTAGTACACAATATACTGTATACAATATTTGACACTGAAATCAAGCATAGCTAAAGAAAATTATCACGCACATGGTGCCAATTGCCAGACTGGTACACAGCCTTTGGAGAAGTTTTCTGGCAATAGCCGGAATATATGCCGTTTTCGCCGGATCTGCACAGGGCCGCCGGATAATGTTTGAAACCGGATAATTGCACGCCAGATGATCAGTGATCTACATGATTATATTTAGCCTGCACCTGATTAAAATACAGCACCCCACCATCTTTGTTCAAAAGATCCCCAACCATTTCCAAGCCAGACTCCTTTCAGCTAATCCACATTATTTCTTTCCCCCCTACTTTCAAAGTCGAGTTACTCCATAGCGTCAATCTTCTGTGTAGGGGACCAGAAAAGGGATACTCCTGTCCCTGCAAATATCCGACGTTGAGAAAACCTTGCCGAGGCAAGGGCAAATCCAACAAGGGAGCATTGTTTAACTAACTCCTCTTCTCAGCTTTTGGCAATCCATCATTTTTTGGGTCCAACCAGCATTTAACATTCTACAGGCCAACTAACCTAGAGTATTTTTGTAGCTTTGGGAGACCCAAGCCCCTCTCGCGTACTGGTAAAGTAAGGTAGGGGTAGTCAATGCATGCGGGTCTACTAATATAAATTAGGTGATTCAGGAATGGAGCACATTGAAGAAGGCCCTTGGGATATATGGAAGGACCATCCTTAAATAATATAGCAGTTTGCAGATAATTTGTTTTTATCATGTGTGCCCTGTTATAGCTGGAGAGGGGGATCGCGGCGTTTCCCCATACTCCCTCATCAGGGTCAGAATAGCTGGGATTGAACGTAATAAGAACATTGTCTGCATAAAGATTGATTTTGTTTTCTGCCATGCCAAAACTTTCTCCTGAGATACAGTGACTTCTAATACTCTCATCAAATGGTGCCATGGTCAGGGTAAAAAGCAATGGTGAAAGAGGGCACCCCTGCCTTGTGCCTCTACCCAGTGCAAATATGTGGGAGGTTAGGCCATTCATGACCACCGAGGCTGCAGGGTCATCATATAGGAGTCTGCACATGTCGACGAATTGGGAGGGAAACCCAAATTTATCCAACACCTCCCTATTCAGGGTAAGGGTGTACACAGCGAGGTTGTCGCTCGTGGCTATCTCCACCACATTAACTAAATTCCTGAAATTGTCTGCGGAATCTTTGTTTTTAACAAACCCTGTCTGGGCTTTGCCATTGATCATTGGGAGGACCTTGTCTAATCTGATTTCAAGGATCTTCGCAAGCATTTTGTAGTCCGCATTCACAAATGGGCTTATAGCTACCTAGTACATCCTCCAGGGTACCTGGACTGACATCCTAGCTTCGTTCATGTATTGGGTGAGGCAGCCTGACTTCAAGGCTGCATTCAACGTTGTCCTTAACTGGGAGGTAAGATGGGCCCCCGCATTCCTATAGAGCTCCATCGGTATCCCTTAAGGGGCAGCCGCCTTCCCTAATGGTGATGCGGCCAAGGTTATCCAGAAAATTTTGAGGGGCAATGGGCCTGTCCAGCTCTGTGCTTTGGTCTAGACCCAAATTAGGGAGGACGGAGATTCAGAGGTGTATAAGGATTCATATTAATATTTAAAATGTGCATTGACATCCCTGTTTGTGGTCGCTGGGGGGTCCTTACTGCTTTGGATAGATGCAATGAAGGAACAATTCCGTCAGAAATCTAACAGTGGTAGGAGAACGATCATGGAAGGGCAGCCTGGCTCTCCGGAATAACAGGCGAGCTTTATAATTTAATAGCCTTTCAAGTTCCATATTCATACCATCTATTTATTTTAGAGTCCCTGGGGATTGCAAGGATTGAAACTGCTCATGAAGGCTAGCAATGCTCCCCTCCAGCTTCTGCTGCCTTTCCTGGATCTTTTTAATTCTGCGAGCACCCTTCATCAGCGAGCCCCTGACATATGCTTTGAGGGTGTCCCACATTATCTGGGGGGAGGGGTCCAAGGCAGAGTAGATCTGACTAATTCCTCAATCTCTTTCCTCATTTCCTCAATCGTGTTTTCCTCCTCCAGAAGCTGCCTGTCTAGGGACCAGACATGTATTGCTGCCTCGTCAGGGTCTAAGATGAGTTGGATCGCTATCTGGGGCATGGTCGAACAGCTGCTATGGAGGAGTATTCACCAGGGGAAGTCCGGCGACTGGTCTGGAAGCTCTGGAGATGCCGGAAAGATGTAGAAAAAGGAGGGTGGCGCGAAGGGAGGGGGCGGGTAGTCGATAACCGCCGGATAAGGGGAGACCCCGTCCTAGGAAAGGTGCCCCAATAGGAGCACCAGGCTCTCTGGAGCAGGCGTTGCCATGTGGAGGGGAGAGGGGGGAGAACGAGAAGGCACGGAAGTGGGTGAAAGGTAAAGATGAGTGAGAGAAGAGGGTGGTGGGAGGGGGAGAGGCGGGGGGTGAGCGCAACCCCCTGCACCCCACCAACCCCCCACCAACCCCAGACTGGCCAGGACGCCACACCAGCCTCCACCGTGCACTGGCAAACGAGGACAAGGCTGGTGTAAATCTTGACTTAAAGCTTTCATGACTGCAGGAATTAATATTCTTTGGGTCTTTCGGTAAAGTCACGTAAAACAATATTTTTTTATATAAAAAAACTAGGAGGAAAAAAAGGAGGGGGAAAGCTGCTGAGGCAGGCTGTTTTAAAGGTTTGAAATGGGTGTAGCTCAAGGGTCGTACACGAAGTGAATGGGGCTAGTGATGTTAAAGTGAGAAATTTCTATGTTAATGTAAGATCGGAGGGCAACTTCCACGCCGAGGGCGCGGAGGTGGCTATTGTAATGTGAGAGATTAGCATGTTAATGTAAGGTCGCAG